CTATGAAAACAATTTACAGACATCATAAGATGTATTTTCGCATTTTCTCACAAAGTTGGATATTAACTATGTTTGGATGTAGCGGCCATAAGTGGAAAGTAATAGCCAGGCTATAATCTAGGATGTTGCATCTGAGACTTTTCTGGAACTCATCACATTACAAGCACATTTGAAAGACTTGTGTGAAGAAACAAAACCAGTTTTATTAACCCTTCGAGACCTAGGAGTGACTAGCATCTGGAATGATGTTACATGTACCTGGTATTTTTATTGGGTGTTTTCCTTGAGAACGAGAAAAATCCTCTCTAAATGTCTACAGTGGGAGTAAAACTCCTTAGGACATACCTATACCCAGATATATTTAAAATGACCACTTTTTGCCAATTCAGGCGAGCACACAGAACCTCCCCTCCCCCCTCTAACAATGTTGGTAAAAGTGAGCAATTGCCACGGTGCCTTAACGAAGCGCACATAATTCAGCATTGTTTGGGGGAGAGGTGGAAGGGGGGATAGTTCGACATTAGTACTATATATCCCGTTGAGTATTCCATGACTTTTAACCTGCATATTACTTGATGGCTTATTTCTAGATTGTCGTAGCACCTTCGCCTTGGAAGCGAGAATTACCCAATGCTTATTTTCATCTTTTCCTTGAAATAACCAAGAAGTTATTAGATCCTATCCTACCTCCAGCTGTAGGTAACGGAATGTTGATCATAATAAGCTTTCCATCTTGAAAGCGTTGAAGAAGGTAATCATCTCTGGCTCGGTTCTTTCCAAGCATGCCTTCTTTCTGTAATTTACCATGCGAATTCCCTGAGGAAAAACAATACTTTTAAAATAAGGATTCTCTCCCTTGGAACTTCCATTTAATGAACGAAGCGGGTAGGATGAAAAACAACTGCGGTTACTAAACACAACAGTGAGATTCGATTTGTCGCGAGCGTAGTTTCAAGAAAACATTTGGGTCACCGCACGACGAATTTAATCTTGGACCTTTGGATTCTGCGATCTGATGCTCAACCATTAGGCAAAAGAGAGCAGCGGAGCAATCGGATCGCGTACTCTAAAGGTCTTAGGTGCGATTCATCGAGGGAACTAACTTTTTCATCGCCCCATCCTTGTCACAAGAAGAATAATATCTTTCACTATGCCTTAAACAAACGCAAAATCTACCATCTTTCATTTCTAAAAAATAATTAGTTATTCGTACCAACCATGAACCAATTTTTCGGGGGTTCTCGATATCCATCACATAAGCTATAGTCCAGAGTGATATCCAACTTATAGACCCCTGGGTCCATAACAAGAAACAAGAACTCGTATGTTCCATTTCCGTGATCAAACATTGTAGGTGACACAGTGGCCGGACTGAGAAGCAACACGCGCCACGAGTCGCCGCCAATGTGCTTCAACTTGCCATTCCGAGTCTTTGTTTGAATGCTGAAACGACTGAACTGACCCGTAGGCCTGATGTCAAAAATCGAAATCAAACTCTTGCTGGCATCCGTCTGAAGTTCGCGATTAGGTGACGGCCCATTCCATGAAATATTGTGGAAACATGGTCTAAGGATTGAGTCCAAATGAACTCGCGCTTGGTGAATTCTACACCAGCTTTCTTGAAAACTTTCGATTTGATGCGAAGTTTTCAGCGCGTCTTCGAAGCAAAATAAATTTCCTCCATTGTTTCTGAAATACTGGAAATAAAACAGTTGTAGTGCTATTGCTGATAGCCATAATTTCAGAACCGCTCTAGAATGCCGAGCGATGAGGGAGATCGTTTAGAATGAATAAATGTTTTATTTATTAGGTTTATTATTATTTTCGTTAATAGGAAAGGACGTGGTGTGAATGATGTTGATCGTAATCATGGTAACTAAGACTAAACCACCAGTAATCTTTTTGTCAGCTTGTTCAACCTAACACTTATCCTAATTCAAAATCTATTTAATAAAGAAAGCAGAGCCAATGAAAGAGCTTATGTTAATGGTCAAGTGATTCGCAGAAATAACTTTGGCCAAAACGTGACCGTGCCCACGCTTATTGAGACGTGTCAAGCATCTATTACCATCAGAAGCGCGAATCACGTCGTACAATTCTTTGATAGTCCAGTTTTTGACTATGCCGATATCATTTGAGGAGACAAGGATAATACTATTATTATGGAAGATTTGCAAATACTGCAAAATAAAGCCGCAAAAGTTATCCTCGATTTGCCGAGCAACGCTTCATCCACTGATGCTCCAAAAACTCTTGGCTGGCCAACATTACTCCAACAGCGCCTTGTACATAGATACATTGCCACCTCTAAGTACATTCACGGGCTTGTGGATTATAGCTTTAACATTTAAAGAAATTCTGACATCCATAGTTATAATACGAGAAGAAAGCACGATTTCCGCCTTCCTCATGTTAAAAGAAACAATGGAAAACAAAGACTTTTATACATATGTGCAAAAGAATGGAAATCGACTCTTTCCTCGTTTTTAAGCAAAGACAGTTAGTTTTTTTATCGACTGAATAATAAGCAACTTTTATTAACATATTTCGTGTATTTCACAGTTTTTGTGTTTTTAACTTGTTATCTATTTATGACGACTTTTATTTTTTTAATACAGTGCCTCACAGAATACCACTTTCCAGTGACGTGAGCACCCTGCATAGAAACTGTTATTGTTATTATAACAATATGCACAAGCCGTGTCGTGTTCAACGTGAATAAAATTCGAGTTTTTGCCGATCTAAATTAAATTGGGTCGACGGAATTGATTCAAATTCCAATTACATGTAATTCTAGCAGCATGCCCTCGGCTTATGAATGAATCTAACGAAAACATCAAAGAGCAATAGTTGTGCATTTGATTCGCCTCAACTGAAGTGCGCAAAGTGTCTGGCCTTAGTTTTTGCTAAACTAAGATTGATAGTTATGTCAAGTAAATTTGGTGATGCTTTATTAATGACATCTTACTTTGTAAATTGACTGTCGATTGTGATTTTGGACTTCTCTCGTATCATGAATATGAAGCAAAACAGAGGTGAAATTTAAAGCTTTTACAAAAACCAACACGATTCTAAGTTTCAGAGTTTTTCTAGCCGTATATAGTGTTTAACGAGGTTAAAGTAAAAAAAAAAAAAAAAAAAAAAAATCCTCGGCGAATAACAAAGAGAGGCACAAGTACATCAACATTCCAAGCAAATGTGTTCGGTTACTATGGTTATAGCTGTTGTAGTTTCAACGTGTCCTGGTGGATAATTTGCATAAGGTTAAAAAGCAGAAAATTTTTTACAACCATTCGATGGAACTTACATGCTCCAAATGAGCCAGGGTTACGTCCACTGGTGGAAAACATTTGTCAAATGTTGGCTTTCAACAGTAGCTGTTCATCTTCTTCACTACAATTATTTCAGCGATGAAAGAAACTTGTATTCTCTTGAGGAATCAAACAGAATTTCCCAAAATGTCGAACAATTCAAAGAATACTGGTGTCGAATTCGCCAAGCACGGGTCGACTTGGACTCAATTCTTAAACCATGTTTTTACAATATTTCATGGAATGGACCTTCTCCTGAACGCGCGCTCCAAACAGATGCCGGCAAAAGTGCGATTTCGTTCTTTGACATTAGACCAGCAGGTCAGTTCAGTCGTTTCAGCATTCAAACAAAAACTCGGAATGGTAAACTGAAGCACATTGGCGGCGACTCTTGGCGTGTGTTACTGCGCGGTCCGGCCACTGTGTCACCTACTACGTTTGATCACGGAAATGGCACCTACGAGTTTTTGTTTCTTGTTATGGACCCCGGGGCCTATAAGTTGGATATCACTCTGGACTATAGCCTGTGTGACGGATTCCGCGATCCGCCAAAAAATTGGTTCATCGTAGGTAAGATGTCTGAAATATAATCAAAAAAAGTTCCTTGGGGAGTCTTGTTTGTGATGTGAATTGATGCTGAGCAAGATACTAAACTCTGGATAAGAGTTCTTTGCTTAAAAATTGTACATATAATGGTCCTGTAGCTTTTCTTGGGTTTGATTAGTATTTCAACAACAGAATCAAAGGTAAATGAACATGGAAAGCTATTCTTTTGATTAATCCAATTGGAAATCTGGCTTAAGAATACATTTTAAGAGGACAGTGCTTCAATTTGTGCAAGTCTGTGTTTGACGTCATCACAGATTATTAAAACGGTAATTTAATAAATTACATTATACATTCGAATTCAATTCGAGCCAAAATGTTTGCGCAGATTACGAAATCATTCATCTCATTTTAAAACTTAATTCTGAACACTTAAAACTTAAAGATATATAGCATCAAGATTCTGAAACGTGGTTTTTTTATCGTTGATTCTCCTTGCTTGATAATCATAGATGTTCATAAATTTGAGTTGGTTCTCTAAAACCATCATCATACAAGTACACCGCAGTCGGCAGCAAGTTTCTTTCATTCCCTCTTGTCTTGCACAAGGTTTCATATCTCTTCTGGCGTTTTAGGAAAGTCGTAGTAAAGATACCAGTCGCTTAAGTCTCAGCTTTAGGCAACCAGACTTAGACTTACGCAACCATTTTGCCGCATCAGGGAATGTCCTCAAGGAAGTGGATCTTTTGTTCGTGTTATGAAGCTAAAATAAGTAATAAAAAGAGTGAAAAAAATAAATCTAACAAGTATTTCCAATCTTGGACAAAATTTTTACCACAATTTTAAATTACCCACCACAGATCCTTTTAGTTTTGACCTGCTAAATCACCAACTGTATGTGAAGCACCTCACCTCATGAATACTACAACCTCGTCAAAACGATCCATCTTTCATGGCCAGCGGTCGCATTGATGAGATCTACTATTTTATCTTTTCGCATCGACCCGTTTGTCCCTTTTTCTTATTTTACTTTTTTTTTTTTTTAGGAAATTCCCAAGGTAAGATGCAAAAGATGGGACACTCGGTGCAAACCGTGCGAAGGACGACTACCTTCTTCAATCATTCCAGAATGGGAAGCTTATTATGATTAACATTCCGCTGCCAGACGATAGAGGTAAGGGAACTTGTGAATTTCTGACTGGATCAACGTTTCTGACGGTTTTTCTTTTGCTAGGCAAACTGAAAAATAAGCTGTATATACACAAAGCAATTAATTTCTGACGAGCACCGATCGTAAACACGAAGTCGCGATGCGTTCAACAGCGTACTCTCAAGGAACTACCCATTATTCATTATTTATACCCTGGGGGCGGAAAGTAGGTGGGCGGGGGGTTTCGGAGGAATTTTGGGGATCTCATGGTTTTCTCTATAGTTTTCAGGGGGAACAGAAGGGGATCAGTTGTCGCGAGTAGAGTATAAAGAGGGATGGAACTATAGAAAACGGACTGTCCAAAAAGTAAGATCATTAGAAAGCAAAAGAGCTTTAGGGGAGAATAGGTAAATTTTGTTGTGGCTTTACCAAAATGTTCCACGTCCCCTTCTCCCTGATGATAAGTTAAGACCAGTCGCTGATTGCGTTTGAGCTTCTGTTTAGCAAGGACACGCTTTCCCGCATTACTTTGATCGTCATGACCCTTTAGGAAAAGCTATCAAGTGCACCGTTTCAAATACAGTCCAAGTGAACCTATTTGCCGTTTGTTGCAATGTTCCGGTCCTTTCCGGTTTATTCCTTCTGCCTGTAGGAGCATTTCTAATGAACCAGTTACCAGACCGCCCCTGCCTCTCTGCCAAGTTTAACTTGTCTTGTGGCATGGATTGTAAATTTACGTGGGATGGATTCGGCCGTTGGCTTGGAAAAAATTGGAAGCCATATCTTACAGGTATGTTTCGGGATTGTGGTTTACGGCAACTAAGCAGAACTAGCGTAACTCCCGTGAGGGAATTTATTATAAACCAACAGATTTCAGTCGTCGTACAAATGGTAGACGTAAGTAAGAACTAAAAGTCTGAAAACTGTAACGGTAATAACGTCAAAATTCAAAGCTTGTGTAAAATAGTCTGTTTCTACGCTCTTCAGTGAATTCACTGAAGAGCGTAGAAAACGAGTCCCTGTGCAGACGCATTAAAGTCGAAGGACCTCCCGCACATACCGTTCAGTTGATCTACCGCTGAGCCATACAGAACTCGTGACGAGCCATCACTTGACAGTTGGTTCATATGTGATTTTCGTCTTGCATACTGCTCCTGACGGTGAATGTTATTATTTTTTGTGATGTAGAGAGCTTTAGCGGAGCTCTAACCACTTGAATTCTTTACAGAAGTACCTGGGCACACTAAGCCGATGAAATTGGGTATCACGGCTCCCAAGCTGGAAAAGTTGTGGATTTATGGAGACTCACAGGCCGAAAGACTGCACTTATCGATAAAGGATGGACCTCTTTGTACGGAGATCTTTAAATTTTGTAATCTAAGTAAAATGTGGGTTTACCCTTACAGCGGTCAGTTTCCAAAATGGGATGATCAAGACTTCGATAAGTCCATTATTCTCGATAGTCTCAGGGTTGTGTTGGAAAGACCCGATATGAGCGAAAACAGTGTGTTGATTTTGAATCTTGGACTGCATTACATGGAGAGCATCAGACTACAAGATTATAGAATACTTCTTTTGAAGGTGATTGATCTATTGAACGAAAGAAACAAAGATACAGGCGAACTGAAGCATAAGGCTCGTGTAGTATGGAAAACGTCCACTTCTATAAGCAAGGAGAAGGACACTGGCAGTCAACTGACAAGTGATCGACGAAGATTTCTTGCTCTACCGGTAAGTATGTGGGGGAAAGAAGACATTAGAGTTGGCACTTTCAAGTAGGTATTTGCTTTTTCTTTGTTTTTTTGGTACGTTATTGCTTTTTTTCTTCGTGCCAATGGTTGGTTGATCATCGGCCGGTTGAAAATTCGATATCTCCGCCGGTGGTTCGTTTATTTCTCGCGTTATCCTTTTAGGTAACCAATTTGAACTCATTCAATTTTAATTTTCGCCCAAGACTGAAGATTACTTTCAAAAATCAGAACTTTAAATGCCATGAGAAATGTGACTTAATATCTAAATGTCCTTGATTTTCCTTTTTTTTTAATCAAATTTTTACTTAAAACGATTGACAGCTCGAATACAGTTCTTGGAAACTTAGATGTCTTATTATTAGTAGTAGTATAATTATTATTATTTTTCACTTTGCAGCGTGTGGCACTCTATAATTCTCTTGCAACCTCCCTCATGTGCCAGGCTGGCTTGGAGGTGCTTGATGTTTACCCTTTTACCAGGTCTTTTCCGGAAGGCACCGGAGGACCCGAGGTAGCGTGGTACAAGGAGCGTGATATTGTGCATTTCAAGTTCCATGTGATGAAACCTATCGAACACTTTTTCGAAGAATACTTCTTGGGAAAAATAGCACGTCCCATCAATTTTGTGAATTACATGTTTTCATAATGCAACGATTGTTGTAATCTAAAGTCTTATGATAAAGGATTGTTTACGCCAGAGAAAATTTTCCCACTGACTTTTCAAATTTTGAAAGTCAGTTCAGATAGGTCAGCAGACGTGACAACTTGAAAACTCACAAAGAAGTAATTACAATGCTTAAGTGAAAAAGTAAAGAAGTAGGAAAGTTAAGAAGTGGGAAAGTAAAATGGGAAGGTGTAGAAATGGGGGAGAATTAATACAAACGTAAAGAATAGGAATCAAACGTGTTTATTCGAATTCAATAAGCATTATAATATAGCGCGTAAATTTCTCTAATCAAATTCAATTGAGTGAGCGTGCTTCATATTCCTATTGTGCACGCTCATGACGTCAGCAATCAAATCCCTCGAGAAAAAAATCTTTACAACATGTAGGCCCCGTCCACACGTATCCGTATTTATCCACGTCCACACGTTGCCGTTTGTGAATCGTTTTTGGTGTCCACACGTAAACGCAAAAACGATTTGAAAACGATGACGTCGCCTACTGAGCATGCTCTTTAGAGCAAAACATGTGCCCGCAGTCTCGCGTATCCTGAGCCTGAATCCTCTTGGCTGTGCTCTTGGGCTTCTCAAACTTATCAACAGTGTTCGCATGGCTAGAAATCCGTGACAGCATGGCCGCCACGCACGCGCATCGATGTCGAACTCGGTCTTAGGTTACAAACGAGTCGCAAAATCACTACAAGGAAAACAGTGCACTTTCAGCTAACCTTCTTTTAATAATTGCTCCTGTGTTACAACCGAAACTAAAGCTTGTTTATTCGCCATGTTTTAATTAATGGTCGATCGGCCGCACGCTGACTTATGAACCAATTGTTAAATATTTATTTATTATCTTTCGGATGCCTTTTGGAACCGTGACTAGGTTTGAATTGTTACGTCATCGTTTTCAAATTGTTTTCAAATTTATCCGGATAAGGCGTCCACACGGAGACGCTTAGCCAGCGTTTTCAAATTTATCTACTTTGGAGAGCGTTCTCAAATTTATCCGTTTTCGGTGTGTGAAAACGCCGTTTACGTGTGGACGGAACCCGTCACCGTATAAATATTTATCCGTTTTCAAATTTATCCGGATACGTGTGGACGGGCCATCGGGTTGAAAATGTTATAAAACAATTGGTTCATAAGTCAGCTGTGCGTTCATCGAAATATGCAGCACTTGGGAGGTTTGGAGAGCACTCAAGAAGCTAGAGTTGCTCTCGACTACGCCTCGAGCAACTCTTACGCATCTTTCGTGCTCTCCAAACTTCCCGCGTGCTTCATATCTCGATGAACGCACGCTGAATTATGAAACAATTGGTAAATATTTATTTACTATCTTTCGGATGCTCTTGGAACCGTGTCAAAGAGAAAGCCGGAGTATTCTTTGGAAATTTCCGTTTAGAAATCAATTTGGCAGTTATGTTATTGTTTTCGTAGATACTTTTTATCATAAGACGGGAGGAAAGAGCTTTCATCGGCGTAAAAGGCTAGTTTTTTCAAGAACAGCAGCCCAAACAAGTCCTTGCTTCGATCTTAGTTATAAGTTGTTCCAAAAAAGGATGTCTTAAAACACAGTTCTTTGCTGTCTGCGCGAAGCTTACATTTACAAAAGTAATGCTTACAAGAGTTACCGTCGTTTTAAACAAACTAGAGTCCGCGCTTTTTTTCTTTTGAGATTATCTAAAACGTTTTCTCAAATCTTCGCCCTTGAGGTTTTTCCTTTCTTATTCCCGAAGGAAGTTAAATTTAGAGCTCTTAATGGCATTTGAAATTTTGCGTGGCCATACGCACTCTGTATTTTTTCAATAGGCCTTTAATCTATCCGTTGCACTTTGCAATAAAGTTGTACCTGTCGCTCTTTGCAATAAGATTGTCAAAATTTTGTAATAACACTTGTCACACCTTGTACCAACGGCAAGCCTAATCTGCACTTCTCTCATCAGACACTAATGGCCCCGTATCTTGTGTTAAACTCAGCCAGTTTGATTTACAGAATTGGCAGCATGAAAAGCCTTTCTGTTATCTCAATGGGCTTTACAATCAACAGTACATCTTAAGTCAGAATAAACGAACAAAAAAGCCCTTCTCTCGCTAATTTGTCAGAAGGAGATCCTCAATTTTAGGGCATTTTATCTCCAAAACAAAGCGCGCTATCGACATAAAAATATTCTTGGGGAATATGTGCATAGAAAATTGGATGATTTCATGACAGAGCAATCCAGTTATCTGATCAGCCAATGAGACTTCAATGAAGAAGTTCGTAGGCCGATTGTCACTTGTACCTACACGTTTCAAGACAGTTCAAGGTCATCTCTTCTTTCACGTTTATAATAATGAATTTTTTATATTGTTAATGTGTTAAAATTAAAAAAAGCACAAAATGCAAAATTGAAATAAATAGTTTTTTAAAAAACAGCAATCACAAATTTGAGAAGAAGGCCCCGCGTGAACTCTTCTCAGGGATGACTTCTTAATTCGTCAATTTTATCTTGAAACAACTCGTTTGACAACTTTCAACTTTATTTCCCAGCGACAGCTAGCTCCAAACTCAAGGAGGTTTTTTTTTTTTGCAGTTGAACCAGGTTTAAATATGTCATCCTTGAAACCAACTTCAATTAAGCAACTAGGAAAGACATTGGAAAAAAAACTGAAAATGTAAAATTTAGAATAGGGCAACGAGAAAAAGAATATGACAACGAATTTGTTTTTTCATCACGATAACATGCATCGATTTACAAATACAGTGTTCATCGTTCTCGATGGATTGAGTTATTAAAGGAAAGGATCTCAATACGCCATTATTGATACTCATAACTGTTGCTGTGCAACGCAAGCAATCCTTTAGGATAGGATTACAAGCAAATAATATAAAACAAATAAAGACAGAATCACAATAGAGGCAGTTAATTTATTCTGCACGTACAGACAGGTGGTGTTTCTTTTTTGACAGCTTTCTTTCAATAACAGCGAGGGTTTATCATTTTTTTTTTTTTACAAAGGGTTTTTTTTTTCAGGGTTTAGCTTTCGTTTGAAATTTGAGTTTAACATAGCTGGAAAACAATTCGTGGAAAATTGTGATTTTTTTTTTTACACAATTGTTATCACGGGAAAGTCTGTATGAATTCACCAGCGTTAGTTAATGCCACGAGCGTCCAGAATTCAAATGGCACTGACAAATGGCAGCTGCCCCACTATATACCTCTCCGCGCCATTCAAGCACCTTCCATTCTTCTTGCTGTTGCGATATTATTTGGCAATGCTCTTGTCATCGCATCCTACAAGATTAACCGGCGACTGAGAACTCGAACAAACGCATTTCTCGTCAGTTTAGCCGTGTCGGATTTCCTGGTTGGAATTATATCGATGCCGATGTGGATCTACAACATCATCATAGTGGATAATGGTTCCGTCCCCTTTAAAGCCATTTTCAAAACTTTCGATGTTTTTTCAGCTCTGGCGTCCATTTACCATTTGACCGCCATAAGTATCGAACGTTACATTGCCGTTTCTCGACCGTTTTATTATAAAAGTTTACCGTCCTTGTTTCAACGGACAATGATAACATCTGCATGGCTTGTCGCCGGCTTATTGGCTTCTCTCTCGTCTCTTACCATGCCATCTGTTCTTAAAATCCCTTGGAATAGTCGAGTATATGCCACTATTATGTTCATCATCAGTTTCGCAATTCCGGCAGCCATTATCTTTTTTATGTACGCGGGCATTTTTTCAGTAGCGCGCTCACTTCTTCAACGTAACCCGCACCACTCCCCTGGAGGTCGTCAAAGCACAGGAAGCCTGATGAGCCAATACTATCAGGGGGAGAGAAAAGTGGCTATTACCGTGGCATTCATCACAGGTTTGTTCATTACTACCTGGGTGCCATTTTTTACTGTATCTATCATGGCTGCCTATTGCTTTCACTGTCTTCCTTCGTCGCCGAAAACATTCACATGGCTTGTTGCTATTGTTAAGGGTGTGCACTACCTGAATAGCGGTGTGAACCCACTAGTGTATGCTCAACGGGACAGTGAAATGAGAAGAACATTCCTTACTCTGTTAGGACTTAAGCGCGTCAATCGTCGTTTGAGCGCCAAACAAGAAAAGCCATGGGAATTAAACAACTGACTGGCCGCACGATACAGTGCTATCATTTAGGTAGTTCTAGTGGTGCGCAGTATCGTGTGAGTGATACAGTTAATGAAATGTTTATTAGATTTCCTGAAAACTATGTGGGTCACTGTAGACCGATGGTTTCTGAGTAAGCTGCACCCTAGGTCTAGAAGTCCTGTCCAAGCTATTCCATTATGTTCCTAGGTAAGACAGTTTAATTTTACCGTGCCCTCCAAGCCCAAGAGTATAACTGGGTATTCGTAAGCTACTCACTTGGTTAGAACTCAAGGAGGTCAGCCCTCGGTGGAAAAGCATGCCGTTAAGTTTAATTGATGAGCTCCGATAGCATGGACTTGGCTTCTTTACCAATTGCAGTTAGTTTCATCTTACTGTTTGATCAGTAACATGTATTTGTGTGATCTGAAACCTTCCGATGAATAATGCGAGAACTTTGCAAATAAGGCTGTCGAGCTGCACCTACGAAAGCGAAATACTGTCGAACGAAGACCTTCTTATGCATTTTTCATTCTCATACAATATTTATATAGTTTTAAATGGAGGTCCGGGGTTTAATTACTTTTTCTGCGTTATTTGTTCTTAAAATATAAAATTTGTTTTGTATATCCAGCTACAACGGCCAATTTCACCGTTTTCTTTTTAATTATTCCATACTGACGATTTCAACGAACTCCAGAAAATGCTGTTAGTTGTAATCATCTGTGATAACGTTGTATAAGAAAACTGGTCTTCTTTAGTTTATTATAGAATAAAATTAAGCTTCCCTTCCTGATTTAAAGATCTTTCAGCATCTACCGACAAAGATGTCGAAAGAAATGACAATCTTTATGTTTGGATCAGATTTCAGTTTGCGTTCGAAAGCAAGTTTTTTTCTGCGTTTGACGGGATTGTATACAAATTCTTTGCTCATGATCGTCACTGAAATAGACTACGCGCCGTCACAATCGTTCGTAATTTTCCGCACAAATCTGCTTTGCAACGAGCAATTCCGCAATTTAATACATCAAGGCTTGTGCCGAGAAGTACATCTATTTTTAACTTCTCAACATTAGCTGCAGTTAGTTCAGCGTGAAAATGAATGAGATATTGAATCACGGGGTTGGGGTGTTATCATAAGCCTCAAGATATTTGCACTGAGTAAAACTGAAAAATTATACTCAGGTTAGTGGTAAGCCAACTTTGAAAGTTTACAAAGACGTAACGGTACCTGGGCTTAGAACAATAACATGCTGATATCATAATTGAAAGCGCACCACCCTCAAGAATCTTCTTTGCGTAAATTTTTTTTTTTTTGGTGGGGACACTCCATTACCAGTGCTTCTCGTCGCGTGGACATGAGCCCGCAGATACCCAGGAAGATGAGCAGTAAAAATACGTTACGTTAAGCGCTTGGAAATTCGCCACTGCGACCCCTACCGTCTTTGTAAAATCTTAGCCACGCCCCAGTTGTACATAATTATATTGTATTTCTGTGTTTGTCGACCCGCGGAGAGGTGATGTGGATTATGTTGAAGAAGGGAACGTGCCTCTGAGAAAACGCCCACGTGCATACACAATATGATGGCTGCAGGAATTAAGAGGCCACCGACAAACAACGATGATAATGTAGATCCACATCGGCATCGATATACTTCCGACCAGGAAATCCGACAGGGCTAAGCTAACGAGAAACGCGTTTGCCTGAGTTCTCAGTCGCCTGTTGATGTTGTGAGATGCGACGACAAGAGAATTGCCAAATAATATCACTGTGGCAAGAAGAATGGAAGAATTGCTCGAGAAGGAACTAACTCAGTTGTGTAATTCTCCTGTTACATTTCCTTCCAATTTCTTATCATGAAGGATGCCATTCTTTTAAGGGCCTTGGAAACTTCAGAGCAGAAACTTAATCTTTACACGACCTAAATCACTTTTTATTTTTGTTGCACGCCCTTATCTATTCTGTGGTGTAAGCAAGCTCTTCCCACAAAGCAGATTATTCTTATTTATAAAGGGCTTGCAGTTTTCTTGCGATATCTGTTCAACTAGCCGCGTAGATTTTGATGAAAATGGATATATGTCGAAGAAACGGGACCATATTTCTTTGCAACGGCTTTAGATGAAAATTACTTTTCCCTTCGTTGAAATTTAAGTTTTCAACTATCTTCTCGCTTTTATGAAATCGTAGTGGTTTTTTTGTTCTATGGGAAAAGGTCTCTTGCGTTATTGAGGTTACTTTTAATCGACACAACTGAATAAGTTTTCACGAACTTTTTGCATTCGAAAGGTTATCTTGAGGTCCGATAATAATCAGCTGTAACATACGGTGCATGTGTTTATTTTCATTTTTTGATGAAATCTTCCATCTAGTAATCAATTCATCTTTTTGATTATAAAATTCTCAGCTTCAGAAATGTTTGTTTGTTTGTTTTTTTAATTAAACGACTATCGTTACTTAAACGTTAAAAACATGATAATAATAATAACACTAATAAGCTTTGAAAACTCTGAAAAACCTGAGTGGCTATATAAAAATCAACATCAAATATTTCGTTTACCTTCTCCCACGCCGCCACACCTCAACCTCATACAATAATGGAACATGTTATTTAACATATGGTATAAGTATTCGAATTTTAATCAAATCTTCCTTATGGTAATTAATTCATCACTTTGACAATAAAGTTCCCATCCTTCATAGATAACATTGTTTTCCAATTTTAAAATTATCCTTACGATAGCCAAAGACTGTGCTAAGGTAACTATGAGAAATATGTAATTTTGAGGCCGTGTAAAATTTATTACAAAAATTTCACATAGGGAATATTTTTTTACGTCAGTATAGGCCGACGATTCTATTACTTGGATACATCGGCAAAGCCACGTGATGTCTTCTCAAAGGTGCAATCATCCATATCTTCAATCGTAATCGTTAGAATACTGTTCACATATATAGTTCCTTTGAAGTGAGCAAATATAGCATATACATACCTTAGATTTGTTTGATTTGCTTGTTGTTCGTAATTACTCACCGATATTTGCTTGCGGTAAGCATTTATTCTCTGCTGTTAGTTTGCGGTTATCTAGCCTTCATCTATACTTCGTTAAGGTGTCGTTCTCTGTCTACATGCCAGCATGACTTTTTACGACTCATTTTCAATAATTTTATAATAAATCCACGCGTTTACACTCGCCAAATTCTCGTTATACGAATTGGTGATGATGGTCCAATGATGACGAGTATTTTTCCATAATTGGAGCGCACCTTTTTTTTTTTAGATGCATTTTATTTTCTTCCTTTTCATAAAAAAAACTTGATATTTCAGAGGTCAGGGTAACATCATCCCAAAAATAAATTCGAATGACCGCAGTTTCGAAGATCGCGACTTTATCATTTCGTTTCGAATTTCAAGATCAGAAATTGCAAGCATTTAACAATGCTTTCAGGTTTCCAAAGCTGATTAATTAGCAACACATACGAATAAATTTATTTTAATTTATTTCACTTTCAGAGAGACGTAAAATAATACACTGGCGATCTGGAAAATGCTTCGTTATGAAATTTTGATCATGACGCTGATAAAAAAAAATTGATCTTAGGTTTAGATATACCTTTTTGAGAACATCATGCTCTTAGCTTGAGCAGCAATGATTTCCAGATACCTTCGTGAAACGCTGTCAGGTTTTAGGAATATTCCTTTTTTTAACATATTCTTGTAATTGAGAAGAGTAAAATCGCTAATCTTATCATCCAATTGGTTGTTGTTGTTGATTTAAGATTTGACAACGAAGCTCGTTTGTTGGAAATTGCGAGCAATTTCGATCAAACTCTGCTTTAATCACCAAACTATTGTCGTCGTAATTAAAAAAAAAAACCTTCGAACAAACAGGAGCGTTCTTTAAAATGACAGTCTGAACAGCTCCACAGGAACAGTTTTCTGAGAACAAGGATCGTCAACTGAATATTCCTCACGATGTAAGTTTGCAATTCTTCATTAATAGCTTATTTGATTCAAACGAAACTAGTAGCATCCTAAAGTTACTTCATTTTCATTATCGACATTGTCTTTCTTCGTGAAATTTTAACTGAGCGAATACTCATCATGTATGATTTTATTTCTTCGATTTTAACCCTACATGAATCAAACACGAGCATCAAACTCTGCAAAAAAATAAATATATATTTTCGTCTATTTGATGGCTCACAGAGTATAGGTTTCGAGAAACTGCACATATTGAAAGGAACAGTATGCATATGTTAGGCCCATTTTCTTATTACAATTTTAAGAAAACAAATTTAAAAACTGAGCTTAATTAATTCCCCGTATTTAAAAACTTCTGAAGATTATTCTCTACTTCCTAATCTTCTCGAACGTTTCGAACATAGTAACATAATGCATGTTATATTTTTTTACCTATTTCATATGCATATCAAGACCGACCTGAAAAATTCTTGTATTTTAGAGCCTTTTCTCGGCTGAATTTGCTTAAGATGTTTTTGCAGGAAAATAATGGGAACGAAATGAAAGTATATATATAAAAAAGATATCCTCGCACAATTAATTTTCGAGCAAATTGAGGCCAGTCTCATAACGCTATGATGTGAAGAACTATTCGAAAAAGTGCTAGAGTCATTTTCAGGTGACATAACATGAAAAACTTCCTTGCGATAAAAATCGAATCTCATAAGCTGCAGGAAATTTGGTAATTTATGGGGATGTATATATTACTCGCATTTAGCAATACCATTTAATTTTAATAGCTTTTTATAGTTTTACCCAACTTATGAAGTTAAAGCTAAGGAATGTCAGTCAAACTGTCATAATTAGAACGAAAGAAATTCTTGAATCCAAAGTTATTAATCGTAATAATTTAGTTCAGGAGCGAAAGAAAGGATGAAAATGGAAAATTCGGGATTTCTTCGTTCTTTGTGTGTGCTAAAACATGGCCAGTGTATTGTGCACTAATAAAATTTGGCCCCGACTGAGAGCCGAGCAATTTACGAACATTTTAATGTGTCAACATCTCCATTTCATCCTGCAAAATGCACCAAAATGCCCGCCTTTTTTGTAAATAGTGATAATAATCGAAGATATGACATGTTTTGTATTCTCTCGACATATCTGTGTAAAGTAAATACATTTGGAATGGAAAGTCGTCTTTCTTTTCACCTTCTCGTTGCTCTGGCTATCGAAAACTTGGCAACGAAAGTAAAAGAAAATAAAGGAAAAAATTTGTTGAGAACGTATTGTTTGCACGCGAGGCGATTGTATTTGAGGCAGGCAAATTTTGTTTTCGGTATGTTTAAATAATTATTTTATGGACGGTCTAAAACATGAATCAGGCACTCACCGTTGTCCGTGTGAGATTCAAGGTGTTCAAAGAAATTGTAATTTCGTTGATTATAACAGGGTCGCCTGCAAACTTCTGCTGTGGTTCTTTGCTTGAGCCTGTAACCGCTACGCTTTGGTGCGTTCCGCCTCTTTGATCCCATGTTTTTAAGATATCTCCACTTTCAAAGCGAATCAAGACTTCTTGAGGTCTTCTCTCGAACCTTCGTCTCTAGGCAACAGTTATGTGCAAGTATGCAACTTCACAAACAACTACGCTTCACGGACACCGAATTTCGATCAGAACCCCTTTGATGAAGCACATGAAGCACAGTGGAAATTTATCTCATATAGTTAAGTAGTTACGACTGTGTCGATTTAACCGAAATATCACACCGAAACATGCACAGAAGCAATGAAGGGTGGGGAGGGGCGAGGTCATCAAAAAACGCCTTTAACTGCGAGAATATTTTAACCTTTAGCTCCTGCATTTTAAAGTAGCCTTACGCCTATCATTTTTTCGATTTTCTAGGCGACACGAAGTTGAAATTTTCAATATATAAAGTTTAGGCAATTCGCATCTTACTATTGATTAATTCTCCCAGTCAGTTACGACCTTTCAAGGGAAATCATTGCGCTTCAATTACTCGTGCAGTATTTTGGACTCTATTTTGAAACTCTGTCTTACATGAAATTCACGCTTGAATTTTCAGTGCTGGGTCATCTGTGATGTAGGTACCTCATGCCATGTTCTCTGTTAGACAATGTCTTGGAAACGTTGAGCATTTGGCCATTGGGGAAAGAAGGTGGGAGGGGGTTGGAGTTATGTCCAAACAAATTGCAAATGAAAAATTCTAATTGGCTGAGAACACTTGTATGTCAATCAAACGTCTTGGCTTTCTTTGAAGAGCACAATTGATTGAAAAATAGAACGCGAAAAACAATATTTCCAAACCATCAAAAGATTTCAATACTTTGTGATGCCATGCACTTCGAATTCTTTACCGCATTATCGCGCTGAAAAAGCAAAACGTTGAAGCCATTTAGTTCCGGCATTATTTTCTGTAGAGACAATTTCAAAACAAAATGGTAAAATCCGTAGGATCCCGTAATTGAATGAGCTCTCTGCCTGAAAAGACTCAAGTTTTCCTTTTTTACATACCTTTAAAGATTTCTGATAAAATTTCAATTTCTTTTGCGCATTTTGCGGGACGGTAATTGTTTTGTGAGGTCTCCTTAAAAACGTTACGCGGGAAATTGGCGCGTAGCCGGCCGAAATTGATCCCCTGCGCACGCCCAATTGTTGACCCCTGTGTTTGGGTAGTACGACTTAACTGATCTGAATTGTGATCGGAAAACAAGTTTGACACTAAATGAGTTGGGAGAGAATATTTGAAGTGGCTATAACAAAGAAATCGATTTAACTTATTTATATGATTTAACGAATAAGACTCGCTTGGTTATGAAAATACGAGCCAGTCAGCGGGTAACTGGGTGTGAGGCTTTGGACCGAAGCCTCCGCATTGAATAAAATTTCAGTATCCAGCTTTGCAGCCTTGGGTATCACTGGAGAAAGTAATGGTTCTTCGTATGCCATGAGAGTGAAGCGAAAATTCCCTCCCGATTTAACAGATAGAGAAAAAAGATGGCCATCCCGCCCTTCAGAACACAAATATTCACAAAAAGAAAAAAACACAAAGGTTTTATAATAAATTCATCACGGCGCCTATATTTTATTTAGATGCTGCTCAAAATTCCTAAAAATTGTAAAAAATTAGACTGGTACTGGTGCCTCTTACAAGGCTTAAGCCAGTTTAACGGGAAAGCAACTAGGCCCGCATGCCACTTGGGTATATTTACTATGGCTAGCATTCGGTTAGATATCATATAAACGTAAGCAAAATCACAACGCTGCCGTTGCTTTGCTGCATATAGAGTGTAAAGTTTGTCATACGTAATAAATTTCCTCACAATGTCTGAAATTGTGTGTGAACTTAACGCTGTCTATAAGGCTTGTGTGCAAGTTTATAAGGTGTTGAAACAATTAGAGATTAAAATTGGTTGTTAATCTGGATCGCGCACATAAGTGTGACAGGCATATATAGGAGTACAACGACTTCCTTGTTATAGCTTATGAAATCAACCTTGGCACTAAAGTCAAGACATTAATTCGATTAACTTTGAAAACTGTTTCTGATTCCTACCATCATCTGAAGAAAAAAGCCGATTAATCATTTATTCGTTTGAAAAAAAAGAAAAAAATTTTATGTCTTAATCAACATCCACAACTCAACTTAACCCTATCGAGTTGCTTCATATGTCACACCATTCAAATGGACATTGGATTAAAAAAACATAATATTCGTGCGTTTGCACAACACAATTTATTTGTGTTTGGAGTTTAGGTGACCACGTGCAGATCTCCATTTTGCGTGCGCTTGGTGCGATAGCGAATGACAAGGTAAACAGTGGCGCAGATGACAGCTACAGCCACAACACCACATACTGCCCCAACAATTGGTACAGTCTGGGAAGGCTGGTGGGTCTTCTTTTGGTCTTTAGGTGCAACTGAAATGAAGCAAATAGATTCCAGGTTTAATCATTGAACTAAACCATCGGGGCGTAAGTAGATTATAATGTTAAACCTTTCATGTCTATCAATAAAGGCAGAGATACTAAGAAAATTTCTACAGTCTTTCTAGAGGTTCTTATTCAGCCTTCGTTAATTTTCTATAGTCATCATTACGATATATGATATTACATTTCGTTCCGTTTCTATAGGTTCTACAAGTTGCCCCGTGCGGCCTTTTTTTGTAACTTGGTCAATTATCATGGAAAACCAGTCTTGGTTAGCAGAGAATGTGGAAAGCACCTAACAAAATTCCCGTCCTATGGCCAAAAGGAGTGTGAATTATCATTTACCTTCATCTTTGTTCAGTTCTTCCTGCTGAAAGGTGAATGGACCGTAGACAACACGATAAAGCTGTGACTCATCCACCGAATCAGAGATTGAACGACGTCTACGCCCCACCGGTGTAACATCAACGGAAGGATCACCTACGCAAGCGGCAGCATCATCTGGACATTCACATTTGGTATTGTCTACATCTGCCAAGCAAATTCTGAAATCGCAGTGGATGTAAACTTCGTCTCCTGCTTCTGCCCCAAAATACCGATAGGTTTTGAGTGAGAATATTTCATATTTGCTGTCGACGGTACAATTGTATGACAATGTGTCGTCGAGGTCTTGGCTGACAGAATCGCTGCCACAACTATGATGAAATGATAAAAAATCATATAACTAAGTAACGTAAGCAAAATTCCTCTTACTCTTTGAGGTAACAAATTTTATCCTAAATGGACAAGATCCAGGTAAATCCATAGCATCGGCTGTATGTTCTTCACTGAGTTGATACCAGGCATACAGCATACAATTCAAGAATAGCTTCCTACGAAAACTACAATGGTAGGTTATAACAAGAGTTTTGGAAGGCTTGCCATTTATTAGCGAGAAACTTGAAAAAAATTGTGAATGGATTTCTTTATTTAAGGGGAACTTTATTTCTTATAGAAATAAACAGTGTTACTCACTCATGTTTGATCAGTAGTCTGAAAATATCTCACAGATACTCTGGCAAAATTCTTTTTAATTAAGATAAGTGTCACTCTATCTGGGGTCTACACTGGCGGCCATCTTTTACTTAGATTAAGAACCACAGGGAGTAATAATGATACCAGACAATTCAACACGAATTGGGTTAAAGGACGGTTCACACACAGAAGTATTGATTAATTATTGGAATAAACTGAGCTGTGATGCGACTACCTCATAAATCACGGTTAAAATTCGAATTTTGGATGTGGTTCATTTGTACATTTGTATGCATATATGCCACCATATTCAAATCCACATCTTTCTAAATGATTTTCATTTTTAACCTCGTCAAATATTTTTACATTTCCTTTTCTTGAGGTGCTGGACCTCACTGAGGAGCTCTTCGATGAGGTGGGTCCTGCTCTGTCTAAAATTTTATGAAATTAATATTGATTGTTATTATCATTGTTGTCGTAATTACATATTGGTCATGTTTAGCGGGCAAATTTTATCACAGAAATTCTTACCCGTTGCTTATAAGAGTAAAGTTAGCACCAGTATCATCTGGATCATTGCTTTCTGATGAATAGCATCGCTCAGGGTACAAGTCAAGGTGGGGGCGCTGCTTTGAGTCTCGAAGTAAGCTTTGAAGAAAATCTCTACATCCAGAGCAACAGGGTTGGAAACCGGCGTAGTATGTGCTTCGTCGCTATACGCCATGAGAGAAAAGGTGAAAACTCCGTCATCTGAAAATTACAAAAGAGACCACAAAAGTGAGTAAGGAAAAGTAAGACAAAGCAAAAGAAATTTCAAAAGACTTTATCGAACACGTTTGTATTATTCAAGGATTTTGCTCGTCCTGATAAATGCAAGGCTAGATTATATTAGCAAACTGAATGAAGTGTAGTTGAGACATCTATTCACTGATCTGTAACTGCTACTCCAGTAGCAGATTACTGATCGACGAAAAAAGACGATTTGAAAATTCTACATTTTTTCAGGTTAGTTGATGATAATAACTCTTTTTGGACCGGCATGCTCTAATAGTCCTGTAGTGATAAGGATGAGAAGTGAAACTTTCTCAATCACAAAATAAAATACGAATGCATTTTGTACACATGGCTGTCTTTCAAAATCATGCCAGGCTTTTATAAATGTTTCTCCGCCACTTTATTTTTTATATCAAATTGAAACCAAAGAGATTATTTGTTCCTTTTTTTTCCATCAGCCACCGAAGGAAGGCTGGTCAATACATTCGGTGGCAAAGGTTTGATAGACGCTCCTCAGGGATCTCCTCTTTGCACGAATACATTCTAAGATTGTTTATGTAAATTATACATGCTGTTATCTTAACCAGATCTGCATACCTGTGTCGTTAGCCCCACGGTTCTTGATCGGCACAAAACTCGCCGAAGCTCTGCCTGCGTTATCGTAGTTACACGTGACGTAGTACAGGTGGTCGTAAGTGCGCAACTGCCCTGTAACTGAATCACCTGAAACCTTTTCAGCGCTGATTTTGAGGATGTATTGAACTTCTCCATCTTTCTGGTTTGACTCGTAACACAGTCGGGGAGGTATAGAGCTTCATAGGTAACTGTTTCAGCATCATTATCAAGTGTTGGTTGACACGCTGCAGTGTTTGTCGATGTTCTCCACTCTGGTGGGTCCCAAAATTTTACATCATCCACGTTTGAGATCAATATACTCACAGTGTGATTGGAGTTACAAGTCACTGAGGCCGTCGTCTGACCTGAGAGCGAGTAAAAAATCAATTTTGAACTCCAACTCTCTCATTTATGATGGGTAACAATACATTCCATTTAGTTGTAGTTGTGAGAAAAGAGACACTTTATAATGATGAAATGTTAACGAATCCAAATTAAACCGGCGAGGAAATCGCGGATTTAAATTCTTTTATCTCATAATTGCTTTTCGTAATGCTTCGATATAATCGTCAATTCATGAAGCCCTCGGGAAAAATAATAATTATCATAATTTTAAAATCAAGATGAATAAAGACAAGACGACGAATGCGTTACCTTTTGTTTGATGTAAAACAAGCATAAATGTCGCCAAAAGAATTTCCCACTTCATATTGATAATTAGGTTCTCGAGGATCTGTGGCAACAGAGAAATTAATTAATGAATAGATGAAAGAATTGTAAAAAGTTGTTGAAAACCACGAGCAAATAGAGCACAACTTTTTGAAAAAGGATAAGCTGTGAAGGAGAACAAGGAAAAAAAAAAGAAAAGGAAAAAATACGAGAAAAAAACCGAACAAAGAAGAAACACATCAAGTAAACAAAAATAAACCATAAAAAACCTAAGTGCAAGATGAAGATAAACATCATCAATAAAAATTGAAAGAAAAACATAAAAGAGGGTTGTAAGAACAGCGAAAAAAAAAAGTATGAATTTTATCGTTCAAAGCATAGAAAACATGATTTCTATTCGTAATATTCTTAATTCTTCTTAATTTTCTTTTGAATTTAGAAATTCACTGACTTGTGGGACAACTTTGCATTTTTAGTAGGAAAACACCGCTTGGAATTAAATTTCCAACTAGAGCACAGAAAGAAATTAACAGTGGCCTTCTAACTTACCAAAGCTTATTTTTACTCCACAATCGGTCCGCAATGAGACTTGGGTATAGACAATGTGATCGCGAGACCAGATGAATGACTTTGTACTCACTGGAAATAGAAGAGATAAGGAAATGAAAATTGTGCGTAAAACTCTAAGGAAATACATGTTTTTATAGTCGTGTTACCTCTCTGAGACTGGTGCTCAACTGAAAGACCTCTCCCTTGCCTGTGTCTCTTTAAGAAATCTACAAACGAAACCGCAATGCAGAACGCACGAAACAAGAACGAACATTAATAATTCACAGTTGAAAGCTCAGCTGAACCATGAATAAACGTCATATCCATCTACCTTATCGCGTGGGCAAAACTGGATCTATTGTGCAGAATCTTTCATGCAAGTCTTCTAGAGCACTGAAAATTTTCAAGATATCTTCTATGCAGGCACGTTGAACTTAAATCCGAAGTTAAATTGCTAAATCTTCCTTCTTCTAAATATTCGCCGACACCTGGAAACAGCAGACGTTACAGTTGAATGCTTTGTCAGTCCAAGAGCAAACGTTTCCGCTAGTTCGGATCGTAACCGTAACTGTTGCTATGCGACGAATATCAACCCTGTTGTTAATTCTGGCTGAGATTGCCTGAATGATTGGAAAGCTTCAAGACATTTCTAAGATTTCTTTCCATAGCAATCGTCACTAAATTATTTCAAAGGCATTTCCTTCGCGAAAACATGAAAAATGAGTGGAAGGATTCGAGAATTGTGTTACTCTTTACTCGAACCAAACTTCGATAAAATATGTTAAATTTCGCACCAAATTCGTGAACAGCTTTGAACCGCAATTAACCTTCACACAATAAAGAGAATATTGTGTAGGAGTTCAACCTGACTACAATAAAGGTTGAAAATAGTTTTGAATAACATAGTTAAGTAATTAAATGATACCAACATATAGGAAAATTGATATGACAGACAAATTTTTTTCGTTTGACGATTATTTAATGTTAATTAAGCTTTGTCACAAAAGAGGTAATCTCCAACTTGCAAGTGGTAAATACTTATAAACACATTTTTCTACTGTTAAAGAAAGGCAGTAAGTTTCTAAACAAACTGTGGTGCTGCTTCATTAGGAGTATTACAAGTTATTTCTTACCTTTCAAGCGCAAAAATAAACTTTACGAGCGTAGAGACGAAGGGCTAACGTTTCCGGCGAGCGTTATCCTTAGTCAGGGCTAACGCTTCAAAGGACGGCTCAAGAAACTCTCTACGGTGGCCAATAAATGTTATAAACTCAGTTTATAAAACCAAATTATCTTGAAATTTCCGATAGATTCCACTGCTCAGAGGACAAGACGACTCACAATAAATCCTCTGGTTTTTACAAAGGAAAAGGCTGTTGTGGCTACAGTTCTAATATCACATTGCATAATGAAAACTACACATGGCCATATTTTAGCAAGGAGAACCGCATAATGCTAAAACGTCGATGCTCCAAGCTGTTTGGAGCCTTTGAGAATTACGAAAAGAACGACAGAAAAGTCATTCAGACATCTAGGTTTCATGATTTAAACCAATTTTAGCCGTTGTTTACCAAAACCGCGTCCTAGACAATCCTAAATTTAAATGAATCTTTTATTTGAACACTCTTTTTTCCAACTGTGTCATGGGAACCGACAGCTAACAGTGGAAGGAAATTTAGTCAATTAAATCAACGCTCCTGTAGAGGAAGCTTTAAGCCCACTGATTGCGTAAAACTGTGGTTTGGATTAGACCTCGTGTAAACAACGGATCCTAAGTGTCTATCTTTGTCACTGAGGAGGTTTATATCCTGCGTGAAACTGACAAATATTTATATAAAGGCATTTCTACAGATTAGACTGCTCAGGGGACAACATTTCCAACGATATACTGATCATCTGATTTTACAAAAGAAAAGCTTCCGTGAACTGTAGTTATAATACTGCCATGCTTAAAATCAGTTTAAAAAATGGACATAGCTATATCACGGAGAACCTCACAGTGCCTAAACTTTCATGGAACAAGCTCTCGATTAAGGCTGCGAGATACTTTGCTTGTGAGGCGTAAAGAAAAACGTAATGGACTTTGTGATTTACAATGGGCACCGCATAGATACGAGAAATAATTCTGATAAATATTTAGCGACAAGTTCTTTCGCATGAAGAGTCCACAAGAGGCAAACGTAGAAAGTAAAGGCCGGCCTTTACTTCGAATTGAAAGGCTAATTTGTACAACTATGTTAACTTATTCAGTACTCATTAGTTCTTTAACTAATGCTGTTTAGAAAATATGAATACTATAAACCTGGTTGTTATGAGATATTTCCTTCCTCTCTCTCTCCCTGTCTTTCTTTCTTTACTAAATTATCTCGCTTTTTTTTTCTTCTGGTATGCAAGTTAAGTAACCTGTCCAAACTGGCTCAAACTCCTCTCTTCCTAAGAAATTTCAGTTATGTATTAATAATTAGAAAATAGCGGTTTCGTGCCAGCGAGGTAACCTCTCAAACCCCAAGTGCATATTTGGGTGCTTGTTTTTTTTTTCTTTTACGTTTTTTGTTGACCGAAAGTCAGATTAAAGACACTTGTCCTAAGTTAGAAGAATATATGAAAATGAGAAACAGAATTGAGCGAAGGAAATTTAAAAAGGAAATAAGGCAGCTTTTTAGTGTCGTTAAAATGTCAACAACAAACAAAATCAAGCATAAGTGCAGTCATTTGTGCTAAATTTTACGATTCTATATGGTTGATGATGCGTTAATGGCAAAGAAATATGGAATATTCGAGGTGGTTCTACCTTTTTAATTAATCAAAATAGTGTCCGAAAACCAATACCTCAATTTAGGCCGAGAATGCTCTAAGAAATGGCGTAAAGTCATTCTTAAAACCAACTTGATAGTGTGAGCATAAGGTCTGTGGTTTAAGGTGCTATTTCAGGACTATACGTCAAAATTTTACTTTTCAAGTAGTTTGTTTAGCAACGAAATATCTTTATCCCCTTTTGTCAACCTGGGCTTTCGGATGTGTTGTGGTTTACCGCTTCACTTTCTATCTTTTTTTTATCATTGGATCGTTGTCAGAGCTTCCACGAGTTTGATTTATAGTTCTGCTTGCCCCTTCCAGATGCAGTTGCCAACGTTAAAATAAAAGCGTGATTTCCGAACGGTTGACTAGGCATAACATTGGACACAACACTAGACGGAATTCGAACTTGCCCTAGCTTGCCCTGGTTTATTTACAGATTTAATATTCTGTCAAAATGAACAAAGTTATTATGTCTAGAGCATTCCCTCTTCAGGTTTTCCTTCAAGTGTATTAGACATTTGCTTTTGTTCACTGGGTGATTGTCTTGTAATGTAGAGCGAGTTATCTGGTGCAACATCTAAATTACAGCGTCTTACATATATTATTGTGCCGACACAATAATGTTCTATACCAACCCAAGGCACAATCATGACCTCGACCATTCAGCTGAAAAAAAGATTTAGCTGAAATCAAATTTGGAACCTCCTTTAGTGCAAATAACAAATCTTGTGATCTTAGTGGCCAGATGCGTTTAGAAGCAACGAGTACTTGATACCCTTGTCGCGATTTAAGTTAGAGTAATTTTGTGGTTTCGTTAAAACACTCCATCAGAAACGAAGACTGTATATGCTCTTTTAAGCGTTATCGATGTTTGCATTTGCGAGAGTGCGGCCATGATCCCTGCTACATGCCATGCTGTTGATATCAAGATTTTGTACACACGATTCGTTAACGTGCCGTAGGTAAATGTCCTCGAAATAACATAGCAAGAGAGAGTTTCCTACAATGATGAAAAAAGCTAAGGCCTGAGAAAACACCAGCAAAACATACGATGGTGAGCGCGATGAACCAGGAACTTCGGAAGTCGTATTCATCACCTCACTCCTTTACCGAGCAAAGAAGATTTAAAGATGGTTTTGAGGGCTCCACCTTAAAAATTGGAGAAGTGTTCAATGCAAAAACAATTTCCTCCTGATGAACGTCTTATCGGGCAGCGCTTTCCTTTGATAGTCTAATTACCTTTCAAATTTCATTCAAATAAATAGTTAAATAAAGAAATGCAAAATCTTCCGTCAAAGAACATGGCAGTAGCAGAATACTTCTTGTTGAAAAAATCTTTCACCCTTCATAATAACGTAGATATTTAAAGAAAAAGACTTGTCCAATTTTTTGAGTATCTCTCGCATATAATTCTTGCGGCCAACGAAAAAGGGCCTTTTTTTTAAAACATGACCAGCATAATCAAGAAGCATCCGGTTTGAAAGTATACTTGAATTGCCACAAGACAGGAAATATTTGAGACGCAAACGACCTTTGATGACATCCGTAGAAAATCTCCTTGGCTTTTCATAGAATCCATCCTCTAGTAAAACTGTCAATCTTAGGTGAAGTTCACCGACGCTTTGTAAGGCAAATTTGTCCGCCACAAAGCAAAGTGTTTGTTGCCCTTCACTGCTGAAAGATCGACACTCAAAGCCTTTTTTTATCCGGTTATAAGACAGTAAGTGTATTTCTTATCCTTAAAATTCATAACTTTGACGATAAATTCAAACCACTATGGGGGCTCCGTAGGTTTATTTAATATCTGTATAATTCAGTATTGTAACGTTGTTAGAGCGCCTAATAAATGACGTTTCTTTCACAACATCTCAAAAATATGATTTTTAAAATATTATCGAGAGGAACTTACGGCGTTTCATTATTAATGAAAGAAACCAGAACCTTTCGAATTCGTAATTTAATCTTTATGGCAAGGGTATTTTTAAATATCCTTTAAATATCTTTTAAATAGCTTTTAAAGGATCTAAAAATTCTAAGACAAATGCGGTTGCATAAAGCTGCTCATTTATTGTCTAAGCGCTCAATATTCACGTCTTTTTTTTTTTTTTTTTTGAAAAAATTTTTTGTTTGGATGAGTAAAAACTTAAAAAAAAAAAAATGTATATTTGAGTCCCCATGAAAAGGTGAACAAAAATGGTCCAGATGCCTCATGCGCAAATAGAGGGGAGTCATCACAAGCAAAACTAATATTCGTAAAAGGAAATCATCTCCTCCTAACACCATAAACTTAGAAAAACATGTCAATGCAATTCGTCATACCATAGAAATTACACTAAGGCATGGCTCTTTATACCAGCGATGGGCGATGCGATAATTTGTGATGTGATGTAGCGTGATCTAACGTGACATGACGTATTGCGGTATTTGATTTGATGTGATGTGAGACGATGTGATGTAACGTGATCTAACGACGTGACGTGATGCGATATGATATGAAGTGACATGACGCGATGCAATGTGATATGATGTGATGTGATGTAAGGTTATCTAACATGATTTGACGTGATCCGATGTGACGATGATGTGACCTGATGTGATTCGGGTGGTTCCACTTTACTGCCGCCGTATTGGAGAAAATTAATCAAGAAAATTCGTAATTCGTTAAATTTATCGAACGTGATACTTTGCCTCGAAAGTAATCTTCCAAAAAGATATCAATTGGCTTCATAGCAATGTACTTAAAATGAACGGTATCGTGTTCCTTGTAATGTGCCACCTCGGGTCCTCCGGTCCCTTCTGGGTAGGACCTGGTAAATGGGTAAACATCGAGAACCTCGAGGTTAGCCTGGCACATAAGGGAAGTGGCAAAGGTATTGTATAGTATCACTCTCTGAATAGAAAAAAAGATTTTGGTGAGCTAAGTAACCTCCCCTCTTTGTATATCAAAAGCCGTCCAAGCAAGGTCAAGTTTGCAAAAAAATTTTTCTGTAGTTTTTGCTTCGCATAAAAAGGTCTGTTAAACCCAACATTATTTTCAAAGACAGTACGAAAATCTCACAGTACTTGGACACGCTAGAAAGCCTGGGAATGGATGAAAAAAAAAAGTATTAAACTAAGTATTTGCCTACCGTAGGGTTCAGAAATCGCTGCCAGTCACTCTTTAGTCGGCTTTCAATGTCTTTCTCTTTATTCATAGAAGTTGTGGTTTTCCAAATAACGCGAGTCTTGTACCTTAATTCACCATTTCCCTTGTTCCTTTCGTTTAAAAGATCTATCACTCCTTTTAGCAGAATCCGATAGTTGGCTAAGCTTGTGCTTTCCATGTAATGCAGACCCAAATTCAGAATCATTGCGCTGTTTTCATTCATCTAAGGTCGTTCCAGGACTTCTCGGATGTGATCTAAGATTTGCTGGGGTTCAAAATCCTTGTCGTCCCAGGCTACTGGCTGTATGCTCGGCCACGGGTACACCCACATTTTACTTAAATTACAAACTTTCAAAACTTCATTGCACAGCAGCCCATCCTTCAATGATACGTATAATCTCTCAGCATTTGAGTCACCGAAAAGCCACAATGTCCCTAGTTTACGAGGAGACGTACTTTTGAATCGGGAGTGGTTTGAAATATCTGGATAAGAGAAAAATACACATTTAGATGGGTAGAATCAATCATATAAATGAAAGGGATTTGGCCGTGACAAGCTCACTGTTTCTGGATCACTGGAAATTTTAAGCTGTGGCTTTCCATTTTAGGGGCAATACGGGACAATAGGTTTTAGACCACGCGTTACGCATGCGCTGCGCTTACCCGTGAGCTATCGAGTTGAAGACTCGAAGAGACATACCATATCCGCGCGCGCCCATATATTTATCCCATATATTTATATGTATTTATTTTATATATATCTTTATCTATATATCGTAATAATCGATGATTTTGCAGCTGTGTAATTTTCTGAATTGGTTAAGGCCAGTCGAGCCTGTTCTCGTCATTAGGGACCTCAAACGATCAGGACGGCAAAGCCGAGGAAGACCTCGATAAAGTTAAAATTTTGCGTTCACTGCCACTTACAGCGCCATAACTCAAATTCAGCAAAACGTGTGAGTAGCGTTGAGTTCTCGGAAACACTGATTGGGTTTTTGTTCTTAGACGTGCGCGCTGATTTTGGTGATTTCATGGTATTGTTTTGCAGAGGACTCTCAAGAAATGTTCAAAGCCTTCAAACGCACATACTGAGTTAAAGTTTTGTCCAATATATCTTCTGTTTTGCCACTTCCTCGTTGCCTTCGCCGTTCAAGGTCTCTATCAACCAACTGCCAAGTCACTTCACTACTCATAAAGGACAAAAATTGACGTGCAGACGTGGACTCTTGAAGAATTTACACTTGTTACGTACCTGTGAGGTAAGGTCTCCAATTTTTTCCAAGCCACCTCCCAAACCCATCCCACATGAAGTTACACTTCACTCCACAGGTCAAGTCAAAGTCTGGGAGGAAACGTACCCTCTGTGAATTCATTTTTAATTGCCTGTTTAGTCTGTTTATTAAATAGGTTCCTATGAAAACAATTTACAGACATCATAAGATGTATTTTCGCATTTTCTCACAAAGTTGGATATTAACTATGTTTGGATGTAGCGGCCATAAGTGGAAAGTAATAGCCAGGCTATAATCTAGGATGTTGCATCTGAGACTTTTCTGGAACTCATCACATTACAAGCACATTTGAAAGACTTGTGTGAAGAAACAAAACCAGTTTTATTAACCCTTCGAGACCTAGGAGTGACTAGCATCTGGAATGATGTTACATGTACCTGGTATTTTTATTGGGTGTTTTCCTTGAGAACGAGAAAAATCCTCTCTAAATGTCTACAGTGGGAGTAAAAACTCCTTAGGACATACCTATACCCAGATATATTTAAAATGACCACTTTTTGCAATTCAGGCGAGCACACAGAACCTCCCTCCCCTCTAACAATGTTGGTAAAAGTGAGCAATTGCCACGGTGCCTTAACGAAGCGCACATAATTCAGCATTGTTTGGGGGAGAGGTGGAAGGGGGGATAGTTCGACATTAGTACTATATATCCCGTTGAGTATTCCATGACTTTTAACCTGCATATTACTTGATGGCTTATTTCTAGATTGTCGTAGCACCTTCGCCTTGGAAGCGAGAATTACCCAATGCTTATTTTCATCTTTTCCTTGAAATAACTAAGAAGTTATTAGATCCTATCCTACCTCCAGCTGTAGGTAACGGAATGTTGATCATAATAAGCTTTCCATCTTGAAAGCGTTGAAGAAGGTAATCATCTCTGGCTCGGTTCTTTCCAAGCATGCCTTCTTTCTGTAATTTACCATGCGAATTCCCTGAGGAAAAACAATACTTTTAAAATAAGGATTCTCTCCTTGGAACTTCCATTTAATGAACGAAGCGGGTAGGATGAAAAAAAACTGCGGTTACTAAACACAACAGTGAGATTCGATTTGTCGCGAGCGTAGTTTCAAGAAAAAACATTTGGGTCACCGCACGACGAATTTAATCTTGGACCTTTGGATTCTGCGATCTGATGCTCAACCATTAGGCAAAAGAGAGCAGCGGAGCATTCGGATCGCGTACTCTAAAGGCCTTAGGTGCGATTCATCGAGGGAACTAACTTTTTCATCGCCCCATCCTTGTCACAAGAAGAATAATATCTTTCATTATGCCTTAAACAAACGCAAAATCTACCATCTTTCATTTCTAAAAAATAAATAGTTATTCGTACCAACCATGAACCAATTTTTCGGGGGTTCTCGATATCCATCACATAAGCTATAGTCCAGAGTGATATCCAACTTATAGACCCCTGGGTCCATAACAAGAAACAAGAACTCGTATGTTCCATTTCCGTGATCAAACATTGTAGGTGACACAGTGGCCGGACTGAGAAGCAACACGCGCCACGAGTCGCCGCCAATGTGCTTCAACTTGCCATTCCGAGTCTTTGTTTGAATGCTGAAACGACTGAACTGACCCGCAGGCCTGATGTCAAAAATCGAAATCAAACTCTTGCTGGCATCCGTCTGAAGTTCGCGATTAGGTGACGGCCCATTCCATGAAATATAGTGGAAACATGGTTTAAGGATTGAGTCCAAATGAACTCGCGCTTGGTGAATTCTACACCAGCTTTCTTGAAAACTTTCGATTTGATGCGAAGTTTTCAGCGCGTCTTCGAAGCAAAATAAATTTCCTCCATTGTTTCTGAAATACTGGAAATAAAACAGTTGTAGTGCTATTGCTGATAGCCATAATTTCAGAACCGCTCTAGAATGCCGAGCGATGAGGGAGATCATTTAGAATGAATAAATGTTTTATTTATTAGGTTTATTATTATTTTCGTTAATAGGAAAGGACGTGGTGTGAATGATGTTGATCGTAATCATGGTAACTAAGACTAAACCACCAGTAATCTTTTTGTCAGCTTGTTCAACCTAACACTTATCCTAATTCAAAATCTATTTAATAAAGAAAACAGAGCCAATGAAAGAGCTTATGTTAATGGCCAATTCAAGTGATTCGCAGAAATAACTTTGGCCAAAAGTGACCGTGCCCACGCTTATTGAGACGTGTCAAGCATCTATTACCAGCAGAAGCGCGAATCACGTCGTACAATTCTTTGATAGTCCAGTTTTTGACTATGCCGATATCATTTGAGGAGACAAGGATAATACTATTATTATGGAAGATTTGCAAATACTGCAAAATAAAGCCGCAAAAGTTATCCTCGATTTTCCGAGCAACGCTTCATCCACTGATGCTCCAAAAACTCTTGGCTGGCCAACATTACTCCAACAGCGCCTTGTACATAGATACATTGCCACCTCTAAGTACATTCACGGGCTTGTGGATTATAGCTTTAACATTTAAAGAAATTCTGACATCCATAGTTATAACACGAGAAGAAAGAACGATTTCCGCCTTCCTCATGTTAAAAGAAACAATGGAAAACAAAGACTTTTATACATATGTGCAAAAGAATGGAATGTTTAAGGTACTTCTTTTAAAGAAATCGACTCTTTCCTCGTTTTTAAGCGAAGACAATTAGTTTTTTTATCGACTGAATAATTAAGCAACTTTTATTAACATATTTCGTGTATTTCACAGTTTTTATGTTTTTAACTTGTTATCTATTTATGATGAGTTTTATTTTTTTTAATACAGTGCCTCACAGAATACCACTTTCCAGTGACGTGAGCACCCTGCATAGAAACTGTTATTGTTATTATAACAATATGCACAAGCCGTGTCGTGTTCAACGTGAATAAAATTAAAAATTAAATTGGGTCGACGGAATTGATTCAAATTCCAATTACATGTAATTCTAGCAGCATGCCCTCGGCTTATGAATGAATCTAACGAAAACATCAAAGAACAATAGCTGTGCATTTGATTCGCCTCAACTGAAGTGCGCAAAGTGTCTGGCCTTGGTTATAGCTAAACTAAGATTGATAATTATGTCAAGCAAATTTGGTGATGCTTTATTAATGACATCGTACTTTGTAACTTGACTGTCGATTGTGATTTTGGACTTCTCTCGTACCATGAATGTGAAGCAAAACAGAGGTGAAATTTAAAGCATTTACAAGAACCAACACGATTCTAAGTTTCAGAGTTTTTCTAGCCGTAAATAGTGTTTAACGAGGTTACAGTAAAAAAAAAAAATAAAAAAATTCCTCGGCGAATAACAAAGAGAGGCACAAGTACATCAACATTCCAAGCAAATGTGTTCGGTTACTATGGTTATAGCTGTTGTAGTTTCAACGTGTCCTGGTGGATAATTTGCATAAGGTTAAAAAGCAGAAAATTTTTTACAACCATTCGGTGGAACTTACATGCTCCAAATGAGCCAGGTTAACGTCCACTGGTGGAAAACATTTGTCAAATGTTGGCTTTCAACAATAGTTTTTCTTCTTCTTCACTACAATTATGTCAGCGATGAAAGAAACTTATATTCTCTTGAGGAATCAAACAGAATTTCCCAAAATGTCGAACAATTCAAAGAATACTGGTGTCGAATTCGCCGAGCACGGGTCGACTTGGACTCAATTCTTAAACCATGTTTTTACAATATTTCATGGAATGGACCTTCTCCTGAACGCGCGCTCCAAACGGATGCCGGCAAAAGTGCGATTTCGTTCTTTGACATTAGACCAGCAGGTCAGTTCAGTCGTTTCAGCATTCAAACAAAAACTCGGAATGGTAAACTGAAGCACATCGGCGGCGACTCTTGGCGTGTGTTACTGCGCGGTCCGGCCACTGTGTCACCTACTACGTTTGATCACGGAAATGGCACCTACGAGTTTTTGTTTCTTGTTATGGACCCTGGGGCCTATAAGTTGGATATCACTCTGGACTATAGCCTGTGTGACGGATTCCGCGATCCGCCAAAAAATTGGTTCATCGTAGGTAAGATGTCTGAATATAATCAAAAAAAGTTCCTTGGGGAGTCTTGTTTGTGATGTGAATTGATGCTGGGCAAGATACTAAACTCTGGATAAGAGTTCTTTGCTTAAAAATTGTACATATAATGGTCCTGTAGCTTTTCTTGGGTTTGATTAGTATTTCAACAACAGAATCAAAGGTAAATGAACATGGAAAGCTGTTCTTTTGATTAATCCAATTGGAAATCTGACTTAAGAATACATTTTAAGAGGACAGTGCTTCAATTTGTGCAAGTCTCACTCATTTGACGTCATCACAGATTATTAAAACAGTAATTTAGTAAATTACATTATACATTCGAATTCAATTCGAGCCAAAATGTTTGCGCAGATTACAAAATCATTCATGTCATCTTCTGTCTACTTTTTCTGAAACTTAATTCTGAACACTTAAAACTTAAAGATGTATAGCATCAAGATTCTGAAACGTGGTTTTTTTTATCGTTGATTCTCCTTGCTTGATAATCATAGATGTTCATAAATTTGAGTTGGTTCTCTAAAACCATCATCATACAAGTACACCGCAGTCGGCAGCAAGTTTCTTTCATTCCCTCTTGTCTTGCACAAGGTTTCATATCTCTTCTGGCGTTTTAGGAAAGTCGTAGTAAAGATACCAGTCGCTTAAGTCTCAGCTTTAGGCAACCAGACTTAGACTTACGCAACCATTTTGCCGCATCAGGGAATGTCCTCAAGGAAGTGGATCTTTTGTTCGTGTTATGAAGCTAAAATAAGTAATAAAAAGAGTGAAAAAAATAAATCTAATTCCCAATCTTGGACAAAATTTGTGCCACAATTTTAAATTACCCACCACAGATCCTTTTAGTTTTGACCTGTTAAATCACCAACTGTATGTGAAGCACCTCACCTCATGAATACTACAACCTAGTCAAAACGATCCATCTTTCATGGCCAGCGGTCGCATTGATGAGATCTACTATTTTATCTTTTCGCATCGACCCGTTTGTCCCTTTTTCTTATTTTACTTTTTTTACAAGGAAATTCCCAAGGTAAGATGCAAAAAGATGGGACGCTCGGTGCAAACCGTACGAAGGACGACTACCTTCTTCAATCATTCCAGAATGGGAAGCTTATTATGATTAACATTCCGCTGCCAGACGATAGAGGTAAGGGAACTTGTGAATTTCTGACTGGATCAACGTTTCTGACGGTTTTCCTTTTGCTGTGCAAACTGAAAAATAAGCTGTATATACACAAAGCAATTAATTTCTGACGAGCACCGATCGTAAACACGAAGTCGCAATGCGTTCAACAGCGTACTCTCAAGGAACTACTCATTATTCATTATTTATACCCTGGGGGCGGAAAGTGGGTGGGCGGGGGGTTTCGGAGGAATTTGGGGGATCTCATGGTTTTCTCTATAGTTTTCAGGGGGAACAGAAGGGGATCAGTTGTCGCGAGTAGAGTATAAAGAGGGATGGAACTATAGAAAATGGACTGTCCTAAAAGGAAGATCATTAGAAAGCAACAGAGCTTTAGGGGAGAATAGGTAAATTTTGTTGTGGCTTTACCAAAATGTTCCACGTCCCCTTCTCCCTGATGATAAGTTAAGACCAGTCGCTGATTGCGTTTGAGCTTCTGTTTAGCAAGGACACGCTTTCCCGCATTACTTTGATCGTCATGACCCTTTAGGAAAAGCTATCAAGTGCACCGTTTCAAATACAGTCCAAGTGAACCTATTTGCCGTTTGTTGCAATGTTGCGGTCCTTTCCGGTTTATTCCTTCTGCCTGTAGGAGCATTTCTAATGAACCAGTTACCAGACCGCCCCTGCCTCTCTGCCAAGTTTAACTTGTCTTGTGGCATGGATTGTAAATTTACGTGGGATGGATTCGGCCGTTGGCTTGGAAAAAATTGGAAGCCATATCTTACAGGTATGTTTCAGGATTGTGGTTTACGGCAACTAAGCAGAACTAGCGTAAATCCCGTGAGGGAATTTATTATAAACCAACAGATTTCAGTCGTCGTACAAATGGTAGACGTAAGTAAGAACTAAAAGTCTGAAAACTGTAACGGTAATTACGTCAAAATTCAGAGCTTGTGTAAAATAGTCTGTTTCTACGCTCTTCAGTGAATTCACTGAAGAGCGTAGAAAACGAGTCCCTGCGCAGACGCATTAAAGTCGGAGGACCTCCTGCACATACCGTTCAGTTGATCTACCGCTGAGCCATACAGAACTCGTGACGAGCCATTACTTGACAGTTGGTTCATATGTGATTCTCGTCTTGCATACTGCTCCTGACGGTGAATGTTATTATTTTTTGTGATGTACAGAGCTTTAGAGGAGCTCTAACCACTTGAATTCTTTACAGAAGTACCTGGGCACACTAAGCCGATGAAATTGGGTATCACGGCTCCTAAGCTGGAAAAGTTGTGGATTTATGGAGACTCACAGGCCGAAAGACTGCACTTATCGATAAAAGATGGACCTCTTTGTACGGAGATCTTTAAATCTTGTAATCTAAGTAAAATGTGGGTTTACCCTTACAGCGGTAAGTTTCCAAAATGGGATGATCAAGACTTCGATAAGTCCATTATTCTCGATAGTCTCAGGGTTGTGTTGGAAAGACCCGATATGAGCGAAAACAGTGTGTTGATTTTGAATCTTGGACTGCATTACATGGGGAGCATCAGACTACAAGATTATAGAATACTTCTTTTGAAGGTGATTGATCTATTGAACGAAAGAAACAAAGGTACAGGCGAACTGAAGCATAAGGCTCGTGTAGTATGGAAAACGTCCACTTCTATAAGCAAGGAGAAGGGCACTGGAAGTCAACTGACAAGTGATCGAGGAAGATTTCTTGCTCTACCGGTAAGTATGTGGGGGGAAGAAGACATTAGAGTTGGCACTTTCAAGCAGATATTTGCTTTTTCTTTGTTTTTTTGGTACGTTATTGCTTTTTTTCTTCGTGCCAATGGTTGGTTGATCATCGGCCGGTTGAAAATTCGATATCTCCGCCGGTGGTTCGTTTATTTCTCGCGTTATCCTTTTACGTAACCAATTTGAATTCATTCAATTTTAATTTTCGCCCAAGACTGAAGATTACTTTCAAAAATCAGAACTTTAAATGCCATGAGAAATGTGACTTAATATCTAAATGTCCTTGATTTTCCTTTTTTTTAATTAAATTTTTACTTAAAACGATTGAAAGCTCGAATACAGTTCTTGGAAACTTAAGCCGTCTTATTATTAGTAGTAGTATAATTATTATTATTTTTCACTTTGCAGCGTGTGGCACTCTATAATTCTCTTGCAACCTCCCTCATGTGCCAGGCTGGCTTGGAGGTGCTTGATGTTTACCCTTTTACCAGGTCTTTTCCGGAAGGCACCGGAGGACCCGAGGTAGCGCGGCACAAGGAGTGTGATAGTGTGCATTTCAAGTTCCATGTAATGAAACCTATCGAACACTTTTTGGAAGAATACTTCTTGGGAAAAATAGCCAGTCCCATCAATTTTGTGAATTACATGTTTTCATAATGCAACGATTGTTGTAATCTAAAGTCTTATGATAAAGGATTGTTTACGCCAGAGAAAATTTGCCCACTATCAAATTTTGAAAGTCAGTTCAGATAGGTCAGCAGACGTGACAACTTGAAAACTCACAAAGAAGTAATTACAATGCTTAAGTGAAAAAGTAAAGAAGTAGGAAAGTTAAGAAGTGGGAAAGTAAAATGGGAAGGTGTAGAAATGGGGGAAAATTTATAACAATCGTAAAGAATGGGAATCAAACCTGTTGATTCGAATTCAATAAGCATTATAATATAGCGCGTAAATTTGTCTAATCAAATTCAATTCCTTGAGCGTGCTTCATATTCCTATTGTACACGCTCATGAGGTCAGCAATCAAATCCCTCGAGAAAAAAATCTTTACGACATGTAGGCCCCGTCCACACGTATCCGTATTTATCCACGTCCACACGTTGCCGTTTGTGAATCGTTTTTGGTGTCCACACGTAAACGCAAAAACGATTTGAAAACGATGACGTCGCCTACTGAGCATGCTCTTTAGAGCAAAACATGTGCCCGCAGTCTCGCGTTTCCTGAGCCTGAATCCTCTTGGCTGTGCTCTTGGGCTTCTCAAACTTATCAACAGTGTTCGCATAGCCAGAAATCCGTGACAGCATGGCCGCCACGCACGCACATCGATGTCAAACTCGGTCTTAGGTTACAAACGAGTCGCAAAATCACTACAAGGAAAACAGTGCACTTTCAGCTAACCTTCTTTTAATAATTGCTCCTGTGTTACAACCGAAACTAGAGCTTGTTTATTCGCCATGTTTTCATTAATGGTCGAACGGCCGAGAGCACGCGTTGGACTAGGTTTGAATTGTTACGTCATCGTTTTCAAATCGTTTTCAAATTTATCCGGATAAGGCGTCCACACGGAGACGCTTAGCCAGCGTTTTCAAATTTATCCACTCTGGAGAACGTTTTCAAATTTATCCGTTTTCGGTGTGTGAAAACGCCGTTTACGTGTGGACGGAACCCGTAACCGTATAAATATTTATCCGTTTTCAAATTTATCCGGATACGTGTGGACGGGCCATCGGGTTGAAAATGTTATAAAACAATTGGTTCATAAGTCAGCTTTGCGTTCATCGAAATATGCAGCACTTGGGAGGTTTGGAGAGCACTCAAGAAGCTAGAGTTGCTCTCTACTACGTCTCGAGCAACTCTTACGCATCTTTCGTGCTCTCCAAACTTCCTGCGTGCTTCATATCTCGATGAAAGCACGCTGACTTATGAACCAATTATTAAATATTTATTTATTATCTTTCGGATGCTCTTGGAACCGTGTCAAAGAGAAAGCCGGAGTATTCTTTGTAAATTTCCGTTTAGAAATCAATTTGGCAGTTATGTTATTGTTTTCGTAAATACTTTTTATTATAAGACGGGAGGAAAGAGCTTTTATCGGCGTAAAAGGCTAGTTTTTTCAAGAACAGCAGCACAAACAAGTCCTTGCTTCGATCTTAGTTATAAGTTGTTCCAAAAAAAGGATGTCTTAAAACACAGTTCTTTGCTGTCTACGCGAAGCTTGCATTTACAAAAGTAATGCTTACAAGAGTTACCGTCGTTTTAGAGTCTGCGCTTTTTTTCTTTTGAGATTATCTAAAACGTTTTCTCAAATCCTCGCCCTTGAGGTTTTTCCTTTCTTATTTCCGAAGGAAGTTAAATTTAGAGCTCTTAATGGCACTTTTATTTTTGAAATTTTGCTTGGCCATACGCACTCTGTATTTTTTCAATAAGCCTTTAATCTGTCCGTTGCACTTTGCAATAAAGTTGTACCTGTCGCTCTTTGCAATAAGATTGTCAAAATTTTGTAATAACACTTGTTACACCTTGTACCAACGGCATGCCTAATCTGCACTTCTCTCGTCAGACACTAATGGCCCCGTATCTTGTGTTAAACTCAGCCAGTTTGATATACAGAATTGGCAGCATGAAAAGTCTTCCTGTAATCTCGATGGGCTTTACAATCAACAATACATCTTAAGTAAGAATAAACGAACAAAAAAGCCCTTTTCTCGCTAGATTGTCAGAAGGAGATCCTCAATTTTAGGGCATTTTATCTCCAAAACAAAGCACGCTATTGACATAAAAATATTCTTGGGGAATATGTGCATAGAAAATTGGATGATTTCATGACAGAGCAATCCAGTTATCTGATCAGCCAATGAGACTTCAATAAAGAAGTTCTGGCGTCATCAAGGATAACCCAATATGGCGTCTGTACGTCTGTTACAGGCCGATTGTCACTTGTACCTACACGTTTCAAGACAGTTGAAGGTCATCTCTTCTTTCACGTTTATAATAATGAATTTTTTATACTGTTAATGTGTTAAAATTAAAAAAAGCACAAAATGCAAAATTGAAATAAATTGTTTTTTAAAAAACAGCAATCATAAATTTGATGCGACTATTTCAGAAGGCCCCGCGTGAACTCTTCTCAGGGATGACTTCTTAATTCGTCAATTTTATCTTGAAACAACTCGTTTGACAACTTTCAACATTATTTCCCAGCGACAGCTAGCTCCAAACTCAACAAGGTTTTTTTTTTTTGCAGTTGAACCAGGTTTAAATATGTCATCCTTGAAACCAACTTCAATTAAGCAGCGAGGAAAGACATTCGAAAAAAAAAACTCAGAATGTAAAATTTAGAATAGGGCAACGAGAAAAAGAATATGACAACGAACTTGGTTTTTTCATCACGAAAACATGCAACGATTTACAAATCTAGAGTTCATCGTTCTCGATGGATTGAGATATTAAAGGAAAGGATCTCAATACGCCTTTATTGATACTCATAACTGTTGCTATGCAACGCAAGCAATCCTTTAGGATAGGATTACAAGCAAATAATATAAAACAAATAAAGACAGAATCACAATAGAGGCAGTTAATTTATTCTGCACGTACAGACAGGTGGTTTTTCTTTTTTGACAGCTTTCTTTCAATAACTGAAAAACACTTCAAGCTCTTAAATCATGAGTTGATATTAAACGCCATCCTTAGCGGAAATGCGCTTTCAGGCTTGACAGATAGTCAAAGGGTTTAGCTTTCATTCGAAATTTGATTTTGACATAGCTGGAAACCATTCGTGGAAAATTGTGATTTTTCTTTTACACAGTTGTTATCACAGGAAAGCCTGTATGAATTCACTAGCGTTAGTTAATACCACGAGCATCCAGAATTCAAATGACACTGACAAATGGCAGCTGCCCCACTATGTACCTCTCCGCGCCATTCAAGCACCTTCCATTCTTCTCACTGTTGCGATATTATTTGGCAATGCTCTTGTCGTCGCATCCTACAAGATTAACCGGCGACTGAGAACTCGAACAAACGCATTTCTCGTTAGTTTAGCCGTGTCGGATTTCCTGGTTGGAAGTATATCGATGCCGATGTGGATCTACAACATCATCATAGTAGATAATGGTTCCGTCCCTTTTAAAGCCGTTTACAAAACTTTCGATGTCTTTTCAGCTCTGGCTTCCATTTACCATTTGACCGCCATAAGTATCGAACGTTACATAGCCGTTTCTCGACCGTTTTATTATAAAAGTTTACCGTCCTTGTTTCAACGGGCAATGATAACATCTGCATGGCTTGTCGCCGGCCTACTGGCTTCTCTCTCGTCTTTTACCATGCCATCTGTTTTTAAAATCCCTTGGAACAGTCGAGTATATGCCACTGTTATGTTTATCATCGGTTTCGCAATTCCGGCAGCCATTATGTTTTTTATGTACGCGGGCGTTTTTTCAGTAGCGCGCTCTCTTCTTCAACGAAACCCGCACCACTCCCCAGGGGGTCGACAAAGCACAGGTAGCCCGATGAGCCAATACTATCAGGGGGAGAGAAAAGTGGCTATTACCGTGGCATTCATCACAGGTTTGTTCATCGCTAACTGGGTGCCATTTTTTACTGTATCTATCATGGCTGCCTATTGCTTTCACTGTCTTCCTTCGTCGCAGAAAACATTCACTTGGCTTGTTGCTATTGTTAAGGGTGTGCACTACCTGAACAGCGGTGTGAACCCACTAGTGTATGCTCAGCGGGACAGTGAAATAAGAAGAACATTTCTCACTCTGTTAGGACTTAAGCGCGTCAATCGTCGTTTGCGCGCCAAAAAAGAAAAGCCATGGGGAATTAAACAACTGACTGGACGCACGATACAGTGTTATCATTTAGGTAGTTCTAGTGGTGTGCAATATCATGTGAGTGGTTCAGTTAATGAAATGTTTACTAGAATTCCTGAAAACCATGTGGGTCATTCTAGACCGATGATTTCTGAGTAAGCTGCACCCCAGGTCCAGAAGTCCTGTCCAAGCTATTCCATTATTTTCCTAGGTAAGACAGTTTAATTTTACCGTGCCCTCCAAGCCCAAGAGTATAAATGGGTATTCGCAGGCTGCTTACTTGGCGAGAACTCAAGAAGGTCAGCCCTCAGTGGAAAAGCATGCCGTTAGTTTAATTGATGAGCTCCGATAACATGGATTTGGCTTGTTTACCAATTGCAGTTATTTTCATCTTACTGTTTGATAAGTAACATGTATTTGTTTGATCTGAAACCTTCCGATGAATGATGCTAGAACTTTGCAAGTAAGACTGTCGAGCTGCACGGACGAAGGCGAAATACTGTCGAACGAAGACCTTCCTATGCATTTTTCATTTTCACACAATGTTTATACAGTTTTAAAGGGAGGTCCGAGGTTTAATTCTTTTTTCTGTGGTACCTGTTCTTAAAATATAAAATTTGTTTTGTATATCCAGCTACACCTGCCAATTTCACCGCTTGCTTTTTAATTATACCGTACTGACGATTTCAACGAACTCCAGAAAATGCTGTTAGTTGTAATCATCTGTGATAACGTTGCATAAGAAAACTTGTCTTCTTTAGTTTAATAATAAATTTAAAGAATAAAATTAAGCTTCCCTCCAAAACAAATACCCTTCCTGATTTGAAGATCTTTCAGCATCTACCGAGAAAGATGTCGAAAGAAATTACAATCTTTATGTTTCGATCAGATTTCAGTTTGCGTTCGAGAGCAAGTTTTTTTTCTGCGTTTGACGGGATTATATACAAGTTCTTTGCTCATAATCGTCACTGAAATAGACTACGCGCCGTCTACAATCGTTTGTAATTTTCCGCACAAATCGGCTTCGCAACGAGCAATTCCGCAATGTAATTCATCAAGGCTTGTACGGAGAAGTATATCTATTTTTAACTTCTTAACATTAGCTGCAGTTGGTTCAGCGTGTAACGGGTCTTGAAAATGAATGAGATATTGAATCATGGGGCTGGGGTGTTATCATAAGCCTCAAGACATTTGCATTGAGTAAAACTGAAAAACTTATACTCAGGTTAGTGGTAAGCCAACTTTGAAAGTTTACAAAGACGTAACGGTACCGGGGCTTAGAACATAACATGCTGATATCATAATTGAAAACGCACCACCCTGAAGAATCTGCTTTGCGTCAATTATTATCTGGTGGGGGACACTCCATTACCAGTCCTTCTCGTCGCGTGGACATGAGCCCGCAGATACCCAGGGAAGATGAGCAGTAAAAATACCTAACGTTAAGCGCTTGGAAATTCGCTACTGCCCCCTACCGTCTTTGTAAAATCTTAGCCACGCCCCTGCTATATATAACTATTGTGTTTCTGTGTTTCGATTAAAAAATCGGCTGATTGATTAATTGAGATTTATTTGACAATGAAAGGGATGAGGTATAATGGCTCAGAGCCTCTCAAGTGGAGTCCTGTGACGTCTGACTTTCCTCTCCCCTCGATAGTATTGGCCCATTAGGCTTCCCTTGCTTTGTCGACCTGCGGAGAGGTGATGTGGATTACGTTGAAGAAGGGAACGTGCCTCTGAGAAAACACCCACGTACATACACAATATGATGGCTGCAGGAATTAAGAGGCCACCGACAAACAATGATGATATTGTAGATCCACATCGGTATCGATATACTCCGACCAGGAAATTCGACACGGCTAAGCTAACGAGAAACGCGTTCGCCTGTTGATGTTGTGAGATGCGACCACAAGAGAACTGCCAAATAATATCACTGTGGCAAGAAGAATGGAAGGTGCTAGAATTGCTCGATAAGGAATTAACTCGGTTGTGTAATTCTCCTGTTACATTTCCTTGCAACCTGCTGGTATTTCTTAGCATGAAAGATGCCATTCTTCTAAGGGCCTTGGAAACTTCCCAACCCTATTCGGAGTAGGAACTTAATCCTTACACGATCTGAATCACTTTTTGATTTATAGTGAAGAAATGTAAAATGGTTTCCGTGTTTACATCAGGCTATGTAAACACGGAAACCATTTTACATTTCTTTTCCAAAATAACTAATGAAAGAGGAACGAAAACCGTGTTTACATACGCTCATGTAAAATGGTTTTATGGCCAATCAGAGCGCGCGTACTATTTGAATTATTTTATAAATATATTTTGTTGCACGCCCTTATCTATTCTGTGGTATAATCAAGCTCTTCCCACAAAGCAGATAATGTCTTATAGTCTTAAACCTGTGTAAATTTATTTATAAAGGCTTGCAGTTTTCTTGCGATATCTGCTCAACTAGCCGCGTAGATTTTGATGAAAATGGGTATATGTCGAAGAAACGGGACCATATTTTTTGGCAACGGCTCTAAATGAAAATTACATTTCCCTTCGTTGAAATTTAAGTTTTTAACTATAATCTCGCTTTTTATGAAATCGTAGTGGTTTTCGTTCCATGGGAAAATGTCTCTTGCGTTCTTGAGGTTACTTTTAATCGACGCAACTGAATAAGTTTTCACGAACTTTTTGCATTCGAAAGGTTATCTTGAGGTCCCATAATAATCAGCTGTAACATACGGTACATGTATTTATTTTCATTTTTTATGAAATCTTCCATCTAGTAATCAATTCATCTTTTTTATTATAAAATTTCTAGCCTCAGAGATGCTTGTTTGTTTGTTTTTTTGAATTAAACGACCATCGTTACTTAAACGATAAAAACATGTTAATAATAGTAACACTAATGAGCTTTGAAAACTCTGAAAAACCTGAGTGGCTATATAAAAATCAACATCAAATATTTCGTTTACCTTCTCCCACGCCGCCACACCTCAACCTCATACAATAATGGGAACATGTTATTTAACATGCGGTATAAGTATTCGAATTTTAATCAAATGTTCGATCAGGTAATTAATTCATCACTTTGACAATAAAGTTCCCATCCTTCAATGATAACATTGTTTTCCAATTTTAAAATTATCCTTACGATTGCGAAAGACTATGCTAAGGTAACTGTGAGAAATATGTAATTTGAGGCCGTGTAAAATTCATTAAAAAGATTTCACTTGGGGAATATTTTTTACGTCAGTATAGGCCGACGATTCTATTACTTGAATCCATCGGCAAAGCCACGTAGATGTCTTCACAAAGATGCAATCATCCATATCCTCAATCGTAGTTTACCAAACTACAAAGTAGTTTCTACTGATGCTTATGTTATAGTTTCTAAAGCCTTCTTATAAACATTCTGGTATCTAGCTTGCAGCTTAAAAAAATATGAGCCGGAGTTCAAACCTTTTTGCAGTATTTTAAAAGTATTTGGAGTTTGAAGTGGGTCTAAGTTTCCAACACTTTTTTCATTCAATTTAGAAAAGACTGAATACCAAGTCAATATTCTAATTTCAATTACGACGTTCGAATTACATAAGGAATGACGACTTCTCCTTTAAGGCCTCATAATTCATAGAATATTATTAGGAGAGCCAAAAGAGATTTGTGGACGTAATCATGAATAGTTTGTCCACACCAGATCGGCCTTTCGCTTTCCTTCTGTAGAGAGCATGGGTCGTGTTAGAATACTGTTCACATATATAGTTCCTTTGAAGGGAGCAAATATAGCATATACACACCTTAGATTTGTTTGATTTGCTTGTTGTTCGTAGTTACTCACCGATATTTGCTTGCGGTAAGCATTTATTCTCTGTTGTTAGTTTGCGGTTATCTAGCCTTCATCTATACTTCGTTAAGGTGTCGTTCTCTGTCTACATGCCAGCATGACTTTTTACGACTCATTTTCAATAATTTTATAATAAATCCACGCGTTTACACTCGCCAAATTCTCGTTATACGAATTGGTGATGATGGTCCAATGATGACGAGTATTTTTCCATAATTGGAGCGCACCTTTTTTTAGATGCATTTTATTTTCTTCAATTTTATTAAAAAAACTTGATATTTCAGAGCTCAGGGTAACATCATCCTAAAAATCAATTCGAATGATCGCAGTTTCGAAGATCGCGACTTTATCATTTCGTTTCTTCGAATTTCAAGATCAGAAATTGCAAGCATTTAACAATGCTTTCAGGTTTCCAAAGCTGATTAATTAGCAACACATACGAATAAATTTATTTCACTTTCAGAGAGACGTAAAATAATACACTTGCGATCTGGAAAATGCTTCGTGATGAAATTTTTATCATGACGCTGATAAAAAAAAAATTGATCTTAGGTTTAGATATACCTTTTTGAGAACATCATTCTCTTAGCTTGTGCTGCAATGATTACCAGATACCTTCGTGAAACGCTGTCATGTTTTAGGAATATTCCTTTTTTTTAAACGCATTCTTGTAATTGAGAAGAGTGAAATCGCTAAACTTATCATCCAATTGGTTGTTGTTGTTGATTTAAGATTTGACAACGAAGTTCGTTTGTTGGTTTTGGTAACTCAGAAATTGCGAGCAATTTCGATCAAACTTTGCTTTAATCACCAAACTATTGTCATCGTAATAGAAAAAAAACCTTCGAACAAACAGGAGCGTTCTTTAAAATGACAGTCTGAACAGCTCCACAGGAATAGTTTTCTCAGAATAGGGATCGTCAACAGAATATTCCTCACAATGTAAGTTTGCAATTCTTCATCAATAGCTTATTTGATTCAAACGAAATTAGTAGCATACTAAAGTTACTTCATTTTCACTATCGACATTGTCTTTCTTCGTGAAATTTTAACTTGGCGAATACTCATCCTGTATGATTTTATTTCTTCGATTTTAACCCGACATGAATCAAACACGAGCATCAAACTCTGCATAAAAATAAATATATATTTTCGTTTATTCGATGGCTCACAGAGTATAGGTTTCGAGAAACTGCACATATTGAAAGGAACAGTATGCATAAGTTGGGCCCATTTTTCCTATTACAATGTTAAGAAATCACATTTAAAAACTGAGCTTAATTAATTCCCCGTATTTAAAGACTTCTAAAGATTATTCTCTACTTCCTAGTCTTCTCGAACGTTTCAAACATCGTAGCGTAAGGCATGTTTTGTTTTTCCTACCTATTTCATATGCATATCAAGACCTGAAAAATTCTTATTTTTTAATGCTTTTTCTCGGCTGAATTTGCTTTAGATGTTTTTGCAGGAAAATAATGGTAACGCGATGAAAGTATATATTTATAAAAAAGATATCCTTGCACGATTAATTTTTCAGCAAATTGTGGCCAATCTTATAACGCTATGATGTGAAAAATTATTCGAAAAAGTGCTAGAGTAATTTTCAGATGACATGACATGAAAAATTTCCTTGCGATAAAAATCGAATCTCATAAGCTGTAGGAAATTAGGTAATTTATGGGGATATATATTTCTCGCATTTAGCAATACCATTTAATTTTAATAACCTAACTGACAAAAATCAACTTTAAAATTTGTTATGATTGTTTACTTATTGCCAAGTTTGAAAGTTGGACAAAAGGATGCTATTTAACTTTTATTGTTTCTACCGGAATTTAAAATTCACTTTACCCGAGTTGTCAATTTAATGAATGCCTCGTCAACATTCTAAATTGCGAAAAACATCACTGTGTGTCACATCTATATAATACTCTAACTTTTATGTGCAATAAAAAATATCTTAGCCTTAATTAATCTAAAAAATTTCCATATTTCTTCCTAAATCCCTGCTCTTAATAAATCTTCGATGAGCTAGGCCATGTCGAGCTTGATATAAAATAATTCCGACTTTTGAAAACAATTACTAAACTTTAGTTTGACGGAAGGAAGTAGGATCCATTAAAGTCTGGTAATAAAAGTGAACTATGATATTTTTCAAGGAGTAGCTTTCTAAAGAAACTTAAGTGCTGCGTCTATGCCGCCAGGTATTAAATCTGAGTTGATAATGTAAATTGGCCGAGGTAAAGAGTTCCTGAAGCTAGCGTTTCGAGCGAAAGCCATTCGTCGGAGTGAAGATGTTTCTTCAGACAATGTTTGACGTTAATATACTTGAAAAAAAAATACGTGGGAGGAGTCCAATCTATGACTTTGTGATTTGAATTTATAATTTCCTGTTGTTGGTCTAACCATGCATCGTATCAGGTTATGTGATTATCATCCCGAGAAGGAAAGTGTTCTAACTGAAAAATAACGTTTACTTTTATCAACAGTCCGGCACAAAAGTATGCCATGTTCACTTCCATTATTGCGCAAAATTATTCCATCGATCGCAGCATGTCATAGAAGCGCTCAGGCTGTGGATGATCTCCATACCCTCAGCCTACGATACTGTAGCTGATATGGCATGGTTCTACTTCAGTAAAGTAGATACGCCGCCGGAAATTCCTTTTTCTGAATATGTTTTAGCCATAAACAATTTCTTTAAAATATTCAAGGTTGACATGTCGCGCAAGATAATTGTAATTATGAACCCTAGTTTCTACAATCGAAATGTTGGGCTTAGCCGCATTTGAGCCAACGAGAAAAAAGAAACATAAAACAGAGTAAAACAATAAAAAGGTCGGGTAAATTTTTTTTGGAGAGCTTTGATGCCAAGAGTGTCATTATATGATAATGTTATGCAATATGAGGGATTAACGGAAGGTACATTGTCAACTTTCACTCAAGATCTGTCAATAGCTGGCCATGAATGAAACACAATGTCATCATAAACCGGTGATGTTTTTTCTAGCTTTTGAATAAATGCAGTGCCTCTGCAAAATATTTCTTTATATCTAAGTTGAGAATGAAGATTGTTTTCAGTACTGTATTTGCCTATTGTTTTGTAAAGGGAATGGCATAAAAAAGCTTATTCCTGAGGAGAAAAAGTTTCTTATCAATTAATGCGTTTAATGAAGTGGTGATTGGAGAAGAATGAAGGCTTTTCCCGATAATTTGCATTTCTAAAGCCTTGCTAACAGCACGGACAGCTGTGTACTCAACCGAACGAGAATTGATTAAAACTAAGGCAAACCATTTCCTTTGTAAATGGAGTGTCTTCTCGATTGTCCTCGGATAAAACAAAGCATGGGAACCAATTTTGTAGAAGGGTGTTTATCATTACTTGAAAAGCGAAGACACCTTCGAGGACGTGATAAACGGTGAAGTGAAATTGATCGTTCAGTTTCCCAGTCTTGTTGGCATAAGGTTTGGAATTGTTTTCATAAGGTGACTATTACTCCCGCTCTCTGATCACTAAATGTGTCCTTTTCATTGTGGCAATGTGAAAGAGATCACTGATGGGTTTCCATCCTTTTTAGAGCAAACCCGACAAATTTGTTCAGTTTTGTCGTTTGTTCTTTTCAGATAACGGAACACTTATTAGAAGAATTGGTCTTTATCAGCTTTTGATTGAGAACAAGAAATCAAGAGGTTACTTCTGCAACCCTAACAACGTCAAAGTCAACATTAAAACTCCGGTTGTCGATTTGTGGACTTTTGCAAATGAAGATCAGGATGAAGATTTTGCGATTGTGAAGCATATTTCTTCATAACTGGCAATGTCTCGTATTTAACAGAGTCTTTTTAGCTTAATTAGACGATGGTGGTTGAAATTTCCTGGAGCTCAGCTCTTCAGATACTGTTTTGCGTGTCTCTCATGTTTGTGATCATAACTGGAAATTCTTTTGTAGTGGCATCGTATTTTTCAAACTTTAGACTCCGCACCGGTACTTACACGTTTCTGGTGAGTTTGGCTATCTCGGATCTACTGGTGGGATGTGTATCTCTACCTCTGTGGATATACGTCAGTTTGACAGGCACAAATTATGGACCTCTGAATACGTTTTTCATCTCCTTCGACATTTTAAGTGCAATGGCTTCAATCTTCCATCTAACAACCGTTAGCCTGGAACGATGGTTGGCCATTTCGCGCCCCTTTGTTCACGAAGCACTCTCCACGACACATTATACGATAGTCATTTGCTGTATTTGGATGACAGCTTCCGTGATAGCAGCAATTCGACCTGCCTTGGATAAATCTTCGAGTGACTCGAACAATAGTCCATACAGAATTTACACTCCGTTTTTGTTGTTCGTTGGTTATGTTGGACCAGGAATTCTTGTGAGCGTTGTCAACATTTCCATTTTTAAGGTGGCTCGGGCGCTGATCTCCAATCTTCCAACAATGGCAAATCAGGAAGAAAGCAACAAAATACGCAAGAACTTAAAAAAACAACGCCGCACAGCCCTCACCCTTACATTTGTGACTGCGCTTTTTCTCGTTTCTTGGTTGTCTTTCTTTACAGTGAGCACCATTTCGGTGTTTTGCAGAGAGTGCTTTCCTTTCCATAAACTCTCGGGTTTTCTTCTGTTTTCAAAATGGCTCCAGTACAGTAACAGCGCCATGAATCCATTAGTGTACGCCTTCCGCGATTTAGAGCTGCGAAAAACGTTTGTAAGGCTTTTAAGCCGCTGCAGACGCCGAGTGACGATACGTCAAGCGCTTCGAGTGGCTCCAGTGAATATGTCCTTGACTCAAAGAAGTACGAGATTTCGGACTGATCCAACGACAATGTTTAACGAAACCCAGGTATAACTGGAGTTAACAAGGAAAAAAATGTTAAAGTTTTGTTTATTTACAAATTGCTCTTAAAAAACTGTGTTTGCACTTAGACCTCCCGACAGTGCAGCTAACAGGCGGCTGGAGTACCATCAAAAGCCATGCATCGGGAACCGAAGGTTCTCTTGGATTCGAATAGTTTTTAAGTAATGATTGCAATACCATTCGAATAATTGTAGAATAAAGGGAGGATTTCTTTGTGCGTCTCTCTTTAAATACCCAAGAGATCATGTCTATGAGAATAAGATCCTCAGAGGGGACATTTTTAATGAATATCAGGCTTTTGATGAGACGACTTAGGAATCAAATAATGATCAACTACGTCACACAGACTTCTTTTGATATTTCTCCATTTTGTTTTCCGTCTCATTTCACTCTAAATGTAACTAGATACGAAATTAGATTTATAAATTAACTCTTTACGCTTGCATTGTAGCATCATTTATTTATTTATTAGTGATTTATTTCGATGTTCTGGCATCAACCTCAAACTTTTTGCAAAAGGTTATGATTTATAGTGCATTCTGAACTAAAAAATTCCACGTAAGCAGTGATTGATCGTTCCCATTATATCAGCAAGTTAACAAAAGATTGACAACCAGTGTAGATCATGAAAACACTAGATCTCCTTGATGAGTCCACTAATTGCGAACAACTTTTTTTTCGGAATCATTAGAATCTGTGTTTTTGTTCGGCAAATATAATTTAGTTGATATGGTAACGTTCTCAGTTCCCAAGACTGGTATTGTTGTCAGTATATTAAAGATGCCAGGAGATGTTATTACTGATCACCTCTGGAGTGAAAGGGTTTTGAAAGTCTTTAATTTTGGAACAAGCGTTAAATCCTTGTAAAACGTTTACCCTAATCGGAAAAAGAAAAGAAAATAGCGTGGCAGAAATAATGAAAATAATATTCCCAGAGAGCTTTTTTGTGGGGGGAAAGCCAGGGCTGTATCTAAAATGTTACCAGAATAAACCGAATGAAAACAAAAGCAACAGGAACAAAACAAAAACTAAACAAATAAGAAAAAAAACCGCGACAACCGAAAAAGCAAGAAAACAAATTAAGAGAAAAATATCAAAAACATCAACAACAAAATGGATAAAAAACATGACTTTTGTCTTTTTATTTTATAATTGTAAACCAAAATATTTTGGTGGTAATGTTATTATCTCCTACTGGTAAATTGGAGCAGCAGAAGCTGGTGAAAATTACTTAATATAGGTGTTGAAGCTTTATATTGTAACATTTTGGTCTTGAAACTAACCGGCCTGACTAATAAACCTGACCCTGATCGTGAAGTCTAAAGAAAGGACATAGTTAATTCCTTTGGATGATATTTAAGACCACTACCTTTCCGATGGTTGAACGAAACTGCATCATCATTTAGTGAACCTTTGAGGAGGCTAACATTAATTCTATGAGGGCCAAATATAAACATCTTATTGTTGTCCCCATTTTCTCTAAATACTATGAGGGACTTTAAGAGATATTTCCAACCCAAAGATTAAGCAGCAAATCCTGACAAGAATGGTTTAATACTATAGCTTTAGCAGAGTGCACATCTTTTGGATATCAACGGCCATAAAGAAAAATAATACCATCATTTAAAATTGATCGTGCATAATTCTCGTTGCAGTGAAAACGACAAAGATTGAACCTAGATAGTTATTCTCTAATAATTGATTTATGCTTCATATTATGACATAAAAAGTTTGAGGGAAAGGCTCTGAGGCATTTACGTTTTCACACTGTGATCAAGTCACTTGTTCAACTCGGTGATTGAAGAACGCTGGTGACGTCCGCGCGAAATGAAGCACACGGTAAGGGATATAATTGATACTATGATGACACCACTGACTGAGAAAACTATGGCAACGCTTAAACTGAGTTGAAATGAAGAGTTATCTTCGCTTGTTTCAGGTTTCTTGTCGTTGTGATCTGGTTACAAAATAAAAAAAGGAATGTCGTGAGGAAAGAATTCATCCATGTTTAATATGAAGTATGCCAGGCAAAGGCATGTGACCCCTTCGACTAAAAAAATTGGCCGAGAATCTAAGGTTTCAATCCCTAAAGGCGATTCATAATTTTTTGGTGTCCCACGCTCTAGAAAAGTGAACCACCATATGAGGGCAAAACAGCATCAAACGCGATGTCATGAAAACTAACTCACCTTTGTCGTCTCTCTCTACTTTCTTGTAATAATAAGGACCAATCGTGACGCGATACACCACAGATTCATCAACTTCAACTGCTCGCCGTTTTCGAGCATTAGGGTTGCAATCAGCCAAAGACGGGCATTCACATGTAGAATCCGTAGCATCTGCAAGGCACACCTTAAGATCGCAATGCACATAGACCAAAGTGTTGGCTTCAGCTCCAAAGTACCGGAAAGAATTCACTTGAAAGGTTTCCTGCGTGCTGTCGACTGCGCAGGTGTAATTCAAAGTGTCACCTGCGTCTTGACTGACAGTATCGTTACCACATCTGAATCCAAGATGGAAAGAATGGTCTTAATGATATTAGGGATAAGAAATACTAACCTGACCAAAATTTAAAAAATAAAATGAAAAAAAAGCTTGACTTGAGCGCCGCCATTTTGAAAACAACTCAGCAACGTGACTTCACGTGATCGCATTCCCAATCAGCCGCTGCACCGGTTTTCGCATTCAAGTAATTATTAGATTCAACAATGCTTTTTTATGTAAGGCCTTGTTATTAAAACTGATCCTGAGTGGATAGAAGAAGGCTGTGTAAGACTTTGTTCCGTCGCAGGTTAGCGGTCAGGCGGCAATGAAAGATTCAAAATGGCCGCGTGCTTTGTTTAAGTTCAATTTCCATTGGAGACGGTTCTTGAAAGTTCAGGTTGCTCTGTGGATTTTCATACTTTTTAGAGGTGTAGATGATAAAATACATTGTGCTTTTGTTTTGGGAAACTTCAAGAAGGTACCAACCCATTTTGAATAAGGACTACATCGTGGCCCGGAACATTTGCGTCGTTCGACTTTGACGCATTACATTGCAAGAGGAAGAGGTCCAGGTTTGATGCAGCGCTTGATGTTTCCACTTGAGCTCGGAAAAACAATGGTTGATTGAGCTTCACTTCGCTGGGAAGAGGAATGGTTAGCTCAGAGTTCTCAAAAACGTCAAGGCTGAATATAAAAGCTGCAGAATCTGATTAAGAAAGTAACAAATATTAGTTCTGCACAGAGTGAGGCTTAAATCAGTTGAATCTTCACATTACATTCACACAACGTCTGCTTAAAATTTCTGTGCATAATCTAGTATATACCTGATAAAATCTCCACATGGAACTTCTGCAAATTTTATTTTTGGCTACATAACGAAGGTGTTATAATTTTGTATCTAATGTACCGCAAAACACGCTTCAGTTTCTTTACAGGTGTATACTTTACTCAAGCTAACACGACATACCTGACGAGTTATCGCCACGATTCACTAAAGGTATGAAGCTGGATGTGACATTGCCATTATTGACGTACTCACACACGGCGTCAATCACGTGATCAAAGGCCTGGATCGGACTGCTGCCCGGAACAACTGCACGGATTTCGAAAACGTATCTAATAGAAGTGTTCTTATCTTCGGAAATTGAAGCGCAATCAGCCACTTGCAAATTGGTATACGTGACCGTCGTGCCCAGGAATGTCGGCTTACATTCTGTTTTGTTATCTATTCGCCAATCGCTTTCGTTGAATGCATCGATGTCAGTTACGTTTGTAATGGTTATAGTTACTGTGTGGTTAGCATTGCAGACAATTGAACTCGTTGACATGCCTGAAGACGAAAAGTAAGAAGATACGTAAATAGCTGAGGTAAACACACAGAGACAAAGCGTTGGACTGAGGTTTTACATTTCTAAGAAAAGATTGATAATCAGACTAAATCTAGCTTTTTGCACGTGGACCCATTTGTGTACTCTGTCTGAAATGAATATAGTTCTAGAAAAATAGCGATACGAGGTTTTGATATTGTTTTTTTAGAAGTTTTATTAAGTTTTGATGCATTTTTATTGATCAAAAAAGTTATCACCTTTCCCATTTTTATTTATTTATGATTTGTTAAATAAATTTAATCAATATAAATACGGTATGGGGTGAGCGGGCTGCAAGTTACCATTGGTGTAGAATCCCAAAAAAGATGAATGGACAATTTTGGTCCTCTTCTCCAAGAACTGAACACACTTCCAATTTCCTTTCCCAAATTGTCGCGCGTGTACTCAACTGTATTTTGTTAACTAACTTTTTGTCTTTTCACGTCAGAAACTTACAGTAATTGTAGTTGAATAATGTAATAAAGGGGGGGGGGAAGGGGGAGGGGGGGGAGGGACGTTCTTATGTCACTATGTTCCCCCTTTCTCTAAGTTTTGCTTTAGTCATATTATCCACATTATCGATGTCATCAAGCAACTGATTCTTTTAATAACTTTATTCGAACCATAAAGTTTGAGAACCTCTATTTCGTCGCGTACAAGTTTTGTAAACGTGTCGACTAAACAATTCTCAGTAAGTGTTTGCCAGTTTTAGGCTTGTCAAGAATCGCGGAATAGACCGAACAAGACCCCGGGTAATGGTCTAGTTGACTCAGAGTCAGGTCTCACTTAATTATTCTTTGATGATGAATGAAATATTTCATAAGGGATTATATTTGTGGAAAAAACTGAAGTCTGTCTCACCTTTAACTCTGACGTCAAACAGTAAAGCGAACGTCACGAGAGAGAGTAAAATCCACTGCCAAGCCATTTTGACGTAGAGTTCAGCCTTTTCTTGGTGGTTTTACCCAACTTATGAAGTTAAAGTTAAGGAATGTCAGTCAAAGTGTCTAAATAAGAACGAAAGAAATTCTTGAATCCAAAGTTATTTGTCGTAATAATTTAGTTCAAGAGCGAAAGAAAGGATGAAAAAGGAAAATTCTGGATTTCTTCGTTCTTTGTGTGTGTGCTAAAACATGGCCAGTGTATTGTGAGCTTATAAAATTTGGCCCAGACTGAGAGTCATTCTAGCCGAGCAATTTACGAACATTTAAACGTCAACATCTCTATTTCATCCTGCAAAATGCATCAAAATGCCCGAAATAGTGATAATAATCAAAGATATGACATGTTTTGTATTCTCTCGACATATCTGTGTAAAGAAAATACTGAATGCAGCGTTCTTTTAAAGTCTAAGTATTTGTTGTGCATTGTGCAAGTGATGCGAAATCTAATCTGTTTTACTTCAACTTGATCTAAACTTTGTACGGAAATACAATATTTACGTTCAGTTCGAATCGGTACACTGTGCAATTACCAGTTTATAAATTGTTTTTCGATTGGATCATTTTCATTCGAGAGCGAAAAAATCAGCCATTGGAACGTAATTAATCGTTATAAACACGAAAGGACATTTCACTTGTTTGTAATCAAGTTTCAAGAATTTATGACTGCAAATAGAACAAATGGAACGCTAGAAATCGCTACAATTCATTTGCAGTTGTCTTTATTGGTTTTTCTATTCATGATATTGCGTTAAAAGTATCTTTAAACACAGCATCAATTGATGCTCTCTTGCCGATAGCTTGTTGAAATGGAAATTAAACATCCATGGTATTTCGCATGACGAATGGAGATGATGAATTACATTTTCGTTTATCATAAAGATGCAAGGCTGCTGACTGTAAAACGACTCATAATCCACACCTTCTCGTTGCTCTGGCTATCGAAAACTTGGCAACGAAAGTAAAAGAAACGAGAGGAAAAAATTTGTTGAGAACGTATTGTTTGCACGCAAGGCGGTTCTATTTGAGGAAGGCAAATTTTGTTTTCGATATGTTTAAATAATTATTTTATGGACGGTCTAAAACATGAATCAGGCACTCACCGTTGTCCGTGTGAGATGCTAAAGTTTTCGAAGATATTGTAATTTCGTTGATTATAACAAGGTCGCCTGCAAACTTCCGCTGTGTTTCTTTGCTTAAGCCTGTAACCGCTACGCTTTGATGCGTTCCGCCTCGTTGATCCCACGTTTTTAAAATATCTTGCCACTATCAAAGCGAATCAAGACTTCTTAGGTCCTCTCTCGAACCTTCGTCTCTAGGCAACAGTTATATGCAAGTACGCAACTTCACAAACAACTACGCTTCACGGACACCGAATTTCGATCAGAACCCCTTTGATGAAGCACATGAAGCACAGTAGGAATTTATCTCATATAGTTAAGTAGTTGCGACTGTGACGATTTAACCGAAATATCACACCGAAGCATGCACAGAAGAAATGGAGGGGGGAATCAAAAAACGCCTTAAACTGCGAGAATATTTTAACCTGTAGCTCCTGCATTTTAAAGTAGCCTTACGCCTATCATTTTTTCGATTTTCTAGGCGACATGACCTTGAAATTTTCAGTATATACAGTTTAGACAATTCGCATCTTACTATTGATCAATTCTCCTCTTAAATTGTTTTTCAGTTTTTGTCTACATATATTTCCTTCATCAATTAAGCGAAATAAATTATAAACTTCCAATCAATTACGACCTTTCAAGGGAAATCATTGCGCTTCAATTACTCGTACACTGTTTTGGACTCTATTTTGAAAATCTGTTCTATATGAAATTCACGCTTGAATTTTCTGAGCTGCGTCATCTTTGATGTAGGTACCTCATGCCATGTTCTCTGTTAGACAATGTCTTGGAAACGTTGAGCGTTTGGCCATTGGGGAAAGAAGGAGAGAGGGGGTTGGAGTTTTGTCCATGCAAATTGCAAACGGAACATTCTAATTGGCTGAGAACACTTGTATGTCAATCAAATGTCTTGGCTTTCTTTGAAGGGCAAAATTGATTGAAAAATAGAACGCGAAAAACAATATTTTCATATCATCAAAAATTTTCAATACTTTGTGATGCCATACACATCAAATTCCTTACCGCATTATTGCGCTGAAAAAGCGAAACGTTGAAGCCATTTGGTTCCGGCATTATTTTGTGCAGGGACAATTTTAAAACAAAATGATAATCCGCAGGATCCCGTAAAAGCTCTCTGCCTGAAAAGACTCGAGTTTTCCTTTTTTACATACTTTTAAAGATTTCTGATAAAATTTCAATTTCTTCTGCACATTTTGCGGGACAGCAATTGTTTTGTGAGGTCTCCCTAAAAACCTTACGCGGGAAATTGGCGCGTAGCCAGCCGAAATTAATCCCCTGCACATGCCCAATTGTTGACCCCTGTGTTTGGGTAGTACGACTTAACTGATCTGAATTGTGATCGGAAAACAAGTTTGACACTAAATGAGTTGGAGAGAATATTTGAAGTGGCTATAACTAGCAATCGATTTAACTTAAAAAAATCTAACGAATCAAACTCGCTTGGTTATGAAAATACGAGCCAGTCAGGGGGTAACTGGGTGTGGGGCTTGGGATCGAAGCCTACGCATTGAATAAAATTTCAGTATCCAGCTTTACAGCGTTGAGAATCACTGGAGAAAGAAATGGTTCTTCGTATGCCATGAGAGTGAAGTGAAAATTCCCTCCCGATTTAACAGATAGAGAAAAAAGATGGCCACCCTGCCCTTTAGAACACAAATATTCACAAAAAGAAAAAACACAAGGGTTTTATAATAAATTCGTGAAGGTTCCTATATTTTATTAAGATGCTGCTCAAAATTTCTAAAAAATTTTAAAAAATTTAGACTGGTACTGGTGTCTCACTGACAAGGCTTAAGCCAGTTTAACGGGAAAGCAACTAGGCCCGCATGCGACTTGGGTATACTTACTATGGCTAGCATTCGGTTAGATATTATATAAGCGTTAGCAAAATCACAACGCTGCCGTTGCTGCGCTGCATATAGAGTGTAAAGTTTGTCATACGTAATAAAATTCCTCGCAATGCCTAAAATTGTGTGTGAACTTAACGTTGTCTATAAGGCTTGTGTGCAAGTTTATAAGGTGTTGAAACAATGAGCGATTAAAACTGGTTGTTAATCTGGATCGCGCAAATAAGAGTGACAAGCAGCTAATGAAATCAACCTTGACACTGAATTCAAGACATAAATTCCATTAACTTTGAAAACTACTTTTGATTCCTACCATCATCTGAAGAAAAAAGCCGATTAATCATTTATTCGTTCGTATGTCTTAATCAACATCCACAACTCAACTTAATCCTATCGAGTTGCTTCATATGTCACACCATTCAAATGGATATTGGATTAAAAAAACGTAATATTTGCGCGTTTGCACAACCCAACTTATTTGCGTTTGGAGTTTAGGTGACTACGTGCAGATCTCCACTTTGCGTGCGCTTGCTTCGATAGTGAATGACAAGGTAAACAGTGGCGCAGATGACAGCTACAGCCACAACACCACATACTGCCCCAACAATTGGTAATGTCTGGGAAGGCTGGTGGGTCTTCTTTTGGTCGTTAGGTGCAACTGAAATGAAGCGAATAGATTCCAGGTTTAATCATTGAGCTAAACTATCGGGGGCGTAAGTATATTATAATGTTAAACTTTCGTGTCTATCAATAAAGGCAGAGATACTAGGAAAATTTCTATAGTCTTTCTAGAGGTTCTTATCCAACCTTTGTTAATTTTTTATAGTCATCATTACGATATATGATATTACATTTCGTTCCGTTTCTATCATATTTGACATGTTCAAGTTATCTTCTAGGTTCTACAAGTTGCCCCGTGCGGCCTTTTTTTTGAAAATTGGTCAGTTATCATGGACAACCAGTCTTGGTTAACAGAGAACGTGGAAAGCACCTAACATAATTCCTGTCCTATGGCTTAACATTCCTGTGAATTATCATTTACCTTCATCTTTGTTCAGTTCTTCTTGCTTAAAGGTGAATGGACCATAGACAACACGATAAAGCTGTGACTCATCCACCGAATCAGAGATTGAACGACGTCTGCGCCTCGTCGGTGTAACATCAGTGTCACGATCACCTATGCAAGTGGCAGCATCATCTGGACATTTACATTCGGTATTGTCTACATCTGCCAAGCAAACTCTGAAATCGCAGTGGATGTAAACTTCATCTCCTGCTTCTGCCCCAAAATACCGAAAAGTTCTGAGTGAGAATGTTTCATATTCGCTGTCGGCGGTACAACTGTAATCCAATGTCTCGCTGAGGTCTTCGCTGACACCATCGCTGCCACAACTATGAAGAAATGATAAAAAATCATATAATTAAGTAACGTAAGCAAAATTCCTCTTACTCTTTGAGGTAACAAATTTTATCCTAAATGGACAAGATCCAGGTAAATCCATAGCATCGGCTGTATGTTCTTCACTAAGTCGATACCAGGCACACAGCATACAATTCAAGAATAGCTTCCTACGAAAACTACAATGGTAGGTTATAACAAGGGTTTTGGAAGGCTTGCCATTTATTAGCAAGAAACTGGAAAAAAAATTGTGAATGGATTTCGTTATTTAAGGGGAGCTTTATTTCTTATAGAAATAAACAGTGTTACTCGCTCATGTTTGATCAGTAGTCTGAAAATATCTCACAGATACTCTGGCAAAATTCTTTTTAATTAAGATAAGTGTCACTCTATCTGGGGTCTACACTGGCGGCCATCTTTTACTTAGATTTAGAACCACAGGGAGTAATAATGATACCAGACAGTTCAACACGAACTGGGTTAAACGAAGGTTCACACACAGAAGTACTGATTAATTATTGGAATAAACTTAGTTGTGATGCGACTACCTCATACATCACGGTTAAAACTCGAATTTTGGATGTGGTTCATTTGTACATTTGTATGCATATATGCCACCATATTCAAATCCACATCTTTCTAAATGATTTTTATTTTTAACCTCGTTACATATTTTTACGTTTCTTTTTTTTTTTGAGGTGCTGGACCTCACTGAGGAGTTCTTCGATGAGGTGGGTCCTGCTCTGTCTAAAATTTTACAAAATTAATATTGATTGTTATTATCATTGTTGTCGTAATTACATATTAGTCATGTTTAGCGGGCAAATTTTTATCACAGAAATTCTTACCCATTGCGAATAAGAGTAAAGTTAGCACCAATATCATCTGCATCATTGCTTTGTGATGAATAGCATCGCACAGGGTACAAGTCAAGGTTGGGTGCATTGCTTTGAGTCTCGACTTCAGCTTTGAAGAAAATCTCTACATTCAGAGCAACAGGGTCGGGAACTGGCGTAGTATGAGCGTCGTCTTGATACGCCATGAGAGAAAAGGTGAAAACTCCGACATCTAAAAATTACATAAGAGACCACAAAAGTGAGTAAGGAAAAGTAAGACAAAGCAAAAGAAATTTCAAAAGACTTTAGTGAACACATTTGCATTATTCAAGGTTTTGGTCTTTCTGATAAATGCAAGGCCTGCTTAGCAAACTGAATGAAGTGTAGTTGAGACATCTATTCAATGATCTGTAACTGCTACTCCATTGGCAGTCATAGATTACTGATCGACGAAAAAAACAGTCTAAAAATTCTACATTTTTTCAGGTCAGTTGATGATAACAACTCTTTTTGGACCAGCATGCTCTAATAGTCCCGTAGCGTTAAAGACAAAACAAAATACGAAAGCATTTTGTACACATGCATGGCTGTCTTTCAAAATCATGCCAGGCTCTTATAAATGTTTCTCCGCCAACTTTTTTTAAAATTTTTTTTATCTTTTTCCTCTAAAAATGACAAAAGAGACCACAAAAGCGAGTAAGGAAAAGTTAAACAAACAAAAGAAATCTGAAAAAACTTTATCAAACACATTTGCATTATTTAAGGATTTTGCTCGTTTTGACAAATACAAGGCTAGATTAGCAAACTGAATGAAGTGTAGTTGAGATATCTTTTCAATGATCTGTAACTGCTACTCCAGTAACAGTTACAGATTACTGATCGACGAAAAAAGACAATTTAAAAATTCTACATTTTTTCAGGTTAGTTAATGATAATAACTCTTTTTGGACCGGCATGCTCTAATAGTCCTGTATTGATAAGGATGAGAAGTGAAACTTTCTCAATCACAAAATAAAATACGAATGCATTTTGTACACATGCATGGCTGTCTTTCAAAATCATGCCAGGCTCTTACAAATGTTTCTCCGCCACTTTATTTTTTATATCAAATTGAAATCAAATCCACCATATCTTGACAAAAGGATTATGTGTTCCTTTTTTTCCATCAGCCACTGAAGGAAGGCTGGTCAATACATTGGGTGGCAAGGGTTTGATAGAAGCTTTTCAGAAATCTCCACTTCGCAGGAATTCAAACTAAGGTTACTTATGTAGATTATACATGTTGTTATCTTAACCAGAGCTGCATACCTGTGTCGTTATCCGCTCGATTCTTGATCGGCACAAAACTCGTCGAAGCTCTGTCTGTATTATCATAGTTACACGTGACGTAGTACAGGTGGTCGTAAGTGCGCAACTGCCCTGTAACTGGATCACCTGAAGTCTTTACAGCGCTGATTTTGAGGATGTATTGAATTTCCTCATCTTTCTGGTGAAATTCGTCAGCACAGTCAGGGAGGTGTAGGTTGGTATAGGTAACTGTATCACCAACACCATCAATTGTTGGTTCACATGCTGGATCGCCTACTTTTGTGGACCACTCTGATGGGTCCCAAAATTCTGCATCATCTACGCTTGAGATCGCTATACTCACAGTGTGGTCGGGGTTACAAGTCACTGAGGCCGCCGTCTGACCTGAGAAGGAGTAAAAAAAACAATTTTTGGGTCCAACTCTTTCATTTATGATAGGTAATAATACATTCCATTCAGTTGTAGCTGTGAGAAAAGAGACACTTTACAATGATAAAATGTTAACGAATCCAAATTAAAGCGGCAAGGAATTGCGGATTTAAATTCTCTTATTTCATAATTGCTTTTCGTAATGCTTGAATATAATCGTCAATTCATGGAGTCCTCGGGAAAAAAAAATAATTATCATAATTTTAAAATCAAGATGAAGAAAGACAAGATGATGAAGGCGTTACCTTTAGTTTGATGTAAAACAAGCATAAATGTCGCCAAAAGAATTGCCCACTTCATATTGATAATTAGGTTCTCGTGGATCTGTGGCAACAAATAAGAATTGTAAAACGTCATTGAAAATCACAAGCAAATAGAAAACGATTTATTGTAAAAGGATATGCTGTGAAGTAGAATGAAGAAAAAAACTGAAGAGGAAGAGAAACGAGAAAAAAAGCCGAACAAAGAAGAAACACATCAAGCAGACAAAGATAACCCATAAAAAACGAAGTGCAAGATGAAGATAAACATCAGCAATAAAAATTTAAAGAAAAACATAAAAGAGGCTTGTAAGAATAGCGAAAAAAAACAACATAAATTTTATCGTTCAAAGCATAGCATACATGATTTCTATTTATAATACTTTTACTTCTTAAGAGCACGATTCTTGTTTTAATTAAAAAAATTCCTTTATAACGATTTACAACTATGTTAAGAATGAAACTATTTCACAATAGCATTATATGTGATCATCTGACGAGAACGAAACTGCCAATATCACGTCGTGAATTCTAGAACTGTTTTGTTGTTTGTTTGTTTGAAGTGTCGTACAAATAACACTTTGCCACAGGCAAAAGCCATGAATTCTCTTAGATGTATGTCACAAGAATACAATAGGCTTTGACTTCAACAGAAAGATTCTGCTGGTTTAGAACCCGGTCCTTTTTCCCTTTGAGGTGCCCTTTTCGTTAAATAGCACACTAATTTTTGGCTTGAATATGTTAAAGGTGGTAATGAAAAGCCGTAATAAGATATTTACGATCGAACCTTCAGCTAAGCGTGGAAGGCGCTTGCAGAGTATTGATAGTGGTATTGCGAGGGACGGAAAGACAATTTTCAACCCGAACTAATGAAATGCAAATAATTAAGCGACAAAATGTTTCTCGAGAAGTCAGCAAGACTTGATTAAAAAATGCAACCGAGAAAATAAAAAACCTGCTTCATGTGCTGAGGTGTGGTCTGAAGAATTGGACCGAAACATTCAGGCTTAAACTTGATTGAATACAAGAGGTGGCTTGCTAGCTGAAGTTCATTTCAGATCAATTCAATAAAAAACAATTAAGTTGCCATTCTTAACTAAATCTGGTAGAGTGGATTGTATCTGGCTCCGATAAAGGGAAAATGCACATTAAAGCTTGAAACGAGTTTTAAGCAAAATCAACCTGATCGCATATAATTGCGCTTCGTCAAACGTCAAGATAAACTTGAAAAGCTCCATTAATAGAATAATGAAGGGTCTTACTTCTTTCGTTCAAGATGCAATTTGCTGAGCTCTGAAATACGAAATCGCAACCAAGATTGACTGTTCTGAGTAATATTCGTAAACTTTGATTGGCGAGGAAAGCATCACTTTAACATTGACAAAATTTCTTTTGTTGAATTTAGGAATTCACTGACTCGTGGGACAGCTTTGCATTCTTTGTAGGAAAACACCGCTTGGAATAAAATTTCCGACTAGAGCACAGAAAGAAATTAACACTGGCCTTCTTACTTACCAAAGCTTAGTTTTACTCCACAATCGGTCCACAATGAGACTTGCGTGTAGATAATGTGATCGCGAGACCAGATGGCTTTGTACTCACTGGAAATAGAACAGATAAGGCAATGAAAATTGTGTATAAAACTCCAAGGAAATACATGTTTTTATGCTCGTGTTACCTCTCTGAAACTGGTGCTCAACTGAAAGACCTCTCCCTTGCCTGTGTCTATTTAAGAACTTAACAAACGACACCGCAATGCGGAATACACAAAACAAAAACCAACAAAGGAAAGAAGCTAATGAATGCGTAATTCACAGTTGAAAGCTCAACTGAACCATGAATAAACGTCAAATCCATCTAACTTATCGTGTGGGCAAAACTGGATTCATTGTGCAGAATCTCTCATGCAAGTCTTCTAGAACACTGAAAATTTTCAACATATCTTCTATGCAAGCACGTTGAACTTAGATCCAAAATTTAATTGTTAAATCTTCTTTCTTCTAAATATTCGCCGACACTTGGAAACAGCAGACAATGATTACAGTTGCAATGCTCTGTCAGTCCCAGAGCAAACCTTTCCACCAGTTAGGATCGTAACCGTAACTGTTGCTATGTGATGAGTATTAACCCTGTTGCTAATTAAGGCAGAAATTACCTGAATGATTGGAAAGCTTCAAGATATTTCTAAGATTTTTTCCATATAAATTGTCACAAAATTATTTCAAAGGCATTTCCTTCGCAAAAATACGAAAAATGCGTGGAAGGATTTGACTCGAATCCTTCCACGCATACTACTGACTCGAACCAAACTTCGATAAAACAAATAAAATTTCGCACCAAATTCGTGAACAGCTTTGAACCACAATTAACCTTCACACAATAAAGAGAGCATTTGTCGAGGAGTTCAAACTGACTACAATGAAGGTTGAAACTAGTTTTGAATAACATAGTCAAGTAATTAACTGATACCAACATAAAGGAAAATTGATACAACAGACAAATCTTTTTTGTTTGACGATTATTTAATGTTAATTGAGCTTTGTCACTAAAGAGGTCATCTCCAACTTGCAACTGACATATACTTATAAACACATTTTTCTACAGTTAAAGGAAGGAAGGAAGTTTCTAAAGAAACTGTGGTGCTGCGTCACTGGCGGTATTACAAGTTATTTCTTACGTTTCGTGCGCAAAAATAAAGTTTACGAGCCCTGATTAGTTGAGACGAAGGGCTAACGTTTCGAGCGTTATCCTTAGTCAGGGCTAACGCTTAGTCAATTAAATCAACGTTCCTTTAGAGAAAGCCTGAAGCTCACTAATTGCGTAAAACTGTGGTTTGGGTTAGGCCTCATGTAAATGACGGGCCTTACTGTGACTATCTTTGTCACTAAGGAGGTTATCTCCCACGTGAAACTGACAAATATTTATATAAAGGCATTTCTACAGATAAGTCTGCTCAGGGGACAACATTTCCAACGATACACTGATCATCTGATTTTACAAAAAAGAAAGCCTACGTGACCTACAGTTATAATACCGCCATGGTTAAAATTCAGTTAAAAAAAGGGACATGGCTATATCACGGAGAACCTTAAACTTTAATGGAACAAGCTCTCGATTAAGGTTTGCGAGGCACTTTGCTTGTGAGGCGTAAAGAAAAACATAATGGACTTTGTGATTAACAGTGGGCACCGCATGGATACGAGAAATAATTCTGCTCGAACCATTGCGTTAGATTTAATAACCATATCAAGTAGACATCGTGCGATAAGTCACTCCTTATTTCGAAATCGGTTTTAACCGTCAGTGCACAAAAGGGAACATATTTAGCGATAAGTTCTTTCATGTGTAGAGTTCACAAGAGGCAAACATACATAGTAAAGGCCGGCCTTTACTTTGAAGTGAAGGGCTAATTTGTTACAATTATGTTAATTTATTCAGTACTCATTAGTTCTTTAACCAATGTTGTCTACAAAATATGAATACTATAAACCTGGTTGTTATGACATATTTCCTTCTTCCTCTCTTTCTTTCTTTACTAAAGTATCTTGCTTCTTTCAAGTTAAGTAACCTGTCCAAACTGGCTCAAAACTCCTCTCTTTCTAAGAAATTTCAGTTATGTATTAATAATTAGAAAATAGCGGTTTCGTGCCTGCGGAGTAACCTTTCAAACCTCCAGTGCATATTTGGGTGCTTGTTTGTGTTTTTCTTTTAGCGTCTTTTCTTGACCGAAAGTCAGATTATTAAAGACACTTGTCCTAAGTTAGAAGAATATATGAAAATGAGAAACAGAATTGAGCGAAATCAATTTGATAGAAGCAGCTTTTTGAGTGTCGTTAAAATATCAACAACAAACAAAATCAAGTATAAGGGCAGTCATTCGAGGTGGTCCTACCTTTTTAATTAATCAAAATAGTGTCCGGAAACCAATACCTCAATTTAGGCCGAGAATTCTCTAAGAAATGGCGAAAAGTCGTTCTTAAACACCAACTTGATAGCGTGAGCATAATTATAAGGTCTGAGTAAAGGTGCTATTTCAGGATTATGCATCAAAATTGTACGCTTCAAGTAGTTTTTTTAGCAATGAAATATCTCTCTGCCCTTTTGTCGACCTTGGCTTTTAGATGTGTTGTGGTTTACTGCTTCACTTAGACTTCAACTTTCTAAGTGTTTTTTATTAGTAGATCATTGTCAGGGCTTCCTCGAGTTTGACTTATAGTTCTGCTAGCCTCTTTCAGGTGCGGTTGCCAACACGAAAATAAAAGAGTAATTTCCGAACGGTTGACTAGGCATAACATTTGACACAACACCAGACGGAATTCCAACTTGTCCTGGTTTAATTACAGATTTAATACTCTGACAAAATGTGCAAAGTAATTATGTGTAGAGCATTCGTTTTTCAGGTTTTCCTTCAAGTGTATTAGACATTTCCTTTTGTTCACTGAGTGTTTGTCTTGTTATGTAGAGCGAGTTATCTAGTGCAATATCTATATTACAGCGTCTTACATACATTATTATGCCGAAACAATAGTGTTCTATGCCAACTCAAGGCACAATCATGACCTCGACCATTCAGCTGAAAAAAAAGATTTAGCTGAAATCAAATTTGGAACCTCCTTTAGTGCAAAGATCAAATCTTGTGATCATAGTGGCCAGGCGCGTTTAGAAGCAACGAGCTCTTGATACCCTTGTCGTGATTTAAGTTAGAGTAATTTTGTTGTTTCGTTAAAACGCTCCATCAGCTCCTTTGTGATACTCAGCCTCAATAGTGTCAATCGGACCGTTGGATTTATTGTCGCTGTTTATCATGTAGAAAGTATTTCAGAATAAGTTTGCTATTATTAATTCTACAAGTCCCTTCTAACTTTAAGTGAATATTCTCCCAGAACTCATAAACAGAGAAAAAGAAAAAAACAAAACAAAACAAAGATAAACAAAACAAAACAAAAATACTTGAGACAGATTGTCTCTTCGATCAATTTCGTCTGACAGGGCGTGTTGTGGCACGTAGTTTCAAAATACTTCTCTTCTAAACCTTACTATAAGAAATTACTTTTTCAAACTCTGCAATTTGAAATGGTAATTTGATAAAGAGGTTTGGATTTTTTAAATTCTTTCTGGTGAGTACTGTTTTTACCGCCCGCATAGTTCGTGATGTTTGCCTTTAATTGATATTTGGAAGACCCCTGACCGCGAAATAATACTCATAACTCTCTAGACTTTTTCAAAGGTTTTTTTTTAGGTGCCAAACGCTATCATTGGCCATCGGCAATTAGATGATGCATATGAAAATTTCGACACTTGAACTTAAGTTGACCCCTGGTGTAGTGCATAGTACCCTGAGGGAAAATTTGATGAAGACGATAAAATGGTCTGTGGAACTTTCAGCAGACTTTTTAGAGCCTTTTTACGTGGATGTGGGAAACGCAGGTAGGTGTACTTTTTAGAGCCTTCTTACGTGGATGTGGGGAACCCAGGTAGGTGAGGCAACTTGCCTAGCCGTGGTCGAAAAATAGCCCGCGTTTACATACAATCTTACAACCCCGAGATGCCGGGCTAAAGTTTCTCGAGGTTGTAATCGTACTTGTAATTACGGCGATGTGTGGTTGCCGTAAAAACGTAATTTATTTTCCTCTGAGTTTTTCGCCAGTAGCTCAATGCGATACCTGTTTCCGACGGTAAAACGTCTTCACTTGGGCATAACATGTGAGTGTATTGTTGAGTTTAAAGTAAAAACGTGACTAAATTGCTGTCGAGGTTTCATTGCCAAGAGGACGTAAGAATGGTGTTTTAACGTTTTAGCTCTGCATGGGACGGTTAGGAAGTGTAAAAAGTTGTAACACACGCGTGTTTCGCTCTTGTTTGGCTCATTTGAGCTTTTTGTAACATTGAAGCCATCCCAGCTGGGCATGTTACCCTGCCTTGAGACGTACACATGGCAAATTGTCACCCAGGCTGACAGGGTTACCCTACCAAGCAGACCGGGCAACCCGCTTAGGCGGGTCACCCCACCTATCATGTAAACGTGATCAAGATAAAATAAGAGATTATATGGACAAGCGGGCTACCCCACCTGTCCGGGTTACCTCACCTACCTGGGGGCCCCCACCTCCGTGTAAGCAGGCCCTTGGTGTTGCTCGCGATCGTACGTTGGTAATACCAAACATCAAAACAGTTATAGTTTGTCAGAAGTTATACCCTCGTCAAGAAGATCTTTGATGATTGGAAATTGATGTTGCTTTTCGAAAGTTAGAAACGCAGAAAAACAGCTCAGAAACATGGAGAAATTAGAGACTGCCAGACGTTTTTGAAACTTTGCCTGCTTTCGGTGAGTTTTATTTATTCGACAACGGACGCCGCCACTTTGAATCTCGCTTAGCAATGTGGCCATTTACTTACATCTCAGCGATGTTTGAACAACATGAACAAGAAGAATCTACTCAAAATGGCGATCCTGACTTAAGCAAAGGTCTTTTTTTCCTTTTGTAGCTAGGGCAGCAGACATTTCTGAACCCGTTAATTCCCAAGATGTGATTGTTAATTCTCTCCTCCAGCTACTACACATTTCCTTGTGAATTAATTCCAATTAATTTAATTTTGATCAAGATAATAACTTCTACCTGGTAAGTTTGGCATTCCCATAGATTGTTTGCTGGATGATATATGGATATTTTAGGGAGAAGTTACATGTTGTTACTGTTAGGAGCTAGAGGATTAATTGCATGATTATGGACGTTGGCCTCACCACTTTAGCAGAGGTCTTAACAACGACGTACCATTGTTAACGGCGCACGAAGCTTCTTCGAGACTCAAGGCGAATTTAAGGAGAGATCACCAATCCTGCTTTGAGGGAATGGTTGAAAAAAAAAACCAAAACAAAACAAATAAAAGACGCAAACAAACAAAAACCAAAGTCACTCTATATACTAGTGGGGGGAGGGGTGGGGGCGGTTTGACGATGGTTTAAAGGGTCTAGGCTTAAGAGTGTGTTCTTTGGCAAGACATTTGGTTTTCACAGTGCTTCTCTCCACCCAGGACTATAAAATTTTAACGACGAACTGTCAAGGGAACCTGGGGGGGGGGGGGGGGAGTTAACTGGTGACGGACTAATAACCATCAGAGGGGAGAAGAAGTACTCCCAACTGCCTCATGGTATCGAGGCCATTGAAAAGCTCTTTCGGCTTGTGAGAGGCAAATGGCTCGAGTGAAGACTACAAATATCAAGGATTTAAGACAAGTGCAGTGAAATAAGATAAATTGTTGAGGTGAAATAAAATAAAACTTGTTATTCTTCTTCAAATTGTATTGTTTTTTTGATAGACTGAACAGCAGTAAACGCAATAATTACAAGCTGTGGTAAGGTTAATACATATCATGAATGAAAATTCCACAACTTTTTTTTTAAACACAGCAGGCCTTTCACAATCAACTCTCATTAACTAGTGAGTTCACAGCTTCCGTTTTCTTCAAACGTATCCGTAAGCCTTGGTTACGTGTTGCCTCTGCAGGTCAATTTGCTTGTTCTGATAATAAGCGAATACTTAACAATGTCAATGTATTCTCTAAAAATGTCTACTTAAATTGTAGATAAAAAAGCCATAATTTTGTTTTTTTTTTTACCTTTAAATCAAAAAAATTAATTATATTTTACAACCACAAGACAGTGAGATCGTCTTCTCCCGAAAAGGTCAAAAAAAGGAAAGCTTTCAACCCAAAAATTACTCAATCCACTTGTCAAAAAACAACAAAAAACATTCCAAGATTAACTGAGGTAGTCTAAATGTGACCCTCGGGCCCGGTTGTTCCAACACAGCGGTCAAATATCAGCATATGTGCATGCGCTAAGGAATAAACGAAACTGGTTTACGACATTCGAAATCTTCCTTTATGAGAAATATTTCAATCATTAAGTAACAAAGAGGGAAAAATGTGGTTCAGTAGATGCCGTGTGCTCTTATGACAACATTTTACTCTGACTCGACATCGTTACTACACCTATTCACACTCGTGGATCTTGACTTCTATAGCTTACGGAGTTTCAATTTTTACGCGCAAAATTGAAGTGTTCATGGAAATCTGTAAAAAGAAACAAAAATAGAAAAAGGGAAAACTCCTGACTTTTCAAACACATAGCTTATTCATGCACGGGTATATATCATGTTGATTCACCACCCTATTTTCAGTTTTTAAATAAAGTAATACGGTTTTCAAACGCCGTGGCTTAGCGGCTTACATTCTTGTTCGTAACTCGTGTGAAAAACTTAATTCTGATGGCCGGAAAGCACGCCACCTAGTCATAACAACATTCGCACATCTGCAGACGTTTGACCCCTGTGGTTGGTTGTTCTAGAGGATGCTAGCATTAGACCATGATTATAGTTAAGCCAGCTTTTGATTTCTTTTAAATGAAGTGTGTAACAGGGATGAGGTCTGTAAGGAGCTTCATCTTGGCACTCAGAAAAATTAAAGGTATCAAAATATAAACCACTAAACTCTGAGAAAAGAGATAAAACAAAGTCAAAGTTTTACATCAACAGTAGTTCAACTTAATCGCGCAGTTAAACAGTTCTCTCCTCGTGTTTCAAAACGATTTTATGAAAATGTAATGCATCGGTTAAATATTTAACTGATAAATAAGAGATCCCTCGTCTTTTCACATTCATACGAGTAATAATTCTACATAGAACTTCACCAACTTTATATTGACTTGACACTCAACGTTTTGACTTCTTCGTCGAAGGCTGCATTAACCTGAGATAGGTCAGCAGTGACATTTTTCACAGCAGGCCCACGAGCATTTTTAGAGAGCCTCACATTACCACCAAGCCTACTATTATCGCTATGGCAACAATGGCGCCCACACACACGATGACCACCTTGGTCGTGGGAAAGTTTTTCGCTGTCTTTTTGGATTGTGTCTGAATCTGAAATAATAATAAATAAGTTTACTCCGTTAGTCCAGTTCAGAGACATAGAACATTTGACGTGGCCTCGTCTTAAGTTTTTCTGTCTTGGACGAGCCATGGTGCGCGTGGTGACATGGGAAATAGCACAAGAACGACTGTGTGCATGTCATGATCTCAATCTCAAGCAGGAAAATGAGAAGAATCACGTGAAATAGCAAATTTGCCAGAGGATTGCAGGGTTAAGACAAGTTGAAAAGTGATACACCAAGTCTCCAACCGTTTGTGTATCGCTTAAAAGAATTTCCGGCGAAGTGTAACAACAGTGGATACGGTGAGATAGAAAACCGGCTAAAAGAGACACAGGGATTCCGAGAGGTTTTAACTGAACATAAGTAGATCATGATGGCTTGGAAATTATTTTACCTGTAATCATAATATTCCTGCCCTTTTTTAGAAATTTGAGCATATGGAAAAGAATAGCAAGCATGCTAATTTTGGGCCACGTCTATCAACATGGTTTTTTTCCCCCTTATTTCTCGCATAGATGGGAGAAATAATTCTGCTCGAACCATTGCGTAAATACTCATATCAAGAAGACATCGTGCGATAAGTCCCTCTTTATTTCAAAATCGGTTTTAACCGTCAGTGCACAAAAGGGAACATATTTAGCGACAAGTTCTTTCGCGTGAAGAGTCTTCAAGAGGCAAACGAACAAATTAAAGGCCGGCCTTTACTTCGAATAGAAGGGTTAATTTGTTACAACTATGTTAACTTATTCGGTACTCATTAGTTCTTCAACTAATGCTGTCTAGAAAATATGAATACTATAAACCTGGTTGTTATGAGATATTTCCTTCTTCCTCTCTTTCTCCCTTTCTTTCTTTACTAAATTATCTCGCTTTTTTTTCTTATGGTATGCAAGTTAAGTAACCTGTCCAAACTGGCTCAAAACTCCTCCCTTGCTAAGAAATTTCAGTTATGTATTAATAATTAGAAAATAGCGGTTTCGTGCCTGCGGAGTGACCTCTCAAAACCCCAGTGCATACTTGGGTGCTTGTTTGTGTTTTTCCTTTTACGTTTTTTCTTGACCGAAAGTCAGATTAAAGACAATTGTCCTAAGTTAGAAGAATATATGAAAATGAGAAACAGAATTGAGCGAAGTCAATTTGATAGACCTGCTAGGGAATAAGGCAGCTTTTTGAGTGTTGTTAAAATGTCAACAACAAACAGAATCAAGTATAAGAACAATCATTTGTGCTAATTTCTACGATTCTATATGGTTGATGATGCATTAATTGCAAAGGGATATGGAATATTCGAGGTGGTTCTACCTTTTTAAATCATAAAAATAGTGTCCGAAAACCAATACCTCAATTTAGGCCGAGAATGCTCTACGAAATAGCGTAAAGTCATTCTTACAACCAACTTGATAGTGTGAGCATAAGGTCTGAGGTTTAAGGTGCCATTTCAGGATTATACATCAAAATTCTACTCCTCAAGTAGTTTGTTTAGCAATGAAATATCTCTCTGCCCTTTTGTCAACTTTGGCTTTCAGATTTTTTACTGCTTCACTTAGGCTTCAACTTTCTATGTGTTTTTTTATTAGTAGATCATTGTCAGGGCTTCCACGAGTTTGATTTATAGTTCTGCTTGCCTCTTCCAGATGCAGTTACCAACACTAAAATAAAAGCGAGATTTCCGAACGGCTAACTAGGCATAACATTGGACAGAACACCAGAAGGAATTCGAACTTGCCCTAGCTTTCCCTGGTTTAATTACAGGTTTAATATTCTGAAAAAATGAACAAAGTTATTATGTCTAGAGCATTCCCTCTTCAGGTTGTCCTTCAAGTGTATTAGGCATTTGCTTTTGTTAATTGGCTGATTGTATTGTAATGTAGAGCGAGTTATCTGGTGCAACATCTAAATTACAGCACCTTACATATATTATTGTGCCGACACAATAACGTTCTATACCAACTCAAGGCACAATCGTGACCTCGACCATTCAGCTGAAAAAAAAGATTTAGCTGAAATCAAATTTGGAACCTCCTTTAGTGCAAAGATCAAATCTTGTGATCTTAGTGGCCAGGTTCGTTTAGAAGCAACGAGCACTTGATACCCTTGTCGCGATTTAAGTTAGAGTAATTTTGTTGTTTCGTTAAAACGCTCCATCAGCTCCTTTGTGATACTCAGCCTCAATAGTGTCAATCGGACCGTTGGATTTATTGTCGCTGTTTATCATGTAGAAAGTATTTCAGAATAAGTTTGCTATTTATTAAAACAAATAAAATGCATTCTACAAGTCCCTTCTAACTTTAAGTGAATATTCTCCCAGAACTCATAAACAGAAAATCTGAAAATATTGTACCAGGAATAAAAAAGAATCCACTGATGCAACAGCGTGAGAAAAAACAAAGCAAAACAAAACAAAGATAAACAAAACAAAACAAATTAAAAAAACAAAAATACTTGAGACAGATTGTCTCTTCGATCAATTTCGTCTGACAGGGCGTGTTGTGGCACGTAGTTTCAAAATAATTGCCTTGTAAGCCTTATTTCAAGAAATTACTTTTTCAAACTCTGCAATTTGAAATGGTAATTTGATAAAGAGGTTTGGATTTTTTAAATTCTTTCTGGTGAGTACTGTTTTTACCGCCCACATAGTTCGTGATGTTTGCCTTTAATTGATATTTGGAAGACTGACCGCGAAATAATACTCATAACTCTCTAGACTTTTTCAAGGGTTTTTTAAGTGCCAAACGCTATCATTGGCCATCGGCAATCAGATGATGCATATGAAAATTTCGAACTTAAGTTGACCCCTGGTGTAGTGCGTAGTACCCTGTGGCAAAATTTGATTAAGACGATAAAATGGTCTGTGGAACTTTCAGCAGACTTTTTAGAGCCTTTTTACGTGGATGTGGGGGACCCCAGGCAGGTGAGGCAACCCGCCTAGCCGTGGTCGAAAAATAGCCCGCGTTTACATACAATCTTAAAACCCCGAGATGCCGGGCTAACGTTTCTCGAGGTTGTAATCGCACTTGTAATTATGGCGACGTGTGGTTACCGTAAAAACGTAATTTATTTTCCTCTAAGTTTTTTGCCAATAGCTCAATGCGTTACCTGTTTTCGACGGTAAAACGTCTTCATTTGGGTATAACATGTGAATGTAGTGTTGAGTTTAAAGTAAACACGTGACTAAATCGCTATCGAGGTTTCATTGCCAAGAGGACGTAAGAATGGTGTTTTACCGTTTCAGCTCTGTATGGGACGGTTAGGAAGTGTAAAAAGTTGTAACACAGGTGTGTTTCGCTCTTGTTTGGCTCATTTGAGCTTTTTGTAACATTGAAGCCATCCCGGCTAGGCATGTTACCCTACCTTGAGACGTTTACATGGCAAGTTGTCAACCAGGCTGATAGGGTTACCCTACCAAGCGTTAGTCCAGTTCAGAGACATAGAACATTTGACGAGGCCTTGTCTTAAGGTTTTCTGTCTTGGACGAGCCATGGTGCGCGTGGTGACATGGGAAATAGCACAAGAACGACTGTGTGCATGTCATGATCTCAATCTCAAGCAGGAAAATGAGAAGAATCACGTGAAATAGCAAATTTGCCAGAGGATTGCAGGGTTAAGACAAGTTGAAAAGTGATACACCGAGTCTCCAACCGTTTGTGTATCGCTTAAAAGAATTTCCGGCGAAGTGTAAACAGTGGATACGGTGAGATAGAAAACCGGCTAAAAGAGACACAGGGATTCCGAGAGGTTTTAACTGAACATAAGTAGATCATGATGGCTTGGAAATTATTTTACCTGTAATCATAATATTCCTGCCCTTTTTTAGAAATTTGAGCATATGGAAAAGAATAACAAGCATGCTAATTTTGGGTCACGTCTATCAACATGGTTTTTTTTCCCTTATTTCTCGCATAGATGGGAGAAATAATTCTGCTCGAACCATTGCGTTAAATTTAATAATCATATCAAGAAGACATCGTGCGATAAGTCTCTCTTTATTTCAAAATCGGTTTTAACCGTCAGTGCACAAAAGGGAACATATTTAGCGACAAGTTCTTTCGCGTGAAGAGTCTACAAGAGACAAACGAACAAATTAAAGGCCGGCCTTTACTTCGAATAGAAGGATTAATTTGTTACAACTATGTTAACTTATTCAATACTCATTAGTTCTTTAACTAATGCTGCCTAGAAAATATGAATACTCTAAACCTGGTTGTTATGAGATGTTTCCTTCTTCCTCTCTTTATCCCCCTCTTTCTTTCTTTACTAAATTATCTTGCTTTTTTTTTTCTTCTGGTATACAAGTTAAGTAACCTGTCCAAACTGGCGCAAAACCTCTATCTTTCTAGGAAATTTCAGTTATGTATTAATAATTAGAAAATAGCGGTTTCGTGCCTGCGGGGTAACCTCTCGAACCTCCAGTGCATATTTGGGTGCTTGATTGTGTTTTTCCTTTTACGTTTTTTTCTTGACCGAAAGTCAAATTAAAGAAATTGTCCTAAGTTAGAGGAATATATGAAAATGGGAAATTGGGATTGAGCGAAGTCAATTTGATAGACCTGCTAAGAAATAAAGCAGCTTTTTGAGTGTCGTTAAAATGTCAACAACAAACAGAATCAAGTATAAGAACAATCATTTGTGCTAATTTCTACGATTCTATATGGTTGATGATGCATTAATTGCAAAGGGATATGGAATATTCGAGGTGGTTCTACCTTTTTAATTAATAAAATTGTGTCCGAAAACCAATACCTCAATTTAGGCCGAGAGTGCTCTAAGAAATGACGTGAAGTCGTTCTTAAAACCAACTTGATAGTGTGAGCATAAGGTCTGAGGTTTAAGGTGCTATTTCAGGATCATACATCAAAATTGTACTCTTCAAGTAGTTTTTTAGCAATGAAATACTTCTCTGCCCTTTTGTCGACCTTGGCTTTCAGATGTGTTGTGGTTTACCGCTTCACTTTGGCTTCGACTTTCTATGTTTTTTGATTAGTAGATCGTTGTCAGAGCTTCCACGAGTTTGACTAATAATTTTACTTACCTCATCCGGGTGCGGTTGCGAACACGAAAGTAAGAGCGTGATTTCCTTACGGTTGACTAGGCATAACATTGGACACAACACCAGATGGAATTCCAACTTGCCCTGGTTTAATTACAGACTTCATACTTTTCATAAGTTTTTCATTTCATAAGTTTACTATTTATAAAAACAAATAAAATGCATTCTACAAGTCCCTTTTAAGTTTAAGTGAATATTCTCTCAGAACTCATAAACAGCAAATCTGAAAATATTTTCCCAGAAATTAAAAGAGAATCCACTGACGTAACAGCGTGAGAAAAAGCAAAACAAAACAAAACAACAAAAAAACAAAACAAAACAAAACAAATACTTGAGACAGATTGTCTCTTCGATCAGTTTCGTCTGACAGGGCGGGTTTTAGCACGTTTCAAAATAATTGCCTTCTAAGCCTTATTTCAAGAAATTGCTTTTTCAAACTCTGCAATTTGAAATGGTAATTTAATAAAGAAGTTTGTATTTTTCAAATTCTTTCTGGAGAGTACTGTTTTTATCGCCCGCATAGTTCGTGATGTTTGCCTTTAATTAATATTTGGAAGACCCCTGACCGCGAAATAATACTCATAACTCTCAAGACTTTTTTAAGGGTCTTTTAAGTGCCGAACGCAATCATTGGCCATTGGCAATTAGATGATGCGTAGTGCGTAGTACCCTTAGGGAAAATTTGATCAAGACGATGAAATGGTCTGTGGAGCTTTCAGCAGACTTCTTAGAGCCTTTTTACATGGATGTGGGGGACCTCGGGTGGGTGAGGCAACCCGCCTAGCCGTGGTCGAAAAATAGCCCGCGTTTACATACAATCTTACAACCCCGAGATGCCAGGCTGACGTTTCTCGAGGTTGTAATCGCACTTGTAATTACGGCGACGTGTGGTTACCGTAAAAACGTAATTTATTTTCCTCTAAGTTTTTCGCCAATAGCTCAATGCGTTACCTGTTTCCGACGGTAAAACGTCTTCACTTGGGCATAACATGTGAATGTAGTGTTGAGTTTAAAGTAAACACGTGACTAAATCGCTATCGAGGTTTCATTGCCAAGAGGACGTAAGAATGGTGTTTTAACGTTTCAGCTCTGCATGGGACGGTTAGGAAGTGTAAAAAGTTGTAACACAGGTGTGTTTCGCTCTTGTTTGGCTCATTTGAGCTTTTTGTAACATTGAAGCCATCCCGGCTAGGCATGTTACCCTACCTTGAGACGTTTACATGGCAAGTTGTCACCCAGGCTGACAGGGTTACCCTACCAAGCAGACCGGGCAACCCGCTTAGGCGGGTCACCCCACCTATCATGTAAACTTGATCAAGATAAAATATTAAGAGTTACTTATAAGAGTTGCTACTTCGAGACTCAAGGTAAATTTAAAGAGAGATCGCCAATCCTGCTCTGAGGACATGGTTGAAAAAAAAAAAAAACAAATAAAACACGCAAACAAACAAAAACTAAAGACACTCCATATACTAGTGGTGGGGGTGGGGTGGGGGTGGGGGGGGGGGGGGTGGGGTGGGGGTGGGGGGGGGGTGGTTGGACGATGGTTAAAAAGGTCCAGGCTTAAATGTGTGTTCTTTGGCAAGATATTTGGTTCTCACAGTGCCTCTCTCCACCCAGGACTGTAAAATTTTAGCGGCGAATTGTTAAGGGAACCTGGGGGGGGGGAAGGAGGGAGAGAGTTAACTGGTTACGGACTAATGACCATTAGAGGGGAGAAGAAGTACTCCCAACTGCCTCATGGTATCGAGGCCATTGAAAAGCTCTTTCGGCTTGTGAGAGGCAAATGGCTCGAGTGCAGACTATAAATATCAAGGATTTAAGAAAAGTGCAGTGAAACAAGATAACTTGTTGAGGTGAAATAAAATAAAACTTGTTATTCTTCTTCAAATTGTATTGCTTTTTTGATAGAATGAACAGCATAAATTGTGATAATTACAAGCTGTGGCAAGGTTAATACATAATATGAATGAAAATTCCACAACTTTTTTTTTTTTTTTTAAACACAGCAGGCCTTCCACAATCAACTCTCATTAACTAGTGATTTCACAGCCTTCGTTTTCTTCAAACGTATCCGTAAGCCTCGGTTACGTGTTATCTCTACGTACAGGCCAATTTTCTTGTTCTGATAATAAGCGAATAATTAAAAATATCAATATATTCTCTAAAAATGTCTACTTAAATCATAGATAAAAAGCCATAATTTTGTTCTTTTTTACCATCAAATCCCAAAAATGAATTATATTTTGCAACCTCAAGACAGTGAAATCGTTTTCTCTCGAAAAGGTAAGAAAAGGAAAGCTTTCAACACAAAAATTAGTTAATCCACTTGTCAAAAAACAACCAAAAACATTCCAAGATTAACTGAGGTAGGCAAAATGTGACCCTTGGGCCCGGTTGTTCCAACACAGCGGTCAAGTGTCAGGCATGCGCGAAGGAATTAACGAAACTGGCTTACGACATTCGAAACTTTCCTTTTTGAGAAATATTTCATTCATTAAGTAACAAAGTGATTAGGTTTACATCTCAGAGAGGATAAAAATGTGATTCACTAGATGCATGTGCTCTTACGACAACATCTTAGTCTGACTCAACATCGTTACTACACATATGATAGTGTCGAACACTCGTGGAACATGACTTCTGTAGCTTACGGAGTTTCAATTATTACGCACAAAATTGAAGCGTTCATGGAAATCTGTAAAAAGAAACAAAAGAAGGAAAAGGGAAAACTTCTGACTTTTTGAACACATAGCTTATTCATGCACGGGTATCTTGTTAATTTAATACCCTATTTTCAGTTTAAAAAATAATAATAATACGGTTTTCAAACTCCGTGACTTACTGGCTTGCATTCTTGTGCGTAACTCGTGTGAGAAAACTTAATTCTGACGGCTGGAAAGCACGCCACCTAGTCATAACAACATTCGCACATCCGCAGACGTTTGACCGCTGTGGTTGGTTGTTCTAGAGGACACTAGCATTAGACCATGATTATAGTTAAGCCAGCTTTTGATTTCTTTCATATAAAGTGTGTAATGGGGATGAGGTCTGTAAGGAGCTTCATCTTGGTGCTCGGCAAAATTAAAGGTATCAAAATATAAACCACTAAACTCTGAGAAAAGAGATAAAACAAAGTCAAAATTTTACATCAACAGTAGTTCAACTTAATCGCGTTCTAAACAGTTCTCCCCTCGTCTTTCAAAAAACGAGGGGAGAAAATGTAATGCATCGGTTAAATATTTAACCGATAAATAAGAGATCCCTCGTCTTTTCATATTCATACGAGTAATAATTCCACATAGAACTTCATCAACTTTATATTGACTTGACACTCAACGTTTTGACTTCTGTATCGTCGAAGGCTGCATTAACCTGAGATAGGTCAGCGGTGACATTTTTCACAGCGGGCCCACGAGCACTTTTAGAGAACCTCATCATTACCACCAAGCCTACTATTATCGCTAAGACAACAATGGCACCCACACACACGATGACCACCTTGGTCGTGGGAAAGTTTTCGCTGTCTTTTTGGATTGTGTTTGAATCTGAAAAAATAATAAATAAGTTTACTCCGTTAGTCCAGTTCAGAGACAGAACATTTGACGTGGCCTCGTCTTAAGGTTTTCTGACTTGGACGAGCCATGATGCGCGTGGTGACATGGGAAATAGCACAAGAACGACTGTGTGCATGTCATGATCTCAATCTCAAGCAGGGAAATGAGAAGAATCACGTGAAATAGCAAATTTGCCAAGGATTGCAGGATTAAGACAAGTTGAAAAGTGATACACCGAGTCTCCAACCGTTTGTGTATCACTTAAAAGAATTCCGGGCGAGGTGTAACAGCAGTGGATACGGTGATATAGAAGACCGGCTAAAAGAGAAACGGGGATTCCGAGAGTTTTTAACTGAACATAAGTAGATCATGATGGCTTGGAAATGATTTTACCTGTAATCATAATATTCCTGCCCTTTTTAGAAATTTGAGCATATGGAAAAGAATACCAAGCATGCTAATTTTGGGTCACGTCTATCAACATGTTTTTTTTTTCATTATTAAGGGTCTGGTCGGTCTGAACAGGAAAATGTACTCAGCTTACATTATCATAGTTCTAAATTTAGCTCTATCGCCGAATAAAGAAACATCCATCTTTCTTTATTCCTCGTTTGAGCTAAAGGTTTACAAACCTTCTACTCCATCATTTTCATCGGCTTTATTAGGCTTGGTGGTATCGCTTTCTTCAACGATAGTAAATGGTCCGAGAACTAAGTGCACCTCATTTGGATCTTGCTCTTCCAAGTTCCTTCTCTTCCGTTTGCTTGTGCAAGCACCACATTGCGTAGCACAAGTGGATGCAGTATTGCTTATTAAGCATGCCAATGCATTACAGTGGAAATAAACCCGGTCACCAGCACTTCTACCAGCAAAGCGGAACGCGGATAAGGTAAACGTTTGAGAGTTGGTAGGAGTTGCTGAGCAATTATAATCCGTCACAAACTGATCACTTTGAACATGGCAACTGGAAAAAAGAAATAGGTGTAGTTTATGTTCGAACATATTTTAAACGAGTCGCTTTATCAAACTATCCGAAGCACAAGAAATTGAATAAGTACGGATCAGAAATCATTCGATTTTTTTCTACACCATAAAAACCATAGTTAAATATGTTCTTACTACATCTGAGGTACAACTACACGAACTTTTAAAAACTTTTAAAAACTGTCTTCAAATGAGCTAGAAATGCGAGGTCTCAGGCCGCCATCTTGAATCTTGACCTACGTGTGAATAATCAAGCCGTGTTTAGTTTAGGGACCAGTCCCTATATATAAAATGAGGAGGGGGGGACTAGGTCGGAGGATTTTTGGCGGGGGATCTTATGGTTTTCTGGGTGAACGGAGTGGGGATTAGTCGTCACCAACTGAGTATAAAGAAGGGAAATATGAAAAAAGATTGACTGACAATTAACTGTCAATGAAGGAAGTCTCTGAATATCACAGAGCCTTATGGGGGGATCAGGTAAACTTTATCGTGCCACTGCTAGAATCCTCTGACTATGGAAGTTGCTAAACCAACCTAATTTCGATTGGCACAAGAGCTTAGCACAAGCACAAAATGATATCATGAAATTTGCAAAAAGTCGTTTTCCTCAGTTTCGATTACTTAACTTCGATTAGTATTCATTTTTTCTTCCTTGTTTACAATCTTACCCGCTTTGGATAAATGTATAGTTGTTAGCATCGTTTACGTTATCTGTGGATGTAGCCTTGCACTGGGTAAGATGTAATTCAATGTCACTGCTTGTGGTTTGAACTTCGATTTTGAAATATAATTTCTGTCCCAAATCGATCACCTCATTTGTAACAAGGTTTTGATGATTTTCATCCTGGTAGATATTCATAGTAAACGTCAGAGCACCACTGCCTGTCAAACAACAAGATATTCAGATTACAGATAAATCAGAAAAAGTTTATTGTTCTCATTACTTTATCAAAACTATGACAAAATTTACGAAAGCAATTTTTTATCAGGAGCCCCGTTTGAGAACTTAACTGGGAAGTGCATGTAAACGTCACGTTTGATAAGGCAATAAGGCAGCTTATGCGTCACACCAATGTCCTTATTCTCGGCGTATCCGCACCTATCGCGCGGGCTCTTAAATAGACCATTGGGCATAATGACCTTCTTTTGGAAAAAATCAAAGAGATGAAAGAAGAAAAAAAAAGATGAATCTATCGGTATTTGCGTCTCATATTTTGTCATGGTATCAGGATTTCGCCTGGTCAAATTCTGACTGTGGTCATAACCGTCACCAATTAGAGTGCTAGAGCCATCAATCTAATTGTTTCAGCTGGCATGGATCTTCTGTTCGTTCAAAATTTAAAACGAGACAAGTTCTTGTTTCTTTTTTTGCTTTGTTTACACGAGCAACAAAATGGTAAGTTGGTAACATAACTTGCTATCTATTACGGATTAGTATAAATCTACCATCAGCCTTCTATCACAAGTACTGCAATCTGATTGGCTATGCAACTTGCTATCAATCCATTCTTTGTTATAATTCATCAAGACTTTTTGCTCACGTGCGATTGGTCTAAACACATCACGTGACCAAATATACCTCGGCTAAATCTCGGAAATATCCGAACATATTCCCCAATTTTCAAACCCTAGATCAATTACAATAAAAGTCTTCGTTTAAAATTTAATTCAATATGAGAAAACGTTTTGTGGTGGTTACAGAAGAAAGAACGTGGTCATTTGTTCATAAGGTCGAACCAGATAACACTGAGAATCAACAGATACTCCCTTTGCTTACTACATTGGAATGCTGGACTGACATATGGACTGAAAAATAAACGATTAGTCGAGAAGACTCGTGTTGAACTTAAAAATGTTGAGCCAATTTTAAAGCTGAGTTGATTATTGTCGATATTACGGCGATTTGAGAGGGGTTATTTGTCTTTTAGCCCATCGCAAGCTTTCCTGGGCCAGTGCGCGAAATTTCCAATCAAAGAGATTATCAAATCCAGATTTTTTACAGCTTTAGCCGATTTTCTCTGTCTGATACGTTTGGATCATGATTTGATGTCAGATTCCTATCATGTTAATGTTTTTCATGCCTTGAAGTCTACCCACTTAATGCAGTGTCTCCAATGAGTTTGCTCAGAAATTATAGGCAAAACACATACAGTAAAAAGCCTCTATTTGGGCGTGACAACGTTCATGGATATCTGAGGGCTGTTTCGAAAACTGAGCCGTAAGACTTGGGAATAGTCATCGTTAAATGGTAGAAAAACAAAACAAACAGAAAACCTACTCAATAAGCTCCAAAGAAAAACTATAAGGCAGTTAAGTGTACTCACTAGAAGCAGTTGTCGGCGTTCGCACGTATGAGCAAATGATGTTAAACTCGGTTTCGTTTTCTGCGGTATTAAAGACCATGTTGTGGTAAAATGATCTTTCTTCATCTTTTGAGATAGTGAGCTCAGTATTACATGTCCCAAGGGTAATGTCAAAGTCGAAAGTAGTTGAACCATTCGTAGCTTTGCATGTTCTGTCATTGAGAGCCAGGTCAGTCGCGGCGAAAGAAGCGTCAGAATCAGTAAATAATGATTTTTGAATTGCTACCAAGATATTGGACGCTTGGCAAGTGACGGCAACATTCTCTGGGATAAAAGGAATCAATAAAACGATTATAACAAACATCATCATTGCTGGCCAGTTAAAAAAAGGTGGGGGGGGAGGGGAGGGGACACAAAATCATTTGATCTTCAAGATTCGCCATTCTTTCCCTTTTATCAAACCCAACAGTTCTTGTTTCATTAGCAACTTTTTTTTATCGATATTTATAATTCAGTTTGAGTTATATCTCGTTATTCATGATCCCAAGTTTTAGGGTTTTAAACTCGTAAATTTATGATTCTGTCTGATTTGACCGCTATGATTCACTAATGATCCACGATTCCACCTTGCAGCCCATCGAACAATCAGAGGGAAAAATACACTCAATTGTTTGTTACTCGCATTCAGTGCCGCACGTCATTACGTTTAATTCTCATTGGTTTCTTCGTTCTTCTGATTGGTTTTTGTGTTAACCCTTTAACTCCCATGAGTGACCAAGACTAAATTTTTCCTTACAAATATCACTACAATATCAACCAGATAAAAGATGAGAATAATTGGGGATAATTAGTTGATCCGATACTAAATTCTCTGAACTAACATTATAAGAATTGTATGGTTGACAGTAAGGAGAAGTACAAATTTGATCTGGGAGTTACAGGGTTAACTTGGATTTCATTTTATGTCACTTGATCAAATAGCTAAGCCACAAAACCTAAAAACATCGAAGCCGTAAGTATGGCATCCACGTGTTCTTGACTGAACAGCATATCGGGGTTATATAAACCCCGGACACGACAACATGCTATTTTTTCAGTGAGTAGCGAGAAATAAGATAATTCCTAAACCTTCTTTACCAGTCCTCCTTTTACGAAAACCGTCACTCAACACCAATCTATGCTGGTTCCCCCATCAGGTTGGACTTAAATTCACACAACCTTTTCTCCTGACAATCTTCTTAGAGTTACGCTCGTATTACGCTCATCTTCATTTGCGGAGGGAATGGAATGAACCATTTCGTCCCTCACTAGCTATGTCAAATACAATCTTTCATGATCATCCATATCATATTGTTGTGAAACATACCTGGAACAGCATAAATCTCCACTCTTAGGCATGTAAGGTTGGAAACTGGTATAAACCGCAGATGTGTTGCAGTCACGTTTGTTGTCAGGGTATGGAATGTAGCGACATCACCACCAGCTGATGAGGCATTAAAGGTCTGGAGAGGTACCGAAAACATTCATATTTCAAAATTCATTTTAAAAAAAAGCATTTCGGGAAATTCAAGTTATTGTTTCTCTAATCAGTCTTTAAAAAAAATTGAAACTATTTTACGTGTCTTGTTTTAGCGCCGAATGCTCATTAATAAAAATCTATCGTAAATATACACCCAATAGAAGGACCTAGAAGAATTCAAGTCTGTAAGCTGTTAATACAAGAACGACAAAGGCAAAAGGTATCGACTGCAGCCTCTAGGCAGTGAAAAAATCGTAATGAAAGCGGCAAGGGACCTTAAGTAATTAATCAGGACGACAACACCAAAGAAAAAAGTTTATGAAAAACAAACTTGCATTTTGACTAGGAATTCTTAGCGAATTTCTAGTGACCTTTACCACTTCGAAAGATTCCAAAAAAATTCCCCCTTCGAAATTTGATATGTGGAAAGTGCAAAGCTTCAAAGAGAAAAAATTTATGAAAACAAAAGCTACGATGAAAAAGAAAATGTGTAAAGACAACGATAACAATGCTATGCTGTGGTGTCTGATAGTACTTTTCAGTTGGTTTAAAAACCTGAACAGTGATGCTGGCTATTAAAATGTGATGCAAGCCTAGCTATAACGTCGGTGCTTAAAAAAAATGTTTTTCACGTATATAATTAAATGATATCAGGATCAAATTATAAGATCTCTGGTCGATGGGAATAACATACTCGCAGACTGAGAATTTTTTGAGTTCCACCTTAAGGTGGAAATTGACTGAGTCTAAAGCAATAAATTCTAACCAATTTCGACAATAAGTATAGATATTTTCAAATCGTTTATATAAAATTTATTTAATGAACCCGCCAGCGAAACAAGTTGATAAAAATTAAAGGTCAATTATTTACCTTCCCTGAGTCGATGGCATTAAAGGCTGATCCGTCTGTTGAAGACTTCAGCATAAAGTTTGTAGACTCTAAGGCATTAGGCTTTCCCTGCACTTCGACGCCGCATATTACGTAGCTTTTACCCAAGCTTATTTGTAGATATAAAAGACGGTCATCACCATTTGTCTGAGGACACCAGGCACCAGTTCCAGCCAGGCGGCCATCTTCGGCTGGAAAATCAGTGAGCGCCGAGCCTGCAGTCATGCTATCGTCAGGTATCACTTTCAGTTCATCGCGAACACCAACGGGAGTGTCAGAACACGAACCTGAACGTTTACAATCAAACAAATGCGCTTAAATTTGACATGGATAAATGTACTTTAATACACACCAGCAAATGATTAGCTGAATATTCAGTACCACCCAGGTTGAATTGAGGTCTTCATTATACAATGAACCATAATTACAGCATCGAAAAATATTATTACGCGTCATTTGTATTTTTCAATGAGTTTAGCGAAAGGAATGAGGACCAGAGTCCTCTATCTTCCTCCTTCAAGAGAGCCCCTCCCTCGATTTTTCTTTGTTGCAATCTCCAGAATTCTGAGAAGACCTGATTAGCCACAACCAGGGTCCATTCTCGGGGAAGGAAGAAAGATGGCTCTAGGAAACAGGGTTACGCTCAAGCTTTTCAGATATAATAACAACAGCATTCGGACCATTTGGAGGGAAAATATGCACGGATATTTGTCCGCGTACAGTTTTCGAGATGCGAACATTTTCCCGAGAGCGACGCTCGAGAAAAACTCTGAGCTTCGAGGGGCAAATATAATTGATGGATTATACGAAGTGGTTATCGCCAACGTTGGTTAACTATTTTTTACCTGCTGCCGACGAAATCAGTTGAAACAGCGCTGCAACGATCTTTATCCATGTAAACGTTGTCATTCTTGTTTGAGGCTTCAGGTGGTGAGGATATTTTTGGTTCAATGAATCTAAACACAATCTGAAAGTTGAGAAAGTAACGAAATCACGTTGAAAAGATAAAGATTATCAAGTATTGGAAACTTAGAAAAGATGATAATAATCTATTAATACTTCAAGCCCTTGGATTCAGGAAAATGAGACTTCTCTTTTACCGTTTACTGACCGCAGTTTTCTTTATCCTACTACGCTTTATCAAGCAGATATTTTACTGAAATTGTAGAGTAAAAATAGTTATGGAAAATCGTGTTGCTGGTATACTTTAGTAAACTCTTCAAAGCAAAGATACTCAAAGATAACCATAGGAAGGTCTACTTTAAGAAATTGGACCAAAAGTCCGAGAGTTCTCGCAGGTAAAGGATTGACCTGTCGTAGTGTATGAAACGCAACCCCCCTAAGACAACATTCTGGAAATCTCGAGGTTCATCAAAGGTTGACAAATATGAAATTTTTCGTTACGCTCGCCAGATCCGACATCAAAAGCTATGATGTACTCACAATGTTATTATAGAAAATAAAGTCCGTGGTAAGTCGCATGAGTTTTGATGAGTTCGATAACGCTATAAGTTCTTCGAGACTCAACGCATGCTTGAGCCTAGGAATCGTACAGCGGATAACTTTGAAAAGTAATAGAGGATACTGAAAAAGAAAGCAAACTCCACAGAGCAAACCAAGATAAACAAATTTCGATGTCTTTCAGTCGCTAAAAAATACTTACGTTCGAGAAAGGCAGCTTTTACTTCAACAAAGCGTTGTTGCTATTGCCAGCTCGAAGAAAATTAAATTGAAACTGAAACAGCAGTGAGTGTCTGGAAAGTTCTATGTTCTTTTCGAGTTGAATGCAATAGCATTCTAGCAACTTGGTGAAAAGTTCCTCATACTTTGTAGCCATGCATCACAGTGACACGTTAAGAGACACGTTCGTCGATTGTTGCGTCGCAACACTTCAGGTTTTCTATTAAGGTTAATTTCGTCACTGAAGAAGTCGTTTCCATCATATCCCTTATAATAGACATCGCAGAGAGCTAAAGAATTTATGGACTTAATAAAACTTACACCCAGCGATTGAAACAGTCCATTGGTTTAATGATCCAAAATTGATCATTTTTTCGATGATTTTCGATAATAATTATAATAATAATAATAATAATAATAACGATGATGATAATAACGATGATGATGCAGGACTCTACCCCATCCAGTCATCATTGCGATAGCAATTTCCCGATCATTAATCATTGCTCACGCCAACATTTGTTTATCCCTTAATCTTCCGGAAGTGATTAACTTGTAACTTCTCCTTATGATAACCATACTACATCCAGCAAACAGGTAATGAGAATATTCAAACTTATCAGCTAGAAGTTGTTATCTTGATCTAACACCAAATTCTCGTAACTGATTCACAAGGGAATGTGTAGCGGCTCGAGGGGAGAAATGACAAGTAATTTAGGAGCTCAGCCGCTGTACTGTGGCTCTTTGCGGCTGATGACGGTATAGTCAGTAGATCATATTGATGAGTCTAGAGCAAGATATTACGCCGGGAATGAAGCGGGAAGAAACAAGAACGAACCGAGTTTCGGTCAAACACTTTCGGGGTTCTAAACACCCTCACTTTCGAAATGAGGTCTAGTGCAAAACCTTTAAAAGAATGCTTTCGGACTTATCTCCGGACACATGATCTTGAATATGCCCTCATAAAAATAGCACAATCTATCATAAACGCTGAAATCTGATCGGGTATCTTAGTCGCTAGCTATTCTGTGATAGATTGCTGAGGAGTAAGGTATGTGGCCTTAGGATGTAGCGGTTGGAAGTAAAATGAAATATAAACATGCATAAGCATATCTTGTAGTCAAGTTTTGAAGGACCGGTGTAGATAATTACTAACAGAATTAGATCATTTGCTTTCGATTTTTTATGCTTGATAATTGACTCGGGATTCGTTCTAATCATCTATCAAGCGATTGCAATTTCGATTTCATAATCTAATTGTCGCGTAATTATTTCGATTTACGCTGAAATTTTTTGTCACTAAACTTTTAAAATGTGCACGCAAATTTTGAATCGGAAGTTACTTGAAAATTGTCTTGTCTTGTTCACATTCTTTTTTTAAATAGACCATCGTGATCAGACTCCGGTTGTTCGAAAGATGGATAACGCTATCCACTGAATAAATCTCTATCCGTTGGATAGCACAATATGTTTTGTTAACTCTTGTCCGCTGCATAGCGATTGATCCGGTGGATAGTGTTGTCCGCCCTTTGAGCAACTGGGCCAGGGCATTTAAGTCAAACTCTTCTATGATACTATTTCTCAAGAGTGTGTGGCTTGGAATTTTTTAGGAACTGTTTCAAGTGCACTAAATAACACTTTACTGTCGTGATTACTAATTCATTTTGCGAAAGAATGTTTGGTTGTGCTTCAATAAATCTTCTGAATTCTTGTCATTGTTTTGTTTTCATCATGAAATACGGTTTAATTATAACAAGGTTTGTTCCTATTTTAATCGCCTTTGACTGAAATATAAAACTTGAGTTCAGTTTTTTAGGCACTCTTGATTTGTAAAAAAAAAAAATTAACATACGTGCAAGTTGATTTTCACTATCACAATAAACCGCATATGGTTCACTGCTCTTTGAATTTTAAAAAGGAAAAACTACGTAAATAAGCTAGCGGTTTTCTGGAATATACTTTGCCCTTTTAAAGTCATATATTTTAGTTTGAAGATTGGAAGATGTAAGACCATTCATTGCACAATTTGAGGATTAAAAATTGAACAGACGTGCTCTATTTGAACAATTCTACTCCACATTTGGTTGCCTAATATGTTTCTGCATATCAGAGCTCGGAAACAGCACCCTAACTGTGTAGAGAAGACACGCAACAAAGGCTAAAAAACATGCTACTGAAACCTTTAATGTTAGAATAATTTCTTTCTATGACAAAAGTTATTTCTGATTTCTAATTCGTTTGACAGAAAAAGAGATGGTTTTCGCAACATGATGTTAAGACCTGGGTCGATTTCACGCGATTATGGCTGAAGTTTGGGATTTGCATCACAATATATCTTATAGCATGTAAGTTTTGTCAGCATTCACTCGCATTTAGCGTAATAACGCTTGCACCGTTTCCTCAACGCACCGAAACCAGAGCAAAAAATCACTCACCTTTTCGTCCAAGTCAGAATCAAAGACTCACAGCTAATAATTTCAAACAAGTGACCATGTTAAACAGCAAACTGGCAGCGGACTCAGTAGAAAAGTTTCAATCTAGTTGTTCATGAAAACCAAGCGCCTAAATTAGCCAATTACGTACGTAATGTGACGATCGGAGCTGGTTTCCTTCCGAGACTTTTTTGTAATCAAACGCCTCGAAACTTCGATGAGAAGAATGTTTATGACTGTTAAAAATATTTTCACCCTGGGGGCTGTAAACCGCTGAGTATTTGACGCAATTAAGTTGTTGTTAAAGACCGGCTTTTTGTTTTCCGGTGATGTTGATAACGCCGCGATTCACTTGCTGTGTAAAATATGGACGGTCTACTGCGAAGCAAACGCAAATTTTCTTTCAGGACAGTTTTGATTTTATGTATTTTCTCTTAGTCGTTGTTACGAAATATTTCATTATTTCCTAAGAATAAAATAAACCAGTGGGGTGTTAATAATCATCTCCGTTACGCACAACAAGTAAAAAGGCTATAGCAACAGATTCGCTTCAATTCTTAACTGAGTAAACTTGTAGGTACGTGTAGCGTCCAAATTGTGATCAATGAACTACCCTCGCTATTTGTGAAGTTTCATTCATTTGGGGACGTCATAGTGAAAGCAACGAATCAGCGAAAACAGGTAGAAGAACCACTTTACCGAAAGCTTTACGGCTTATTTTTTGCATCTCCGCAGCTGGAAACTTTACTGATACCGTCAGCTACTCAAGCTATGAATTTGTGCTTGAAGCCGCCAACATCTCAACATGTTCAATAATTGGCTAATATAAACTGCCGAATATTTAGGGCAGATTTTAGAAATGTGTTTACATATTTTTAGTTTTGGTCTTTTGCGTATTTGTTTGTTATTGTTTTGCCAATAAGGCCGGAACAGTCAGAATGTAGAATATTCTTTGGTAATGTCAAGGTCATGCGACTCGTCAAAGTTTAAATACTCTTGCTAGAAATATAGGTAATTAAAACGTCTACCGTTTTTTGGAGTTTAAATTGTACGGAACTAAATTCATTCATTAACCCTTTAACATGATACTTCTCCCTATAATAGCCTTACATTATCCAGCAAAGGGCAAATGAGAACACCAAACTTATCAGTTAGAAGTTGTCATCTTGATCTGGCACCAAATTCTCCTAACGTATTTACAAGGAATCGTACAAAAGCTGGAGGAGAGAATTAACAGTCAGATCTCGGGAGTTAAAGGGTTCAAGATATGAAAAGATAAATGTTTTGGTTCAACCCTTTATTTTTATTTCCCATGTGTGACCAAGACATAATTTCTCCATACAATATCAATACAAAAAGTGATAAGAATTCAGAGAAATATCAACAGGGAGTTATTATTTGATCCAATACCAAATTCTCCAAACTAACATTATAAGAATTGTGCAGCCGACAGTAAGGAGAATTACTAATGAGATCTTGGGGTGAAAGGGTTCATTAACTTCAAGTGAGGGGTGACTTAGATTAAAACGTGGTATTTATCATATACCAATTACACTGCAGTTTGAATTTTTAAATTTTTTGTTGCTTCCCACAATTCCCTTCTTTCATCAAAGCAGAAGGCAAGATTAAGTCTAAACTCGAGCCAAGTGGCCCATAAGGCACTAGGACTTATTCCAGACTCCGAAGCATAAAAGCATAAGGTATTACTTCTCTATCAATCTCCCAGGGAAAGATGCCAGGATGCTTGTCCATAGCAGGTTTTCCCCTTATGTTTTTCAGGCTTCCCGCCTCGCAGCTGTACTCACTTATACTCCTTGGTAAAGAGAGGCGCGGTTACAGGGAAGTTTAGGGTACCTCGTCTTTCTCTAAAAACGCAACTTCGATTTTTTAAGAAATGTATTTCAGAGGCCAACGTTTTGAATTCACCTTCTGAGTCTGCGGTCTAATTGGATTATTTGGGTCACATTAAGAGAGCGAAGCCAATGAAAATTCTTTCCAGTGTTTTGCTTTTATTTTTCTGTAATATTTCATTTTTTTTTTCACGCTAGTAAAGGCAGTTACTGAGGTTAACATGTGAAGGTTTTTAAAGGAGGCTCAACGCATGCGTCAAAGCTTAATTTCTCCGCCCTGTATAATTAAAAAATAACGAGTGCGCTCCTCGTGTACTCTCATATGGTGTTGGTGTCCAATCTCTTTTGAGGAGCTTCCTTAAACCTCTAGCAAAAAGAACTGTTTCAAATTAAGAATAACTTTTTAAGGTCAAAAATTAGATTCAATATCTTTTCGTGACTTTCTTGGATGTTTTTAACCACAACTTGAGCTGAAATCAATCATAAATTCCAAAGAAAACAAAAGGGCTTCGTGAAATAACTGACCCCAAGCGAATATCTGGCTTGCCATTGATTTACGACTTTTATGCTTGAATGCAACTCTCTGTGGGTTTATTGTTTGAGATGATGGGCAAGACAAAAGCGTATAAATGACGTCTACAAATAACTTACATGCAATAAAGATATCTGTCGGTACATATTCTCCTGCTGGGGAAAGAATCTGATGAACGGAGTACCGCTGGCGTGACTACCACTATTCATTTAACGAGATATTTGAAGGTACTGCAGGGAAGTGATTCTAGTTTGCTTGTGTGTTGAAAGAACGCTAGAGCCACGGTCCAAAAGAATGTTAAGAATTGAATGATTGAAAAGCTCAGTCTTTGGTTCAAGTTGAACTCTTTGTCAGACCCTATACGATTGCCATCAGTTACTCAAGCGAGTCTTAGAATTTGACAAATGACTGTCATAATGCTCCACTCGAGACGCAGCGATGTGAAGATGTGAAGTGGGTTGTTTTGTTACCTGCGTTGTAATTAATGTAGTCGGAAAAAACTAAGTCAAGACTGCGCAGAAACCCTGCAAACGATCTGTATGTAAAAAGGATCTAATCACTTTCATTGCACATTCCATATCACTCAATTTACGAAGAGCTCCAATATGATCTTTGAAGTATCTCTATTTTCATGGAAACAGTGTTCCACTAACGTTCATACGTAGGTGAGCAAGATCGAGGAGATACCGCAAAGCTGGATAACCATGAATACAACTTTACACCTGGGTTCTCTGGCAAATATTTCAACTGTCGCACTTCCAGAACTGGCCAGTCCGACTTCCGCGTGGTTTTCTGAAAATGGCAAGTTTATTACGACTGCTGAGTTTGTCGTAAGTGTACTGTTTTACTGCTGCGTGTTCCTCGCAATCCTTGTGGGAAACGTGCTAGTAATTTTAGCCTACGAGAGGAACTGGAGACTTCAAACTACCACAAACACTTTCATAATTGGTCTAGCTGTGTCGGATCTATTGGTTGGGTTCGTCTCAATCCCCTTTTGGTTGTATGTCTACAGCTGCCATTACTTGGACGTTACACTACATCCCGTTGGATACGAAATGTACATCACATTCGACGTGTTCATCGGATGTGCGTCGATCTTTCAACTTACTGCCATCAGTATAGAGAGATGCATCGCCATCGTCTGGCCGATCAGACACCGAGCCCTTCGCGAAGGGATCTTTCATGCGATGATTCTTGCCGCGTGGGGTTGTTCTGCGGTCATGGCTGGATTGTACCCGGTCCAATTGAAGCATTGGGAAGGGGGCTACACGGCATTTATCTTCTCTACTTGCTTCATTGGACCATTAATCGTCATGTCTGTAGTTTATTTCTTAATCTATGAGACAGCAAGGGACTCGAGGTCCAGGGTACACGCCGCAAGAGCAGCCCCCACAATACACAGAGAAATTCGTGTTGCGGGAACAGTGGCCCTTGTTACTGGAGTATTTATGATCGCGTGGTTCCCATTCTTTGTCATCACTGTGGTTGCTACATACGATTTGGAGCGCTTACCCGAACCACCTGGACTCTTCCGACTTACAGCCTTCGTCAAGGCCTTGCATTACATAAACTCGGCTCTAAATCCAATCCTGTATGGCTGCCGGAATCCAGAGATGAGAAAGACTATGCTCAATGTAGTGCGCCAATGCTATCCGCTCAGATCTCGTGAGCAGAGGTATCCATCTAGGCTGCAGGCGATGCTAGATCCTCGACGTACACGAGAGTTCTTACCCGGTACCTCGTTGGCAGTGCAGTGGCCTGACGAAAGACGAAGCACACCGATCATTGGCAACAACACTACTACAACGGTGGTTTCATTCGTTAATCGAGATGGGTATGTGGAGTCAAGGCCAACAAGCGTACATCAATAAATTTTATTATTGATCACTTTTTAATGCAATGCTCTCTTATGAAAATATATTTTTTAGATAAACCTGCATTCGTTGGTGCCAATTAGCTAACGATGCTGAAGAATCCCCCAAAAAATTTTATGCAATGTTAGCGTGACAGTGTGTGAAAATATAATTAACCCGTGGTAAATCAATAAGTTTAATTTTGTTTAATTCAACGTTAAACTGCAATGGATAAAAAATAAGATAATTACATATTATGTTTGCAGTCAATGTGGCAAAACTTTCCTCGCTTGTTTTGTATTTTGATCAGAGTTAAAATGATAATTTTAAACTTTTGCCAATAATGTCTTCAAAGGAGCAGGTTCTCATAATCAGCATCCATATGCGCTTGTACATAAATAAAGGACATGAAAGTCACCATCCTCAAAGCGGTTTTAAGAAATAGGGTTTAAGAAAGTAAATCGAGACAACCATATATGCCTCCAGGCTCAGTTCACTTATTAGTGGGTAGCATGGGGGGCAAAGGGAAGGGGGGGGAGGATGGGGGTAGAAGGAGGAAGTGTTCTGATCCCATCTCGCGCACAAATTTTAGAAAAATTAATGCGTCACGTGTACTTTAAACAGTATTTCACGCGTGATGAATTTAAAAGGGAAAACATCAAATCTCATCTTACCTTGCTCTTCTGAAAAATTAACACATCGAGTATTAATTCTGGGCTTAATCTCGCGTTACATATAAACCTTTGTCACCCTCTAATTATTCTAATTTCTCCGCACCCCCCCCCACCATGGCCACAGCTTTCTGACAGCCCTGGAGCCCTCGGCTGAAGCCTTAAAGGAAATGCTGTGCCGGGTGGGGTGAGTGGTGTTGAAAGGAGTGCTTTTCTATACTATCTGTGGAAGGTAAAAAAACTGAGCTATTTCATGACCGTCACTATGATGGCAAGAGATTATTAACATTTTATATTCTCTTGTAATGGTGTTAATAAATTGTATCATTTAAACATCCTTGGAGTGTTTCAAAGTACATTACATTTAATACAACGGAATGAATGCATTGTGATTGGTCCTTGTCAGGAGCCCAGTGATGGGCTCCTGTCCTTGCCCATGAATCATCATAAGGCATACATGAATCATTTTGATAACATTGAAAAGTGGCAGATTTTTTTTTACTTTGTCCAACATGGCGTCATGTCAAAAGATTTTTCTTAGATCGACGCGGCCATCGAAGTTGTTTATGGGAAAGACACACCTGGCGGCTCGTGTGCCATAAAGAAACCGCTGATAGAGCCGAAAAGACTTCTTTTGACTCCCTTATTTGGTGTCCCTTACACAAAACTAATATGTCTTATTTTAAGACCACTGGCCAAGATACACACACCGTAAAAATTCAACATGGCAAAATGTAATAGTAGCCTGAGACATATTGAGCAGAAATAACGCGTTTCTGGCGCTTGCTAAGACAGAGTGCTGATTTAACAATCTAGATAAAGCTCGTCACTCGTTACTTATAGGAAAAGAATGGAGAACATAGATGTATTTATCATGGATCCAACTTTTATTGACCTCCTAGTGTATGACCTTTGGTTGCAAGGATTCTCTGGTTAGTAGCTGTCAATAAATCCAAAAGCAATCTATTTGTTATTTGAAAATAAATGAAATCTAATGTTACTCACTTTATTCTTCTCTTATTCCACATTATAAGAAAAATAGTTTTCGCTATATCTGGCGGCTTGTATATGTTACCCAAGGGCCACAAGTTTAAATCGTTGTCACTAATTCTAATTACTGTTGACTGTTACTATCATAAAATAAAGTCTTTTACTTGCTTACGTATTAAGGGTTTTTTAATTTCGTCTTCAGTGTAACGTTTTTCAATATTTATTTTTTTTTTTCGCAAAAAAGTCCCTGTTCCATTCGCATTGTGACTGATCACCAAATTTTGACCGAAAATACATTCCAGAAGGCCTTTATCCGATCTTGTTGATGCATTTAACACGATGTATTTGACCCATCTTCGAACAGTACATTGGGTCTACAAACAAATGGGTATTGTTTGGTTTTTAACATTATAGAGAACTGCTTTAAAGTCTTTGGTAAGATTTCTGCACAGCCCCTTGCTAATTGTTTAACAAAGCTAAGGTCACAAAGTTATTCTGTTGTTTTTGCCATTGGTTTCTTTATCCAAGAACTGTATGGATAATGAAGTATGGGGTTGTATGGTATTCTTTCTACAGAGTCCTCTTCATGACAGCCAAATAAATACATATTTTTCTCTCCCATTAGAAAATGAAGCAGCTCAAAGGAGAAAATGTGATGAGAAATTCAAGAATTTTGGGGCATCTCATGCCATCATCACAAGCGACACTCAGGATCAGTTTCGACTGTTCTACATGCTGGAACGTTTTCTTCAATCTCCTCCAATGCTTGCCAAGCAAATGTTATTGCAAATATCTCCAGATGTTCAAGATATATTAATTGAAAGGCATGTAACACCCATTTTTTGTTGATAGATATTCAATTTTCTTGATCTGAATGATCAAATATTACATTCATCTTTTCAGGGGGTATACATTTCTCTTGTTAACTAGCACAGAGAATTGAGGTTTTTATCAGGTATTTATTTTTATAGGGGTTTCAATAGCAACAGCTTTTGATGCACTGGATACTCCTTTGTAGTCTGACATGAGATATCATTATACATGTTTATTGTTAACAGGTATTATCAGTTTGACAAGGAGGTAGTAAGGGAACTCTTAGGAAAAAAACTCACTGGACGTGTGCGCAAAGACTTGGACGATGTCAGTGAGAAGACAAATATCCCCTTGAAGAGTTGTCGCCGACAGGTGAGTTGTTGACACAACTTCTTTTGTGTAAACTTAATGTGAAATAATTAAATTACATTCACCTAGATCTTAACTTTGATATGTACTGATGATGATGAGGGAAAAGTATGCAATGTTGGCTGCATTGTAAAGTGGTCTAAGGCACTGATTTTATTTTTAATCTGCAAAAGCCGAGGACTTAAGTCTTCCTCTCTGATAGCTAAAATTCTGCAAGCCAAGTTTCTTACATATAGCCAGACCTTATCATGGTTTCTGTACCATAAATCTACTAGAAGTATTGGTACCCCTTCCCTCTCTCCCACCCTTGATGAGAAGCTGGCCCAATTGCATGTTGCCCCCAGAAATTTCGTCAGCTTTCCAGACAGTTCAGCAGTACCCATTAACACTCCTGGGTTGTCAGAGGCATTGTGAGAATAAATTGTCATGTCCAAGAGCATAGCAAAATGACCCTGCTATGTCTTGAATCTAGACCTGTTGACCAGCAGTCCAGCATGTTAACTGTCAAGCCTCTGTTTCTCCACTGGTGCATACGTGAACACCTTGTTCTTCACATTTGGAACTTCAACCCATTTGTTAAGCCAAATGGCTTACAGTTACCAACTGGTATTTTTTCAAATTTACGTCTACTACTTACTCTAATTGTTTATTTGATGTCATCAAATGGGAAGATAGGCCAATGCATGTGGATCTGTATGGAATTATTTGATTATTTTTCTAACTTATCTTTTTAAATTGTCCTTATTTTATATTAAAGTTCACACAGCAACCAAGTGGACAATCAGACATGGTTTGATGCTACTCTGGTTGGTAAAGGGTGATAAAGGCACTAGACAGGAGTGTCGAAACACTGGGTCTATGAATTGTAACTTCTTTGGTTACATTCATTAAATCTGTAAACCAGAGTAGCATCAAACCATGTCTGATTGTCCTTATTTATTACTAATCTGATTCATGTATGTGTATTTTCTAGTTTGACAATGTCAAAAATGTACTCAGAGCAATTGAAGAGACTGAAGGAGGAGGCCTTACAGACACTGTAAAGAAATTGTTTCTTCTTTCAGATTCATTGGCAAGGTAAATGTAAAACAATTACACAGGTAAATACACAACAATTATAAAAATTACAGTATTACTTTGCAACAAATGATGTTGCTGGGCATGTCCATCCCCCAATTCCTGTTTACATTATACAGTAGGATGAATTACACTTAAACAAGCATTTTCATTGGTTGTTATTTATGATCTTTCGGAAGACAGATATATTGATCACATCACCATAAACAAATTTTTTCCTTTTCATCTTGTACAGCAAATAGATTCCTTGTTGCCGTAGGTGTGTACAGTCACTGTAACAAATCACAGATGATGTCATAATGTGCTCAGAACTTGACTGTGCCTTGTGAGCAACTTTTTTGTTCTTACCACATTTTGATGTCATCTGTTATTACTGAACAGACAAACAGACACATGGAATCTATTTGTTAAATATATACAATTTTACTGTATAATATACATATTCCTGCAGCCAGAAAATATCCAGACGAACAAACTTTCCCATCCCATGGGATGTTGCTGTTAAGGTTTACGTCTTTACAATGCTCAACTGCTCTGTAATCTTAATTTGCCTGTGTTTTCTTTATTGAAGGAAAATTTCTCAGTAGAGAAAACCTTTTTTGCCCTCAAGGGTTTCCCTTTGGTTTGAGATTCTTTCAAATGTGCATTATTTTACAAATGGGTCATTTAACTGTCTTTACTTTCGTCTTTTAACAGACAATATGCTTGTATCTGCTTCATGGCCATCAACAAAATTGAAACAGGAAAGAAAAGGTTAGTGTACAGGAATGACATGTCAAGTGACAACTTAAGGTGGTGAAGATTGAATTCAAAACACCATAGAATACAACATTATTATTATGATTGTTGGATTGTTGTAATTTAAAAATCTTCTTTCCTGCTAATGTACAGATTGTCATAAAATAAAAATTTTGGGCACAGGTAAGAAACAATGTTATTTATCCTTTTAACTCCCAGAAGTGACCAACATGTAACTTCTCCTTATAATATCCTTGCATTTTCTAACAAATAGTTAACAAGAATACTAAAACTTATTGGGAAGAAGTTTTTATCTTGATCTTACACCAAATTCTCATAACTTATTTACAAGGAATTGTGTAGCAGCAAGAGGAGAGAATTTACTAATCAGATCTTGGGAGTTAGAGGGTTAAATGTTAAATCATGCCTGTACCCTTATTGTGAACCCTAGAAGTGGGGGGGGGGGGGCGTGTTGGAAAAGAGGAGTGGCTTCACAGAGAGATGGCAGTACGCCTCTGGTCTGAGAAAAGTGCCCTTTTGTAGGGAGCCACAACTGTCTGAGAGGAACAGGTGCACTCTGATATATGAAGAAATTTCTTCTCACTTGACAGGCTTTCCTACCTTTCATTTGATGACCTTGTATTCTGTGCAGAGCAGATGTTAGATCACTGGACAGTTGGATCAGTAGAAGGCTCCACTGGTCAGTGTCTTTGAAAATTGCTGACAAAAATTTTTGTTAACTTTAATTCTTTCAAATGGATTAAATATCAGTTGATAATTTATGAAAGATAGAGGTGAACTTTGTCAACACTAACCTTACTTTTGACCCTTGAACTCTCATGGGTGACCAAGATAGAATTTCTCCTTACAAAATCATTACAGTGTCAATCAGACAGGTAATGAGAATAAAGAGAAATATCAATTTGGGGATTATTAGTTGATCCAATACCAAATTCTCCAAACTAACATGGTAAGAATTGTGTGGTAGGCAGTAAGGAGAATTAGAAATGAAATCTTAGGTAAAAGGGTTTACTGTAGGATTATGAGAGACCCAGGGCCAAAAATTAGATTTTTTATTTCCTCTTACCTTTTGCTTTTTGTGTGTGCTTTTTATCTATTTTCTTCATTCTTTTCATTATTTAGTTATTTTTATTTATTTGTTTACTCACACTTTTGCATTAGAATTGTGCTATTTGCTAGAAAACCCTTTGAAACCTGAAAAAAATTTAAAAAAGTAACAGCTAATAACAATTTAATTATTTTTATTAAATTATTTATTTACCTGCCTTTTTTCAATGAAAAATTGTACTACTTACTAGAAAACTCTTCAAAACAATAAAAAAGTAACTGTGATAGAAGAATAAATAAAAAGAAATAAATGGAAAGTAAAGTTGATTTAATAACAACAGAGGTTATTCTCTTTATATGAATATTTTACTGTTGTTGTTTGAGTAAACAGGGCCTTTTTTAGAACATCATTTTAGATAAATCGGTGTCAGTTTAAAGTGCTAATGATGGAATTTGAAAAGCATATTAACCAACCTTGTTTAAGATTTAATGGTTTAATCTATTTTTTTCATTTGACTGCTTTTTATTTCACGTGTGCATTGATATAATGATTCATTTGTCCTGTTTTGTTCCACTGCTTTCTCTCTCATTAATTCACCTACAAGTACTAACAAAGCTTTAGATTAATTTTTAATTTATCACTAACCATTCACAGAATCATGTCTACTACCTTTGTTCAAGGTCGTCATCTGTAAGCATTTTTATATTTTGAAGAATTACAAAATTTTTCTACTTCTTAAGTTCCGCCATTTGCCAGAATTCCTAGAATGTGTGACGACAGTAAACCAGCTTTGATTTAAGTGAATGTAAGACAGGTAGTTTGATTTATTAATCAGGTTTTAAGGCATGACTAGTGCTTTTAAGTACTTAAAAACCTTTTTCCTGAATTTTTTACTTTGTATTTTATAACAAGGAGGCAAAAGGATTATGTCTCCTTAGCAATTTCATCCATCTTGGAAACCTCAGAGTTGAGGTAGAATAATTATCAACATGTATTTAACAAAGAGGATGATCATTTAAATGCAAAGGAAAAAATTAATGAGATAAATGTTAATTAAAATTTTTTTCAATACTAACATTGATTTACTTGAACACAAAACCACTGAAAGCCAAAAACTTTGTTACAATGTGCAGTAATTGCAATAACCAATAAATTTGTTTTGGTTTTTTGTATTTCACCTGAATTTACTTGCTACAAGATTTAATTAGGAAATTAGAAAAAAATTTATTTTTGCAAAACTGTACATGCAATTTTTCATTCTTTTCTAATTGATATTGATGCATTTGTGCCTCCAGTCAGTTATTATCCAGTTACCATGTTGTTGTGCAGGAATTTTTGTGCTTTCTAATAAGGTTACTGATTTTACCCTTGAAGTAACTTTTCTGCCACTCATGGCACACATTTCACTGTTTCCCTTGAGCTGAGGTAGGGATATCATTATATGATTTGCTGCCCCCTCACAGGGTGGTGGGTGGGGAGAGGGGAACTAGTGTCATCTTTCAATGTCACTGAGAGAGGATGTGGCTCAAAGGTATCCCACCCTCAACTGATTGGGACATAGTACTCAGGGAGGGGGGGGGGAGAGGAAGGGTTACCTTTTTAATTACTAGCTGTATGAGTGGCTATCATTGGGATGCCAAAACCTCTAACTTAAACATTCATGATTTATTTGTGTTCAGCTGATGTTGGAGATACAGGTGCAGAGTTTGACAGAGGTTTCCTACAAGAGTTGAGAGACCTGAAGGTGTTTGTGAACGATAAAGAGATTGTGGATGAGCACAGAAGGTTTGTTTGACAACTTTGTACAAATTTGCAGTTGCCTTTTTTTTTTTCAAGAAAGTTGCTTTAAGTCTCATAGGGTAATGGTTTACAAGATGGACCTCGAACAATTCTGACTGCCAGAACTGAAAACTTTACTGTTTTTCTCAGTTTTTGAAATACTGGAACAACATCAGTTTGAGTAGAGTTACAACGGATAAAATTTTTGAAATTTCATGAATTTCAATAATTTTGTGCACTTAGTTATAATAGGGAAATGTTTTGTTTGTTTCAGCTTGGTTTGCAATGATATAGCTAAGCGGTTTACCAAAAAGTTGGCTAAGTCTGTGGAGAACAATTTCAAGGTACTTTGCTAGATATCTTTTTAAAGTTTGCATCTCTACAATGGTAAAAATATGTTTTATTATCAGTGTTGCCATTACTCACCACCACTTTTGAAGTGGCATTTGAGCATCCCTTCGTCATTAGGGATTCAGCTGGAACGTTTCTTCGCCAGCGGCTAAGTATGAGGCCTGGAGCGAACCGAGTCGGAAAGAGGTCTGGTAAGAGTCTGGTAACTAGCGTCGGACCCGAAGCAGACCTCGAAGATTTGTTTTCGATCTTCCCGCGGGCGGAGAGATGCGCTTCCTGCAGCCCTTTGATCAGCTTGCTGATAAACATTTATCCCTTGTGTGGAGAGAGAGGGACATTGTGTGGATAGAGTATCTAGCCTTTGAATACAAGGCCATGATCAGGCCAATTAATAAAGGGGGTTAGTCTCTAAAGAAACGGTGGTGCTGCATTGGCGGAAGAGTACAACAGGGTCATTCAGTATTGTCAACTGAGTTGATAACGTAAATTGGCCACCGTAAAGACTTTCAAAGCTGACGTTTCGAGTGTTAGCCCTTCGTCAGAGCGAATGGCTCTAGGCCAGCATTTAATGACTAATGACTTATGACTAAGCCAGCATTTTAAATGAGGCATCACCATAAGGGTTACATGTAGCGTACAGAATTAAATGAGCCAACGGAAATTCCTAATTTAAATTTATGCACATTTCCTCTTCATTCTCCCAGAATGGGTATTTCAGTGTTGATGAAATCAATTTTAACATCACTTGTGATTGCTGCAATCCGATTGGCTTCTAGCAGTGACTTAAGTAGTTAATCACAAAGTAACCAATCAGATTTCAGAATTCTTAATTGTGATTTATTCACGCATCACATTATTATTATTTTTCGTATTTTCGTTTGCTATTGGATCAGTGAACTATCGGCTCTCACCAATATCCTGTTTTTAGGCGACTAAATTGTGCGATTTAAAAAAATAGATTTAGTAATGTGAGAATTGAACTTTTGTTTTGTGCAATTTTTAGTCAGAAATCTCACTTATTAATTCTTCTGATAAACCTCATTACCTGGCTATGTTCAATGGGCATGTCACTTTTTCTTCATACACACTGTACCTCTCTCTACACTGTATGTATATTTACCTTATATATTTTCTGTCTCTGTTTCTCTATAGAATCTCTGTCGAGGTCTCCTAACTATTGCCGCCGGTCTTATCCACAGTAAAGAAGTCAAGGATGTTTTAAGTGACTTTGTAGAAAAGGTATTGTACAAATAAAATATATTAAAGTTCACACGGCAACCAAGTGGACAATCAGATATGGTTTGATGCTACTCTGGTTTACACAGAATAGCATTAAACCCATGTCAGGTATTGTACAAATTGTAGCCGAAGTTGTGGATTTGACACGACTTTGCGAGACATTTATGACAAGTGCGAACAGCCTTACTGAAAGGAAAATTGTCAAAATCAAACGCATCTAGGTAAATGTAAAGTAAAATCCAATTCATTCGCCAGAGTATATTCCGTAGTGCACCTGGATGTAACGCCAGTCCATCGCCAATTACTTCCCCCACCCCTTCTCCCCTCTTTCCCCTTGAAATTCCGACAAGTTTCCGCGCCTTTACTGTTGCCAGTTTTGTTAATATTATTAACCCTTCAACTCCCATAAGTGACCAAGACAGAATTTCTCCCGACAATATCAATACAATATCAACCAGATAAGTGATGAGAATGAAGAGATATATCAATTTGAGGATAATAAGTTGTTCCAATACTAAATTCTCTGAACTAACATTATAAGAATTGTATGGTTGACGTTAAGGAGAATTACAAATTTGATCTGGAAGTTAAAGGGTTTATATACACGCGAGTGACGAGGGACATTGTTGGACTGTTGCGAATTAAATATGTAAAGGAAAAAAAATAACAAAAAACAGTTTGGAATGAAGCTGCGGTGATTTCACGGGCAACTCTTTGTGGACTGTTTTTCCGGATTGAAATTATAAACTAGATTTCTTTTTAGTAATGTGTGCGTGTGCGTGTGCGTGTGCGTGTGCGTGTGCGTGTGCGTGTGCGTGTGCGTGTGCGTGTGCGTGCGCGTGCGCGTGCACGTGCACGCGTGAGCGTGGGTGTGGAGGGAAAAAAGGTGTATTAGCAAGGACGAACTAACTACTAACTCAATCCAGCGGTGACGTCAGTTCCAAACCCAGGCCACAGCTCTCATCATGATTCCATGGCTCTGCTCCCCAGAACGTCTTCTTTAGGTTTTTACTGTTTTTTTAAATATATTTTTTGTTTTATTTTTCTTCATGTAGTTCATTGAATCGTGCAAGCAGCAAGAGTGGGATGCGAATGAGACGGACATTTTCCTCGGCTCTTTGGTGGATACCTGCGGCAAATTGGATTCTTTACACAGGTAGGTAAACTATATGAACGCTGAATGTTGAAAAATAAAATATTATCGTTCTCTACACCACAGAAGCTCTCAAGAGAATATCTACTGTGCGCGATGAGTGCAGGCGCAAATCGAACGGGCGTTTACCAGAGAGTCTTCTGCGGGATGAAAGACGCAACCATCTTCGGACTTGGTTTTGATTATTTGTGTTACATAACAGCAACATGCCACCTCAGGCACCTTTTGAGAGCGAGGAAAAATGTTTTAAAACATTCCGGGTAAAATTGCAGATCTACGTACAGGGGAACTGTCTCGTGACCAAAGCGACCCTTGAAGTATCCGCGCTACCTTGTCTCTGTGAAAAAGAAAGTAGTCATTCGTCAGAAGGAAACTTTGATGCAAACTCATATGCGTGTATCTTTCTATGTGTGCGTGTGTTGCGCATGCAAAACGTGAGAATTACACGCTTGTAATGCGCATGTAATGCTGCGATACACGAGAGCCGTGCTATAAAAGATAGCTTGGGTAGACAAACACGGAAGGAGTGAGACGAAGCAAAAAGAGAACGAAAATAAATAAGAGTGAAGAGGATATTTAACATGGATTTATATCAATGACATTGATAAATTGGCAAGATTTTGTTTAGACACATACACACTATTTGACAGCTCTTTTGACAATGCTTATTTTTAAGTTATTTTGATCGTAATCTTGGCTCTTTACTCTACAGAAGTAACTTGGAACGCTTGATTCCAGTGTATTCACGTTACATGACCGTCTGCCAGAATTGCATCGTGAGAATGTACCACGACTGAACGAAAAATTCGACATCTCAGAATGCAGCAGGGCAAAATACGTCCAGCTCCTTCCTACGGCCAAGGAAACCTGACATGCAAGCACTTAAAAATGGAACAGCGAGAACAGAGTGAAGGAGGAATTAATTCTGAATGAAGAGAGGCACAACTGCTGGGAGACATGTTTTGATTGAATAATAGTCGACTCCCTGTCACAAATTCAGCCATTACAGCCAGGAAGAAATCTTCGGGATTTTAACCGAAAAACCCGGCATCCATAGCAATTTATGGTCATGACGAGGCTTTGAAGAGATCCGCTCCTGAATAAGTTGCAGCCAATTAGAGAAGTGCTTAAAAAGAGGTGCGGTGCCCAGATGTAGTTCGGGGGCTCAGATTTTAGTCGTGATTTCCAACCGCTGACCGGGAAATAAGCCCAGACTCCTCCCTTGAAAAGAGGGGATTCTTTTCGAGTGGATTGAAGAAAAGAAACGGCGAAGATAGAGCCTAGTGGAAACAGTCGGACTAGACTAGAAAGAAGTCCCTCCCTTTTGACGCGGTCTGTCACGGGAGTCCAAATAATCAGCGGCAGACTCGCGCGACTGACTTCTCCGAAAAGGGGAGACTGTTGTTAGTCTCAAACCGGACTAAGAGATTAAGCAACAATAAGGGATTTCTTACCCCGTTTATTTGTTTAGTTTTGTCCTCAAGTTAGGTTACAATTTCAAGGACATGAAGTGAGGACATGTATCCTAATTTTCAATTTGTCGCTCGCTACCGAAGCCCGCTATCCCACCGAGTTTACACTGAGGAGTAATGAGTTATATATTAAGGATCACGGCTAACTAAAAATAAAATGATTAGAAGTGAAACAACTCGTTGCAAAAAAATGGCTGTGCTAAAGCCTGCGATTAGACTATTATCAACGCTATTCGCATGCTTCCCTGGTTTGTGAAAGTCGACGCCAGACCCCTCGCGGACTTACCTCAGTCCTCAGACGCACTCTACTTGCAAAGTCTAAGAGATTTTTGCACAGTTGCACTAATAGGAGTCGTCTCGCAAGCTAACAATGTTTTCTATTTCGGTGTAGAGATACCTGCGAAGGGAGCTTTAACATGTTGCAGGCTTCCCACCCCCCATTGATGAACGGGGTGAACCGAAACTGAGAAATTTTCGCTTAGACTCATGTCACATACTTTTCCTTTAATTTGTGCTTGACTTGTAAGCATTTGGTAGCCTGCGTACACCCGTTCGATACACTCGGTCACATATTTCAAGCGCACTACTTAACCGCAGACAGGTGGCAATTACCAGTTAAAAATAGATTGATGGAAAAACCAGATAACTCAGAATTTGATATTATGGGAACAATGTCAAGCGCTCAAGATGAGAGGCACAAAACGAAAGCAATGAATAGGTTAGTCGTTATTTAGTGATTTTATTTTCTCTTTTACTAAAATTGTTGTTGCTCCTCAAGGAAACCGCTGGAGTAAACCTTTCACTACCGTCTCGCATCACGACTCGATTGAAATTAAGACGGCTTTTATCCATTAAGAAGTGCAACTGACAGTACGTTCGAATCACGCGAGCAAAACCTTGAATTTTGTGCATGTTGGTGTAAATAATGCTAAGAAAAAAGGTGAAGATAAAACTAGCTATGTGGAGTGAAGCTGTGTTCTTTTACACGTCATAAATACGACGAAATCTCGGGATTCCCCGAAAAAACTGACGTAGCGTGACAAACCGTGCACTCAACCGCAGCAAATTTAAGAAACAACAGCGAGGACACGTTCATTTTAAAGTTCCTTTACGCTAATGCGATGAGTCTTAGAAACACCGCAGCATCAAACCAAGGTAAGATGAGCATTAAAATCATTTGATAGTCATTCCTAGGAATTTCAATTTGCGATCGACATGTTCAAACTGAGTATACTAAAGGAAAGGAATGGCTCGTTGCATACATATGAAGCTTTTGCTTTTTCACTCTTGAGCGCTTTAGATCCTTAGAACTCTACTATTGTTATGCTGTATCGCTTTACGTCGGAGTAAACTTGAGAGAATGGGGATTTATCTAAGGTTGAATTTTCTGTACTGCAATCGTAATCTCGCAATGGTATATTCAGTTCTTCATAATTCATTATCCTTGAGATTTAATTATGTTTCCAGTAGGTATGAGGGAAGAAAGAAAAGATATTTACCGATGGCTAGCGGCTCGCAATCTACCTATTTCAGATTCATGTCTAAGAACAACACCTTTGCCTATCAACCATAATTTCGATGCGTCGGTTTAGCTGAAATAGACAGAAAGCAGGAATTCAATCGAAAGACGGAATCACAGCGGACGTTGAGAAGAATTTCAATCGAGTGATCTTCTGTCACGGGATTAAAATTCTTTCTTTGTTGCGCGTTTTTTGTCACGCGATCCTGCAGTCGTTACGCACTCATCACTTTTATCGCCTGTTGTCCCATTTCAAGTAATTTAAGGTAAGCATTTCTTGACTTTAATTTTCCAGGGGCCAATGATGGTGAGGATGAAGTCGATGCCATCTTTAGGTAGGTTTTTCCTTATGGTCTACGATGTAACATTTTTTTTTCGCGAAAAAACCGAATCGGATTTTTATCTCTAGCCTGCGTAACACTCCTCTCCGTTTTCTTTTAGCTAGGCGTTAGCTAAGCGGAAAGCATGCACGCGACGGCATGCCGCTTTGGGAGCAAATAGCTCATAGATTACGTTGTAGGGACGAAGACTTCCCAAGAATACTCTCTTTCTCACAAAGCAAATTGTCTGCAGCGATTTTTGTCGCAGTAGACCATTTTTCATCAGAGCAAGGAGCTGCGGTTGTACTCGCTATGTCTGGACCAGACATTTTGATTTTTTGTCTTTACCTTTAGACACAGCAAACAACGCTTCCATGAGGCACACTTGGGGATCCTCGATGCACTGCGAGAATTGGTCATCCCAACGCGCAGAGCAGAAGAGGAGGAAGCCCTGTTCAATGGAGAGTTACAGAGCAGCCGTTTTCTCTACGAAGGGAATAAAGCTCGCAAGTTCGTGGGAAAGATATTCCTACAGAACGGAAATCAAGGAACGGGTACAATGTTGACCGAAAGGATCCTGCTTACAGCCTCACACGTTTTCAAGAATTGTAAAGAGGGCGAGGTGTCGTTTGAACAAGTCGATCCAAACGCAAGCTTCTACAAGATGTCAGAGGTGAAATTTGCCCTCGAACCGGACGCGTGTTTCGTGTCACATCCAGATAATAGTCTCGACATCGCGTTGCTTGCCGTGTCCGAGAGATCGCTTGACGGCGGAACGCCTTTAAGTGAAGTGGGTTACTGCACGAAGATATTACCGTCAATAACAGCAGGCACTCACGTGAATATCATCCAGTATCCTGAAAATAGCAACCAGATGGTGGTGCTGCGAAGCAACCAAGTCCTTCACTACGATGAAAGTTTCCTGAAGCTTTTCTCCAAGGACTTTATCGAACACCACCGCTTCGAGACTCGGCGGCGTGCAGTGAAGAAGAACTCGTGGAAGTGGCCATTTAGCAAGGCACGAGAAAAAGCAGCTGATTCGGATTCCAGTTCGCCATTTCTACATTACAGAGCCGATACCAAGTACGGTTCCTCTGGCGCGCCATGTTTTGACGACATGTGGAATCTGATTGGTTTCCATCACTGCGCACTCTCCGTGGAGCACAGGAATAGGCCAAATATGTTTACTTATGCGGCTAATGAAGGTGTTAGAATTAATGTTGTTACTGAGTGGGCCGATGAGGCACTTGCTAGCTACAACCTTTAAAACGTATTACCGTGAAAAATTTGGAGAGCTATTTGGAGGAAATTAAACTTCACTGGACACTTTCCTAAAACTGCGACTAAACTTGAAATTCTAAATTTAGAAGTTTGGTGATGTCGATTGAAAATTACCCCTTATTATAGAAAACAAACCAACCACCCTTTTATTTGAAAGATGACGTCCCAATTGCAAAATTTTAGAGGGTTCTTTTTTCCCGTGGACGAGTCTGATCAATTTGTTGGCGGTAATGATGTGATTCAGAAAAGTGTCAAAAAGTCTCTTTTTTACAAAGCATCCTTAGAAAAATAATGTTCAAAGTTACTTCAGTGTGTTTATTTGCTTATTTGCAAATTTTATAATTTTCAAATTATTTGCCAATTACACACGAAATAAATTATAGTATGACCTGTGAATGTGAGTCAAATTGATCGATCCTCGAAGGTTTGTGCAATGACAGAAAGTGAATGACTTGAGAACTGTCTTGTTCATGTAGAAATATACATCATATCTCCATGATATGTGAAAAAAGGGAGAAAATGGTTATGTTCACTTGTTCTTGAACACAAAATAATGTACTGCCAACATTGAAAATGACAAAGACTTAATGATAACTGACACTCAAGACAAACAATTATGAATAAAACTTTCTCTTTTTTTTATAACCACAAAACAATAACCACATCTTTCACAACAAGTTTAATTGTCTGTGAGCGTTAGACCTTTTTGCTTGGGCTAAGTGCCAAAACAATCAGTTGCAGTGTCAAAACCCAACATCAATCACAACCTGGTCACAAACGTCTTATTTTCCCGCGCTCTGAACTCGTCACGTGAAGCTTTTAAGAGTTCTGATTGAACAGTCTTTCTTTCGATTTGTGAATGCGGTGTGTTTCCTTGACTTGTGGTTTCAGGGCCATTCAGCTCTGATTCAACAGTTTTTCTCTCTAGACGTATTTCGATTTGTGAATGCAGTGTGTTTCTTTGCCTTGAAGTTTCAGGGCCATTCAGGAAACAGGAATAGTTGTGATCAATTTTACGGAATACAAGCAAGACCGTGTATAAATATCTACCGCGAAAATCAAGTCTGAGTTACATTTACATGTACAGTGTTATCTTGAGGTATTTCTCAGGAACAAGAATACCGATGTTATAAAGTTACACCAATGTGAAAATCAAACTTGACTCTGTTACTGAGCGAGGGATTTTGCTTTCTTAACTTTCTTTGAATGCGTCCAGTCTCAACACCACAGTTTGTCACTCGCTGAACATGTCTAGGAGCCTTTGCAAGCTCCTTCTCACTGCTTTTCTTCGAAATTCCTGTCGTTATGCTTTGCGATGAACTGAGTTCCTCAGGATCCAAATCCATGAGCGTAGCAGAGACCTTCGCAAGAGAGGGCCTCAATGTCAAACAAATCCTTTTGCTTTTGAGTCTTTCTTTTGGACTTTGACTTGATTCGTCATCAATGGTTCTCTTCCTTTTAACACCAAACGTGTTAGTTTTTGAACCAAATGTCTGTAATTTCTCTTTCGCTTTGTTAATCAACTCCTTGATAATATTTGCATCGCGCGGCAGAGGTCGTAAGGGAAAGTACGCGTGCGCAAATGGTTGCATCCGAAGTTGGTTAGTTTTGGTAACGACCGCGTCTTGCCAGTTGTTGTGTGCAGTCCTGGGACCTAGACTGTCGCCGAATACATCGTACAGCTGCTGGTACAGCTGAAAAGGATTCGAAGCGAGACCAGTCGAACTTGACCGGGATCGGGACTTTGCCACGGGGGCTGGGCGCTGAAGTACACTCGCTCCAGCCCACGGAGATAAATTGGTGCGCAGAACTGGGTGCGAGTTGTTGACTTGAAAACCGAGAGAGGTCATTGGAACGCCATGCTGCTTGGATTTCAACAGACAACCTGCGGCTTGCTGCAGGATACAAGGAATACATACATTTAAGAGATGAAGAGCTACATCAGTATCAAAGGCGAATCATTCGAATTGTATATCAAGGGAAGATTGTTTAATGAAGTCCAGCCTCAATCAAGATAATTTGGTCAACTGATTTGATAGTACCAATAACGTAAATTGGCCACCGTTAGGAGTTTCAAAGCTGACATTTCGAGCGTTAGCCCTTCGTCATTCGCTCCGACGAAGGACTAACGCACGAAACGTCAGCTTTGAAACTCTCAACGATGACCAATTTATGTTGCCAAATTATCTTGTTATACTCTCCCACTGACGTAGCACCACAGTTTCTTTAGAAACTTACCCTCTTTACTGAATCAAACCTAGATCTAAACCATACTCAATTGTTCTTCGCTTTTTTTGGCCCCAATATAAACCAATGGCTGTTCAAGAAAATACATCTTTTTCTGTTGTATGAGCAAAAGAACAAGCGCCTAGCATACCAAAAGAGCGCCATAAACTTGGTAAGCTTCTTCTTGCAGCAGTGCATTTGATTGGCTGTTGTCGTCTAACACTTGCTGAAGCTGTGTCCAATAGGTTCGGAGGTGTGGTATCACATACTGCTCTAAGGCCTAAAATATACAAGAATAGCCTGATTCAGTTTTTTGTTTTCTGGAAGCATCTACGCGTGACGAAAACTAAATTTCTCGAATCTGATTGGCTAAAATGAAGGAAGAAAGTGATGAAATATTGTCCACAGACAGGGACCTCAAATCTCTCGATATAACAAGTATACAAAAGCGCTATTGTTTTCATCTTGGTAGATTTTTGCCAGCCTTCCTAATCAGCAACTTCTCCCTCGTAAATATTCGTAAATTTTCGAGAATCGACGATCGAAGATCGAGCTGGGTATTGTCAACTCACTTTTGCGCGCTACTCTGTTGTTTCTGATTAAATATGTTTAGTGATAATTCGCTGGTAAAACACCCTTTTCGTTCAGCCAGACGGGTAACGTTCTTTCAGACGGCATCAAATTCACACTTAAGATTATTTCTTTCTACAGTTTCTTATAAACGGTATGTGGCTTACTACTGAAATCGAATAAGAGCAATAAAAATATTGACCTCTGGTCCCAGCTCGGTCAACCCAACTACAGCACCATAATGGGAACAAAATGGCCGCCCGTCATCCAATAACACTTCCTGTAGTGTCATTAAAAGCTGCTGTCTCAAATAATTCACTGGATTACTGCATTTTCTGTAAAAGAACACACAATCACACTCAATACACAAATAAACCTTTTGGGTGAGCTTTTACTAGAAAGGTAAGTGCCTTTTGAAATGTGCTCAAGCAAATGCTGCATTAAATCAAATAAGGATGCATATTGCAATAACCTCAATGCTAACAACTTTATCATGCATAATGCATATCTACCTGCTAATGCGAGCCAAAATAGAAGCTGCTTCATCCCTCAATCTCCAGTGGTCATTTTTGGGGTTCAGAGACGCAGCCAAAGACTCTAGCAGACAATACATGACTGCTGTCACCAGCTGAATAACCTGTTCACCAAATAAATTTACATGTATTAGTATTAATTAAGTACAGCAGTTGTGTTCCTTTTATACCCAGCCCACAAGGTCATTTTGTTGATGAATTCAAAAGGAGTACAGTGTAAATGATCATGAACTCTGATCCATCAAAATTGCTTAACTTGTTTGTAAATTTGATTTAACCAAGCTTAGCTTATGAGCAAGGCCTTGATTTACTTCCACACGCCTGGCAAACCTCTCCCTGACTTGTCTCAACTCTTGCAGCACAATGAAGACCTGCTTGCACTGTAAACCAAACTAAACACATATCTGTGTGTACTCAAGAACTCATAATCATGATGGACTCTGAGCATAGTCCTCACACAATTTTCACACTTATTTATACGCAAATTTCAGATGCAGTTGAAAGACATAAGAAAAGCAATTGAAAAGATATCATATGCATAATTAAGATGTCTTAAATGTTGACCTTTCATGTTTGAATGATGAGTGCAAATTTAATTTTTTAAGCTAATAGATATCATAAATTATTTGCTTACATAAGGCTCAAGGAACAGTGATGAATTGTCAATCAGTGATCTGACCATACTCAAAAGCTTACTTAGTTGCGTCAAGTCATGGCTATAAGTCTTCACCTGAAAAATACATTATCACTTCAATCTACAAACTAAAACTCAGCTTCTCTTAAAATTTGTACAACCCAATAAAATGATTTATTAGAAGAAATTCTGTTAAATTGATTTCTTTGGCTTCGATTTTTGCTAAACAAAATAGGCAAAGGTTTGAAATAATATGATTAGTCCACTGACTTACCCCGGATGCAATAAAGTTCACAAAGTATGCCAGTAAAGAATAAATCTTTGGATTTGTTTTCAGATCACTCAGAGCCACCTGCCAGAAGAAGAATAGAAAATAATCGCATTCTGTAACAAAACTTTTTCTTTAACTTTGAACTTTTTCAGGTGTGGAACACCACAAATACCTTCCCAACTGAATCACAGCTAAAGTATTCTAAATTCAGATAAATTCTTACTCTGTTGCATTGTTCATCATCACCCAAAATTGCTTTCGTTACTTGCTCATAGTAACTTAAACATGCCTATTGGGAGAAAGCCAGAAACATAGTTTAAAAAATGTCCATTGTAAATGTCTAAATGGGTTCAAAAAGAACTTAGAGCCCTTTAAAGTATCCTGCAAGGCTAACACTGCTACAATACAGCTGCACATCCTGCTAAGGAAGTATGAAACAAGGTGTAACTACCAAAGAGCATTTTGCTCAGTCTCCCTGAGAGTTTTCTGGTGCCTGCAATACTCCTAGACAGAAGATGGCGGCTACAGTCAGAGGTAGCTAAGTATCGAACATGATCTTTCTCCGAATGAGACCAAAATACTACAGAGTCATCATAACACACAAGCTTTTCACATGAGTTTCAATCTAGTGTTAAATGGCAGTGGGTGGGGGAAATGGAATTTCAGGTGCCACTTTTTCATGCTCAAAGATACTGACTTGCAGACTGAGTTTAGAACTGAAAGAACCTGGGTTTCAAAAAGTTTGTAAGGTTAAAAAATTTACCCTTATAACTTAAATATGCCCAAGTGACTAAGGACATGTAAGGCCACTATAAAGGTAAGAGAGGTTAAAACAGTTAGCTCTAACAATGGCACTGAACAAAATTTTGTGTATTAAAACTGAAAATACAAAGACAACCACCTGAGAGAGGGGACGCTGGACACTGCCTCCATCATTGTTAACTCGTCCTAAATTGACAGATGAAACAACACACGTTTAAAGATGCAGTTAGAAGCAGGTGTGCTTTTTAAAGACAATTTGGCCAATCAGTTTCAACTTACCAACATTTGGCTGAGCATGACTTCCAGCAGGCAGTGCACCTTCAGCAGACAACCAATTTGCTGACAAAGGAGAATCAAAGCCACAACTTCTTTAAAACATAAGTTTAATGCACAGGCAAGAACACAAAATAGGACTAATCACAAGAAAGTTTGAATCTGTGTAAATTTAAATATGGAGGAATGTTTTCTGTTTCCCTAGAAAATAGCCAAGATTCACTATTATACAAAATAGAGAAAATTTTCAACCTTTTAAAACCATGAAACTAATTCAAATGCATTTTTAACAAAGGATTTTATGTGACGTGTGATTAGCTGTTTAACCCTCACAAATGATTAACATGTAACTTCTCCCTGTAATATTCATACATCACCCAGTAAGCAGGTAATGAGAAAACTCAAATTTATCAGATGGAAGTTGTTGTCTCTATCTAACTCCAAATTCTTGTAACTAATTTACAAGGAAATGTGTAGCAGCCAGAAAGGAGAATTAACAAACAGATCTTGGGAGTTAAAGGGTTAAGGCCAACATTTATATGTGGCACTTGAATTCTACAGATAGGGGAACACAACTAAGGAATTTTTGAACCAGCATGAGATGTTTTTTTGCCTTCTGAATTATATTTAACCATATATTTTTTTCTCTCAGTTTTTGAAAACTTTAAGATTTACCTGAAACCTTGTACACAAGAAGAAGGAATTGAATTTTTATCTTTTATAGACGTGATGTATGAGTTTTTCTTAAATTTGTGCATGAAACAAAACCTCTCCTTTGCGACCTTCTGTTGAAAGTTCTGACTGAATTTGACAGACTGAGATTTCACCTTTAACACTTCTTTGTCCAGGGTCAGTGGGTATAACCACATTCATTGCCAGCTCTCGTAGGCTTATCTCCTTATCTTCAACAAAGAAAATGTCCCCATCCTTAGTTGGTGCACTTCGAAACAACACGTCATCCATAGATCCATAACCATAAATTGGCTGGCCAGACAAACACATGCAAAACAAGTCACTTAAATAAATTAAAATGTCATGTGAAAATGTTCAGGGAGATGATATCAACATTACAGCCTGTTTCTCCCAATTCTTGCATGTACATGTACAAAATATTGACACACTGTAAGGGCAAAGAACTTCTCACAATTATTTCTTGAAAGAGGTGTTCATGCGCATGCCATTTCTTCAAATCATAACCCTAATTCAGGCCAAAACATGCCATTTTCCACACCTGTGTCAGGGGTTTCAACAACTTTTTCCATAAGTAGCTGCTGACAGTATAATAATGGGTACACCTGGTAAGGTGCTGTAAGGCAAAACCGAAAAAGGAGAGCCCACTTTCAAGCTAAACAGACTGCAGTAAGCAAAGTTTTCATAAATACGTCCAGTCATACTGTACGCTCCAAAAGTTTCTTTGAAACACATACCCTCTTTTAAGATTACACTGGTCCAAGACCAAAACACCTCAAAAAGCGTACCCTTTGTGCTTGGAACAAACCTTTATCGCTTGCATAGGGGGAGGACCGTCTCCCCTGCCTCCCTCCCCCCCTCCCCACCTTCACTGCGCCTTTCAAGACATCCAAACTCTCTCGTATGCCTTATTAGAGGTTCGAAGATCTTCCTTAACACGTGGGCGAGATTAAAACTATCACATCATGATCTCTCATACCGAGTCGAGTTTGATCGACAGATGTGAGATTAAATTCCATGTTTTACCTCTGTGCTACTTCTTTCTAATGCTTTGTTGAAGTCTTCGCTTGAGAGCCTTCTCCGCTTAGCATGCTTCATAAACTGCGAGGCACTCTGTGAAATTTAAATAAAATGTTCAGCTGATTAAACTGATACTACCTTTACGATCATAATAATAAACTAGTTAATGGAAGAAGTAAGCGTGTTCATTTAAACCTGCAGCGTTTCGCGAAGTCTGTAGGTCACATCTTCAGCCAAGGAACTGGCAAGATCGTCTGTCAAAGTCTGAACGCCGCAAATTTCCGCGTACAATTTCACCGAATTCGGCGAAACAATGGAAAATTTTGAGTCTTCCGTCATGGCTCAGACTTTTAACTGCATCTATCTGTAATATGTTATCGCAACTACATGGAACAGGTGCTAAAATGTTGTGAATCGAATGATCACAACTGTGGTCTAACTAAGAACGCCATGTTGCAAGTATTTGGTCTAGAGAGATTGGGTTCTAGCTCAGGACTACCAGCCTATTCGGATGAGTAAAACAAACAAATAAACGAATCAACATTTATAAAAATGTTAAAATAATAATGAAAAAATAAATAAATGAGAGGGTGATTAGGAGAAGATAAATAGATATAGAAACAGCCAGATTATAGTAAGTGATTAAATCATGAGCGAGAGTTTTTTGGTGTTAATCAACATCACGTTGAAAAATAAACAAACAGTTATGGACTTCGGGCAGAAAATGATACTTTTTTGATACTTGGTTGCCCTGTTGTCTTACTCTATCTCAAAACTTTCAGAATTCAAGGGGATGGATCTTAGCTTGAATTTTATCATTCAAATAATTTCAAAAGTATCCGTGTTTTTTTTCTTTTCTATTTCTTTTTTGTTTTAGCATAACCCATTCTCAACATCACAAGATTATCTTATGACTTTCAGGCCACGGTGTTACCCGTTTGGATCCTGAATGATCCCTCAAGGACACTACAAAGAAATACCGTCTGAATAACTAACAATCCCTAATTTTCTTCATTTGGTTTAAGCCAGTGAAGCATGGGAACCTCAAGGTGCATTAAAAAGATTTGATTTGATATCTCACAGCGAAGTCCAAGGTAGATTTAGGGACCTTTGTGATACGCACATGGTCGATAAACCGTCCTGTCTAACTTTACATGTGACATTTATTAGACGAAAAAAAAGGTACTTTTCGACCTGCTGATTGATTGCGGGCGCAGGCGTGACTGACTCGAATAATCACACATTACTTTCGTCAGAATATTTCTGTCAGTCATTGATGGAGTGGCTATGTTTTGGGGCTTCATCCTGAAGGTAAACAATCCTAGTGAGCTCTATATTTCTAGGTTTTAAATTTAAATTGCTCTCTTCCCCTCCGTGCAATACATTCGTTAATTTTTTGTTTGTACTCTTCTGGTTGTACCTCCCTCGCTGGAAGTCAAGTGTGACGTGAGTGTGCAGAAAAGAAACAGGCAAATAGCGAGTACTAATTCTTTAGTTTCTTAGTTAATATTTCTTGATCGCGTTTCTCCGACAGAGGATGATCTCCTTTTGATCAAAGATTTTCTCAGTAGGAATTCGATCCCACAGGTTAGTAATTAACGATACGTTTTTAGAGAAGAAACAAGCTGTTAATGTGTTTTGACCCTTGGCCTCGAAGCACGAGTTGAAACGTGTACTCATGCAGGAATCGAAGCAATTCCTGAGATGATATTTTAATTATTATCATATAACAAACCCTACGATTTGTTTTGATTTCTAACTTCGTTCATTTTTAATTAAGGTTTGTTAACAATCACTCTTGTTTTTGTTCGTGGCAGATCATATAGCTGTACTCCACGAGTTGTTTTAACAATTCATTTTTTTTTTTTTATAAAATGTGTTTTACCAAGTATAGCTTGTCTAGACAGAGATGAGAAATCCTCTAAGCGTTCGATCCTCATCTAAGTGACATCAATGATATCTAGCCGCGATGAAATAACATTACTGAAGAACACGATTAATAAATAATGAGCTGAAAGTCAATTAGATGTTTAAAAATTTGGGACGTTGTTTCATGGAGAGAAATCTTCCTTAAGAGAACTGTTATTGATAGTTTGCGGTTGGAAACCAAGACATCCATGCCTATCGGAAATCTACCTAGAGGTGAAGTAATATAGTCCAGATTTTTTTTCATTGAATTAAACCGATTGAAATTGAAAATTAGACAAACTGGATCTTGATTCGAAAAAGTTTAGAGAATGAAAATATTACGTATATGCTGCTGATGACACTAACAGTCATGAAAATCAAATGAACTGAACAAAGCGTTTTCACAACAATTACAGTCAGTGTCTTGCGAAATCAGGCATGGTCTGCAGAAAATATGTTGAAATCTCACACATACTTTGACTGTGGGAAGCAAGTCTGTCATCTGTTAACAGGAATATATATATTTTTGTAGTTTGAAGTGACTAAATATGAAGCAATTCTTTTATTCACAAAATGCCATTATTTTTGTCATCCTTCATAACCGGCCTAGTCACAACTATACACATCTTCTGATCCTGAAATAACATGAACAAGAGATCTTTCCAATATGATAAACTAATTAGGTGTCATATTGCATCACAAGTGAACAGGAAAGATCTAACTCCCTAATTAAGAGAATACACTTGATTTGTACAGTGTGTTACCTATCATACTTTGTTTAGATGTTTTTGTTGATATTGAATTACTAATTTTGAATAATATTACTTTGGTATGCCATTCAATAATTGTCCTTTCCTAAATAGTAAAAATAACTTTTCGTGATTTTTTGTATGACGCCCAATATGGGTATGTTTGACATCAGTAAAAAACCACTCTTGTTTGACTCCCAAGGGAAAGGAAATTGGTTGTCAGAAGCGGTGAAAATAATAAAGTAAACTTACATTCATATGTTTGATTAAAAGAGGGAAGCAGTTTTGGTGTGAGTTATTTGAAGTCTGAAGAAACGGAAGGTATCAGAAATCAGGATTCTGCTGAATGTTTTTATTTGTTTCATGTAAAATGATTGAAATAATTTGACAGGTTAGGTTGAAGAATGAGTTCATGACTTAAGTACAGGTTGACAGTAAATAAGCTTATATGGGAAATCATGTTCAACTAAGAGTGATGAAAAGTTATTATCAGTTTCACTTGATCGCAAGTGATGTCCATGTGTTTGGTTAGCTGTTCTGTCGCTCATGATTTATTAATTTTCCATAGCTGGATCAATGTTCAGAGTCTTAAAATAGCTGAGAAGAATATACTGCTTTTGATCTAACATCTGGAAATTGTTAGAGATTCTTGTTTTCTAGTATGAGGTTGATAAACTGTAGGCTCCATCTCCTATCTTCTCTGTACTGGAGAGCAGGGGGCATTGAAGAACCTATGCACATCCTGCAAAGATAGGGGAACATTGCTCCAGCCATAGTGGTCTGGCCTTGATTCTAAAATTGGGGCATCTGCAAAAAATACCTTCAAAAATTGTTAACTTCTCAATGTAATCTGGCTTAAGTCACTTGCAAAATGTTGTAAAATGCCATGAGCTAGTGAATACGATGCAATAGAAATCCTCCATTATTATCATTATTATTGTTATTATTGTTGTTGTTATATTTAATTTGGCTTACTTTGTGATTACTTTGAATTTTCAGGGAGGAACAGGTTTAGATAAATAATCACTACACTAGCATCAAGGGAGTGATTGAAATACTGCCAGGAAAATGTTGCGAGTTCAAACACCACGTTTCAAGAAAATTATTCAACAACAGTTTACAAGCAGCAGTGGATTATGGTCAACATGTCGGTATCTCCATGCAGGAAATAAATTGTTTCAGACTAACAAACCTGAGCCTCGTAGAAGTGAAATAAAGAAAATTTTGGTTGCTAATCGTGGTGAGATTGCTATCAGAGTCTTTCGTGCAGCTACTGAGGCTGGTATTAGGACTGTTGCTATTTATTCAGAACAAGATGCTAATCTCATGCACAGACAAAAGGCTGATGAAGCATATCTCATTGGCAAAGGCATGCCTCCTGTTGCAGCTTATTTAAATATTCCAGAAATCATCAAAATTGCAAAGGTAAATAAATGAGTTAGGTGTTTAGGTTTGGTTTTATTCCTTTCGCTCCAAAGATCTCATTAGCAATTTTCTTTACTTTCCGCCATACAATTCTCATGATTTTGATTTGGAGAATATGGTATTGGATCAACCAATAATCCCTCAACTGACAGTTTTTTTTTCTCTCATTGCTTCTCTGCTAGATATTGTAAAGATTTTGAGAGGAGAATTTTTTTTCTTGGTTAAAAATGGGTTTAAAAACCACAAATAGCAGAGCTACATGTGTACATTGAGGGTTAGGTAAATAATCATTGTCTTTTAAATTATATTCCAGGAAACAGAGGCTGATGCAATTCACCCAGGATATGGATTTCTCTCAGAGAGAGCCAACTTTGCTGAAGCTTGTGTCAAAAACGGCATCATTTTCATCGGCCCCTCCCCCTCAATTGTCAAAATGATGGGGGATAAGGTGGAAGCTCGGCAAGTAGCAGTCGATACAGGTGTGCCTGTGGTTCCTGGCACAGAGAACCCAATCAAAACTGTGGAAGAGGCCAAAGCCTTCTGTGAGCAGTATGGGTTGCCTGTCATAACCAAGGCAGCATATGGCGGAGGTGGCCGTGGCATGAGAGTAATCCATAAGATGGAAGATGTGGAAGAGTTCTTTAACTTAGCCAGCAATGAGGCATACGCTGCTTTTGGAGATGGTTCAATGTTTATTGAAAAGTTTGTTGGTAGGTTCATTACCCTTTATCTCCCAAGATCTCATTAGTAATTCTCCTTACTGTTTGCTATACAGTTTTTGTAATGTTAGTTTGGAGAATTTGGTATTGGATCAACTTATAATCCCCTAATTGACATTTTCATTTATTCTCATCACTTGTCTGCTTGATATTGTATTGGTACTGTAAGGAGAAATTCTGTCTTGGTCACCCATGGGACTTAAAGGATTAAATAGTCATTTCTCAAGAATTAAGGAATGTTGGCAATTGAATTAACAACGAAGGAAATTGTTTTGAACAATGTAACACGATATTTCAAGGAGTGACTAACATAGAATTGTCAATATCAATAAATATCAATCAATATCGATCAATATCAATCTATATCAATCAATCAATAATTTATTTAACCACGTTATCGTCTAAGAGCACCAGTGCTCATTCAAAATATGAACGTGCATTAAATCTACAATTACAATAATAAAATCTAGTATTAAAAGGAAAAAAAGACATTTTAAATACGTAATCTATAATCTACGTACACACGAATATAAGGTGTTATAAAAATTACACACCGACACAAAAAAGAAAATTTAAAAATATAAAAATTACAGCTGAATTGATCTTAGCTTGGACTTAAAAACATTAACATCATCGGCCAGCTTTACATCTTCTGGAAGTTTATTCCATAGTTGAGCGCACTTGTAAGTAAAAGAGTTCCTCATAAATCTAAGATTAAATTTGGGAACGCAAAGATTAACGCCATTTCCTCCAAGGAGTGACTAACATAGAATTGTATGGCAAGCAGTGGGGAAAGTTGATAGGAGTCAAATATGAGGAGTCGATGAAAGACTAAACTTTTGGATTTGAAAAAATTTTTCTTTTCATCCAGAACAACCAAGACATATTGAAGTTCAGATGATGGGGGATGCCTACGGAAATGTTGTACACCTTTATGAACGAGACTGTTCAGTGCAGAGACGTCATCAGAAAATCATAGAAATCGCCCCAGCGCCAGAACTTCCTCAGGAAATCAGAGACAAAATGACACGCGATGCCGTTAAACTGTGTAAAGCAGTTGGTTATCAAAATGCTGGGACTGTGGAATTCTTGCTGGATCCACAAGGAAATCATTATTTTATCGAGGTTAACGCCCGTCTTCAAGTGGAGCACACGGTGACGGAAGAAGTTACAGGGTATGTTGTTTTTATCAGTGTCTACTGCAAAGTTGTAGTCAAGTTTCAGTCCGGGTAGGAGTAGGGGGAAGGAGGAGGGGTGATTACCATGGTTGGCGTGACCCTCCTTTTTTCGAGAAAACGTGACAATTCGTGACGCGTACACGGCGTCAAGCGCATCGTTTTGGTCAACCTCGCAACAACAAAAAAAAAATGATGAAAGGGACAGCTGGTGGAGCATGATATGACGTACCATAGCTATCAGCAACTCAGGGAGAGAGAGAATGTGTATCCCATTTCAACTCAGAACTGTGTACAGGAAGTAATGAAAACTTTACGGCTTCCTTCACGTCCCTCGAATGCAGTTGGCCAATTTGGCGACTTCCGCTGCTAACCTAGTCACCAAAACCTACTCCCCATGGCGACTAACGGTCGCAGTTTGAGTGCTACAATGATTTTTCTCTCTTGAATTTATAGTGTCGATCTGGTACGAACACAAATCAATGTGGCAGAAGGAAAATCTCTGGAGGAAATAGGACTTCGTCAAGAGGATATCAAAGTGACTGGATCAGCAATTCAAGCTCGTATCACAACTGAAGATCCTGCAAATAACTTCACTCCAGATACAGGCAGGATTGAGGTAATATTTACATGTACTGTAATAATTCGATTTAGCGCCCGCGGCGCTTATTTACTTTGGTACCTCAAGGGAGGGTGCTTATTCGAAACAGGACGCTTATTAGGGACAAGGTGCTCATTTCTTTTTTATAGCAATATAAACTAGCTTGGTTATGCTTTAGTACATTGATCACTGATATTTACGTTGATTATTGAGATTGCCAAAGATTTTCAGAGTTTTGCGAAGATCGTATCTCCTTGGTTACGAAGATTTGCCGAAGATTGTCAGAGATTACTGAGGACTGCATGACGGAGATTAGAGAGGATTGTATTACGTTGACTTCGGAGATCGGAAATTGCCGACGATTTCTAATGTTTCCTAAGATTACACTACGTTGATTACGGAGATTGGCGAAGATTTCCGAATATTGCCGAATATTTGCCACTATTCTTAGGGAGACTTCCGAAGAGGATTTGCATCCACTTTGTAAAGATCAAACCGTTATATCTTCATCATTATATTTTTTCTGTTTTTTTCACAGGTTTTCCGAACAGGTGAAGGAATGGGAATTCGATTGGATGGGAATTCCATGTTTCCTGGTGCTGTGGTTTCTCCTCATTACGACTCACTTCTAACTAAAGTTATCAGCAAAGGCTCAACTCATAGAGACGCTGCAACCAAACTGCTGAGAGCACTGCGTGAGTTTAGAGTCAGAGGGGTCAAGGTATGGCTTATACATTTTTTTTATTCTAATTTTTTACTTTTTATGTGATTGTTATTCACCGATATAGCTCCACCTGTCCCATCAACATTAAAGTGAATTATTGTTTCAATAAATTTCACAACTGCTAGAATAACTGGCCGACAAAAAAGCACTCGATTTTTGTCAAACGTCCGGGAATCTAACCTCAAAAACTTATCAGCCTCAGTTACCAAAGTCAGTATTCTCACATTTTCCGGGGATTCAGTCAAACCTACGGAGATGGTCATGGTCTAGAATAAGCGTTGAATTATCATTGCGATTCTATGGGGGAATTTTTTTCGTTAGGAAAAATTGCCGTATAGAGGCTTTCTTACCTCGCAAAACCAGCACCAAAGAGAAATATCGTAACTCTGATATTAACATTGTCATCAACTATACCACGCAATTAACTGAGCAAGGCGATGGAAATAAAAAGGAGTTGTACGGCTTAGATCGTTTAGTCTCAGTTTTCAAAAGAGAGTCTTGTAGTCAGCGAGCAGCCTCTCAATAACGCTGCGTCATTTAAGGCGAAGCCCGTAGGTTTTGAGTCCGCGAGCGATGCGAATCTTCGCATGGTCTGCGAGGGGTCTGCAACGGTTCTGGTACTCCTCACAGACATTTTTCGCGGTCTTCTCGCACGCTCACAGCGCTAACGTGAGCCTCGGATTTTACCACTTGCCAGTCTTAGAAAAAGGAAGAAAGATACCTGAGTCAATGTAATAAACACAGTGACGTTGCTTTTTTTGCAGACCAATATTCCTTTCATTATCAATGTTCTTAAAGAAGATGAGTTTCTAGATGGCGCTGTCAGGACAGATTTCATCCTCCACAGACCTCAGTTGTTCAAAGTAGAATGGGGTCAAAATCGAGCTCAGAAATTGCTCCAGTATCTTGGAAACGTGATGATTAACGGACCGTGCACTCCTTTGGCGACTACTTTGAAACCCTCCAAGGACGCTCCAGAAGCACCCGAGGTATGAAACGTATTGCTCTAACGCGCCATGTGCCGTCTTGTACATTATAACAAATTCAGCCTAAGTTTTTTTAAAGTTCCGCTCTGACTAGCTTATGGAAGCTATTGTATATACAAAGTGTAGTCAGGGAGTTGAACTCTGGGTAACCGAGAACAAATCTAGTGAGCACCAGGGTGAAGGGCATTAGATTACAAGTCCAGTGCCCAGACCCCTTAGCCACACTACCTTCGTTCAGGAACCTTCCAATTATGTCCACAGTATGATAACTTTAAGGACTTTTGCATTTCCCTCTACTTAATTAAGTGTTGATTTATTTTTTTTAATCGGAATTGTTGGTGGTTTTAAATCTGAGTGGTTTATGGGATTGTGTGAGTTTTGTCGACGTATCATTAAGTGTGGTTATATACAACCAAGGCAATCCAGGGATTAATTTTACACTTTCACTTAAAAATGCTTCAAAAATAATCTGTCTAATTTGTTATGAATAGTTGTTTGTTAGTAAAAAGCTTTCTCTTCTACTAGATCCCCAAAACGTCCAATTCGGGTTCCTACGGCCACCTGAGACCGAGTGGATTCCGAGATATTTTATTACAGCAAGGACCTGAAGGTTTTGCCAGTGCTGTTCGAAAGAGCAACAGGCTTCTGCTGACAGATACAACATTTAGGGATGCCCACCAGTCACTGCTGGCCACCCGTGTGAGGACTCATGACATGCTCAAAGTGGCGCCATTTGTATCGCATTATTTTGCCAATGCCTACAGTTTGGAGAATTGGGGAGGTCAGTGCATATGCAAGACTCCCTAGACTTAAAATCACTGACGGTGTCAGAACATTGCAGTAACCGACCTTGAAATTTTTACAGCACCTGAATAATCAGCCCCAGAACACATTTCGATCAATTGTCGTGAAACAATACCAGAGCAATCCAAGTAATTTCTTAGGATTAGGAGCCAATGGAAATTCAAATCGAAAACATGTGATCTGTCTGAGGCGCGGAAAAAAGCGAGTAGTGTCGCGACTGGTTTTAGATTTGTATCTGATTAGTTAAGAGGGTGATACGTGTTTTCTGGACCCATCGTAGAGCGAGTTAAAGCAAAACCGATGCAAGGCGGGATTAGTTTGGGACACTTGTTTGAAAATGGCCCCTAACGATGGAATTACGAAGCTTTGTTCAGCCAGCTTTTGCTTCAGCCAACAAACTTAGATTTGAATCTGAAGAAATAAAGCCTAATGTACTTTTTGGGCTGGGGATGTACGCTGTACTCCTAGTCAAAGATCAGCATCGAGTTCTCCGTATCTTATTGGTAGAGTTTCAACATGCAGTCTGGGATTCGAATCCATTTTAGGAGCTGCAATTTTTTCTCTCGTCGGCTTTTGTAACAAAACGAATTGCATCGTTCTACAATGGGGGACCGAGCCCAAAATTAATCATCTTTGCAACTTCAATCTATTTACAGGTGCAACCTTCGATGTTGCCCTACGTTTCCTGTACGAATGTCCCTGGGATCGCCTGGCCCAGCTGCGGGAAGCTGTTCCCAACATCCCGTTTCAGATGCTCCTCCGCGGTGCAAATGCGGTGGGATACACCAGTTACCCCGACAACGTGGTTTTCAAGTTCTGTGAAAAGGCGCACCAGAACGGCATGGATATTTTCAGGGTATTCGATTCCTTGAACTACCTGCCGAATTTACAGGTAATTACAATATTATATCTACAAATTATATCGCTTGAACCGACTAGAAATATGTTTTCTTCTCACAGAAGGGATGCTGGTCCATCGCAGATAACCTCCCCTCCCCACTCCCCCTCCCCACCCCTCCTCCCTCTTCCCCTGTAGGGCTTCCTGTCAGCCCCAAGGTCTTTTCATTAGTACTACCGGGGGATACTCTTCCACTGATCTTCAGGAGATTTTAAGTACAGTACTGAGGCCGTCATTTCTCATGATGTTTATACAACACGTTTTCGACTCTGGCCTTGTGACATTATCATCTTTTCGGGCGTGTTCTACTGCGTGTTTCAAAAATATCATGGCACTGCACTGTATTAAAGTTTTAGTTCACACTGCGTTGGTTCTCCCCACGAACACATAGGAGTTTACAGTGCATTTGGCCTTCAACCTCTGACTGACGCCTTTTTTTACCCTTCAGCTTGGTATTGAAGCTGCTGGCAAGGCAGGCGGAGTGGTAGAGGCTGCGATATCCTACACTGGTGATGTGTCCAACCCAATGAAGACAAAGTATAACATTGATTATTACATGAACCTGGCGTCAGAACTGGCACGTTCTGGTGCGCATGTGCTCTGTATCAAGGTATGGCACGAAGGAAATAATTAATTCATTTATAGCTTTTTTATGCTAAACAAAAACGCTTGTAGTAATCCTTACAGCGTTTGGCCTTAAAAGGGGGTAGATCTATTTTTACTTCCAAAGATGTGTTTCATTCTTTCATTACTTCCTGCGCCAAATTATCCACTATCACAGCTTTCAATTTCAAAATTAAGCTAAGGATCAACCTTTTTTTTGGTGAAAAATGAGTTTTATTTTCATAAGAACAAAAATAATAAACTAAATCGTATTCACATTTACCCTTGTTTCACAGCAAAGGCTTTGGCCATCTAGCTTTAGTCTTCAAAGAGAGCGCTAACTGTCCACATAAATTTTAATGAGAAGCATACTTAAGTTATTCGCAGTGTAAGACGTAGCTTTAAACTAACGAGAGTGAAGGTCTTCTCTATTTCCTTTTCTCTCCTTTCTTTCTATTTTGTCCTTATTTTTCCCAATGATTTAATGCAACTCCGCAATATCTGCACGACTAGTCACGTGTCTCTATTTATTCCTTATACAGGACATGGCCGGAGTATTAAAGCCAAATGCCGCTACATTGTTGATTGGTTCTCTTCGAGCCCAGTTCCCTAAGTTACCCATTCACGTGCATACCCATGATACCGCTGGGGCAGGTGTAGCCTCCATGTTGGCCGCGGCGGAGGCCGGAGCCGACGTGGTAGATGTTGCTGTAGACTCCATGTCTGGCATGACGTCACAGCCAAGCATGGGGGCCATTGTTGCGGCATTGGAAAACACGGAGAAGGAAACAGGTATGAATTAAATAGAAGCTGAAACATTTTATATCTCTTGATTGTGCATTTCGTGATCCTTCCCAAATTAGGACGCTGTCCTGTTGAATTAGTGAGCAGCAACTGCATGGAGAAAAGTAAACAAATTGGAATCGTTTTTGCTCCCACAGGAATTCCTCTTGAACGTGTCCACGAGTACAGCGAGTACTGGGAACGAGCGAGGAATCTGTACGCTCCGTTTGAGAGCACTGTCACCATGAAGACCGGAAATGCTGACGTGTACGAGAACGAGATTCCTGGGGGACAGTACACTAACCTTCACTTCCAGGCCTACTCGCTCGGCCTGGCTGATCAGTTCACCGATGTCAAAAAGAAATATGCGCTGGCTAACGAGCTGCTGGGTGATGTAGTGAAGGTATGACAGTGTTGTTGATGAAAGATTTTCAAATTTCATTTGTCACGATTTTAATGCAGGCATCGTAGGAACTTTGTGCACCATTCTTACAGTAATCCAACCCATCATCCATTACAGTTTTGTCTCTCCCCCATAGAGGATGCTAATCTGTTGCACCTCCTCAAATTTTCTTGCAGTTCACGGATACCCATCAATCAAATATACCCCTGGGTGCAGGGAAAAACAAAACTACAACGAGCTCCACGTGGGAAAATATTTCTTGGATGTTTTCATTTCTGTTATGACTTGATATTTTGCTTTGAGGTATTCTTCGGTCAAGAAGCTTCAAGATAGCTAATCTTCATGATCTTGACTGGGCCGTTTTTATATCTACAACAAGAACTCCCCTTTAAGAAACTAAAAGAATTTCTATTTTCTTCATAGGTGACTCCAACCTCCAAGGTGGTTGGTGACTTGGCTCAGTTTATGGTGCAGAACAAGTTGGATGATCGCGATGTGCTCGCCAAGGCTGATGAACTTGACTTCCCATCTTCAGTGGTAGAGTTCTTGCAAGGTTATTTGGGTCAACCGCATGGCGGTTTCCCTGAACCCCTTCGAACAAAGGTTAGTTAATTTCCCTAATTTGAAATTACACCTTCTTTTTAAGCGTTTTGTGCAAGAAAAAAGAACTTGAAATCGAGGGCTTTCTTGTGTCCAAAGAACCTTGTTGAACTCGCGTTATTTAAAGTGAAAAGAACTCTGGGTTCCGACGCAAACATTCTAATTGTGTCGACAAATACAACGCCATTTCTTTGTTTTATTTGAAAAAAAAAAAATTATTATTTTCCTTTTATTTCATCTTCCATATTTCAAGAAAAAAAATTGATTAATTAATTTATTATCACAGCGAAGATAATCAACTTTTTTACGATACTTTTTGACCCGTTATCGAGGATCTTCATGTATTTTTGAATATCACAATCACTTATGACTGACTACTTTTCTGTGTAAACAATTGTCTCTAAAAACTTTCCCCAACTCTCTCCTGATATCCTTCTTCAAGAACGCGTAAGCGAGAGGATTTGCAGCGGCGTTTAATAGAAAGAAAAACAAAACGACGTCTATTAAAGCTGACGGACAGACTGTACAGAAAAATAAGTAAGTTTCGATCGAGTAGCAGAAAACGAAGATGAAAACCACGACTGCTACAACCGTCGCCGAGGACGCCTCAGGGATCCGTCGGAAAATTTTCGGCTTTTCGTCGGAGATAGGTCGATTATATTGCAAATCGGCCAGGAGAGACGAGATTTCTTTCTTATGCCTTCGAACAATCACGAGCATGTGAATAGTGGCTAAAGTCAGGAAGATCATGGGAAGAAATTCAAGAACGCACTTTCTAACGACGGTTACAGCAAATACCGTGGCCGATGCACTGAAATGCGTTACGATGACTGTGTGAAGAATCCACACCACTGCTGGAAAAGTCCATGTTGCGGCTATCATCGGGAAGCTCTTTGTTGGCGTCATGTAAACAATGTACTTGAGAGGCAACGCAATGGCGACGTAACGATCGATTGTCATCGCGCATAGATTCCCTACCGAAGCGTGTAGCAGAAAACTCAGGAGAATCGTGATAACGTGACCCTTTTGTGAAGAACACAAACTCCATCGAATCTTGCAGGTGTACAGAGTAGGGAAGAAAAATATACCAATGAAGAAATCGGCAGCCGCTAGGGACGTAACGAACCAGTTAGCTGTAGTTCGCAGCCGTCTTTTTGTTATAATGAGCCAAATCACAACTGCGTTTCCTGCCACGGCCATAATAGTGGGGAACCAACCGATAATCCAGAACCATTTGTGCATGTTCTGTACCTTGCCTCTTCTCCCCGATTGGAGCTCGATGCTATGAATTTTGTTCGGTCTCTGAAGAAATTGGCGGGCCGAAATTTAGACCAAAGATCGATGTGAAAACTGTTTCGTACCAAAATCCAGGCTTTTCGCCTTCAATCCATGGAAAATTGTTCTCAATTTGCTTTTCACTCGCCAGTTGTATTGTTTCTGTTTGAAAAAGCTGGTCGACGTTAATGGAGCAGAAATTTTCTTTTCTTTTCTTTTCTTTTCAAGTTCACCTGGAGACGAAAGATGAGTGCCTGACTTGTTTCGTTCAGACGGCTGTGAAACAGTTTCAAATATCACCAGCCTCTTGCGATTGAAAAACTCTCCTAATTTTTTAATTAATTAATATTTTCCAGCATTTGCTCTCTTTTCAATTGTTTGCTCAAACGTGCCAAGTTCTTTTCCAGATCATCACTTCACCTGCTTCCAATTGTTTCGGATCTCGCATTTTCCTTATTACAAACATTCTTTCCGGAAAGGAAGTGTAAACAATTTCGTAAGTTTTTTTTCTGTTTCGACTATGGTACAATCTCGATTTTGAAAACACCATACTGTACCATACTGAATCATAGAGGAAATAAATTTTGACGTAAATATTTAATGCCTTTACAACCCTAAAAAAACGGTATTCATATTTTTCACACTGTTCTCCTTATATTTCCTAAGGTGATGACCAGGAAAATTTGTTTAACGATCAATAGCTTTTTTAGTTGGTGATCATTTCATTTATTCTCATGACTTTGGTGTGTGATTCAGGGGTAATATTGTAGGGAGAATTTGGATGCTTGGGATTAAAGGGCAGAAAAAAAGACTTGTTCTTTTTACGACTCAAACGCACAAACGATGTCTTGTTATATTATCTGTACTATCCTATTGACAATTGTTAAAGAGCTGTACATGTCTTTAAAACTAAACAAACTCATTATGAAGGTAAGACGCTCGAATTATAATAAATGACGATGACTAAACAAGAAGTTTTTTTTTTTCAATTCTCTCGAAAATAGCGCGCGTGGAGGCTTTCATCATTGGCTCTTCGGCACGATTGTTTCTTCGCCCGCGGTTAAGTATGACGCTTTAAGAAAAGTGAGTTGGGAGAGGTCTGTAAGGCATCTGGCACTGATAGTTATTTGTGCCAGATCCCCAGCAAACCTCTCCCCGACGTCTCCAATCTTCCCGCGGGCAGAGAAACGCACGTCCCGAATAGTTGATGAAGAGGGCCTGTTCCCAGGCCATCTCAAGAAAAAACGCGGTTGTGTTCTTTGTAGTTTCTGCATTTACCTTGTGAACATTCTTCATCAAAATTCGTCGACAGTTTTCAGCCGTTTTTGTCTGCGCAATGTAAGAATGACATCCAATATAATACAGTGCTGTTGATAAAAGCCATAAGCTGACCGAAACCGCTGCCAAAAACCGTCTGCCTTATTCAGCCGGCTTCTTTCACCTCATTTTACCGCAGAAGCCGATGAAAAATCGTACAAATATTGAAATGACATTTGTTAAATACTGTTTGATAGTCCTTTCCCAGTTTTGAGTGCAGTTAAATCCATAATTGATGAGTAACTGGTTTAAATGAGTGAATAGATTCCACGTTCTGAAATATCCTGAAGGTTCGAGTGTCTTTCGTGGAAAAGCCTGGGACATTTTGACTTAACAGTTCCCAGTCTCGCGTGTCATCACACGAAATAACATGGCGTCCACGATAACCTGGCCGCCTACAAATGCTCATTTGCCTTCTATCGTTAACTTAGTTGAAAACCCTCTGTTGTTCCTGCAGGCTTTAAAGGGACGCCCCACAATTGATGGAAGGCCAGGAGAATCTTTGGAGCCACTCGACTTTGACGCACTGAAAAGTAAACTGCAAGAGGAATTCGGTAAGAAGTGCGCCAGGTTGATCTAAATTTACAATAATCTGTATATTTTTAAATTATTTGTCGATCTATGTACCTCAGCTTGTTTAATGGAAAAAGGACATTTTTGAAACGTCCGATCTGTGATCAGGGTCAGTTTATTCTCGTTTTTATCGACGATCTCTTTTAAGAGGGGAGAGGCCGGTATGAAAGGAGTGGCTAAACCTGAGAGAAATATAGCTGAGCCCGTATTAAGCGGTCACCCTGTATTATTTAGCGGTCGGTTGTCAAAGTCCAGAATTTTTTTTCCCCTTTAGCAAACTTATTTTCACCTGTATTAGGCGTTCACCTCTATTAGGCGTATAGGCCTGTTTTTATCGTCTTCCACTGTATCGAACGCACATTTAAAGCAAAACCACTCAAATGAAACTAAGAAGAATCTCTCGAGTCAAGTTTATTCCGTATTTATCTCTGAAATCGTTGTAGGCACTTTGAATTCAAATATCCTCACCGTTTTGCCGATTATCTTTTTTCTTTGGACTGTTAAGACATGCACAAGACATGCGCAAGTCATTTGCTGGTGAACCTGTGTGGAACGGTCACCCTGCCATTCCTTCTGGTTGGCCTTATCATACAGGTTTTATTGTATGAGGAAAACGGGGACTTAACCCTTTATCTCCCGTGAGTGACCAGGACAGAATTTCTCCCTACAATATCAATACAATATACAGCTGACAAGGGAAGAAATTTTTTAAAAAATTGATAAAGGGGTTATAAGTTGATTAAATACCAAATTCTCCTAACTAAAATCATAAGAATTGCATGGCAGAGAGAAAGGAGAATTAGCTATGAGATGTTGAGAGGCAAAGGGGCTACTTCAATGTTACCATTGATCAGATGGCAATGGTGAGATTGCACCAAACGTAATGTTCTCTACCAGAGGCGGAACATGTCACAGATCTAAAAACTGTAACCTTACTTGGACATCTTAATTAATTCTTTAGCCCTCTTTTCAAACCTCATAGCCCTCAAAGCGGTAGAAAATCTCTAATGTTAAGCACGCGCTTTTGTTTTGCAGGAGAAAATGCTATCCGAGATGAGGACGTACTTAGCGCCGCTCTGTACCCCAAAGTTTTCAATGATTACATGGTGTTCAGGGAGGAGTTTGGTCCAGTTGATGGACTACCCACCAGACTCTTCTTCACTGGCCCTGAAATCGGAGAAGAATTCCAAGTGGCGATCGAGCCTGGAAAAGTTTTGAACATCAAAGTACTGGCCATCAGTGACTTGCACCCGAATGGACAGAGAGAAGTATTCTGTGAGATGAACGGACAACTGAGAACAGTTTTGGTGGAGGACAAGTCTGTAACAAAGGTATCTACTGCCTTAGCATGAAAAGAAGCTCTCGTATATCGTATATATCAAAGTTTTTCGAAGTTAATTTTTAGAGTCATATCTATCCTGATTTTAAATGTCTTTTTTATGTTCACCTCGGTGCAAAGATTTAACTCATGAAATTGTTATTTTGTGAAAATCAAAGTTACCATGGCAGTAAAAAGCACCAAATCCTGAACCAACTCAGATCTTAAAAATTCTCTAACAGTAACTTCGTTAAGCGACGGGTTCATGGTCTGAGTTGACAAATTATCCTTGCAAGTAAGCTGCGTTAAAAAAAATTGCGGGAAAGAGACCGTGAAAAATTCATGCTTAGCTGGGACTCGAACCCATGCCTCCCATGGTCCGTTAAATCAGGAACCCAAGGGATGGGCTCCTGGTTAAATATATAAAAAAGAATTCCTTAAGTTTCTGTCTCGCGGGTTAACGATCTCTCTTCATTATTGTTATTATCATTATTGTTCTTACTGGTGCTAATTTTTCCCTTCATGCAATCTGACAATTGTTTTTTTTTTCTTCCTCCTTTCTCAGACTCTTGAGCGACATCCCAAAGCCGACAAATCTGTCAAAGGTTCCGTGGGAGCCCCCATGCCGGGTAAAGTTGTCGGCATCCGAGCAAAAGAGAACGAAGTAGTGAAGAAGGGAGACCCGCTGGTTGTTCTCAGCGCCATGAAGATGGAGACTAACGTGACTGCCCCTATCGACGGAACTGTGACGAAGATTTCCGTCAAATTGAACCAGAACTTAGAGGCCGGCGATCTCTTGGTGGATATCGAGCCTTTAAGTTAAACCGGTCGGTGACTGATCGTAATCGTTCGGTGCACCTTCGGATAACTTCGGGAAGTTTCTAATGATATTGTCGGTGTACAAGCACGTCCGTGTCATGTGGTTCAACATTATCAATAGTCGAATGCTAGAATGTGTATTGGTATTGTATCCAAAGTTGAATCATGGAAAGCACTTCTCAATGAAATCTGATGTCAGAAATGGGTGGTCTATAGTGGTCCCCTACCCTTTAACTCTCAAGATCCAATTAGTTATTCTCCCAACTGACTACCACATATTCCTTTGCAAATTAGGCAAGAGAATTGAATGTTATGTCAAGATAACACGCGCTAGCGGTTTACTATGTTTGTTCTCCTAACCTGTTTGCATGATAACACATCGAAATCACAGTTACATGTTAGTCACTCACGGGAGTTAAAGGGTTAAGATACTCTTTGATTTAACTTATTTTAGGTTTTGCGATTGCTTTTTATTGGTTTATGGTTTTTGTGGTATGTTTTGTTGTCAGTGTTTACTTCCCTGTCTTCATTTTCAATACGTTAACAAATCATTCTCAATCCCTCTAATTTTGTTTAATTTATCAAATTTAGAATTTTACTTGGGTTTCCAATAAAAATGATCACAATTGAAATAAGTTATCTCCAAAATACTTAATAGTGAGAGGAACACGAGAAGTTTAAGACGTTAATTTAAGGATTTAAATATTTTAGCAAGTTCTACTTTCAATCAACAATCTTAAGTTGATGTCGACCCACAGAAATGTCATTATCTACCAAAACGAGAGTAAATATATCTATGAACTAACTTATAATTTGCAATTTGTGGGGCTTAAAATATTTCAGGCGATTTATGGAAAAACGCCGATTTCAGATTAGACTTGAATACAATTTTCAGGCTGAGACACGTTGGGACGAATAAGGAATTCACTAGGTTCAATTTTTTCTAAACAGTCAGAAAGAGTGTAAAAGTTTTAAGGAAGCTTCATTGGTAAATTTGATAAATAAATCTAAGTGAAAAAAAAAAACTGAAAGTCGTTTGAATGTTCAATATCAGCGAAATCTAACCTCCCTGCTGATGTTTTTAGAATGCCGTTAATCGGTTCTTCGACACCAACATCTCTCAAGCTTTCTGTATTGTCATTCTGCGGTTACTTTGGAGTATTCTGTTCCTGAGACCTAAGGAATGCTATGCTAGGATGAATACCCATGCACCGAGTTCCAAATCCTTATTTTTACTATTACTTGCTAATTAGCGCTATTTCTTTTTGCCCGAGAAACACTGTTTAGTCAGTTACGTATGCATTATTTCGTTTCGGTGTGGGAAGTGGTATTCGCTTAGCATTTTGGTATGATGATGCCGACGGTTTGTGAACCATGAAAAAGTTTCTCAAATGACACGGCTTTATTAGTGAGATGAGAGAAGGTGTATATATATTGTTTAGACACACTAAGACAAGATATAGTCATTATTGATTCAAAATTTAGACAGTTTTTTCACTTTTACCGCACTTAAAAGCTCGGGTTGACTGCGTGACGGATGATACGAATGAGCAGGTCCTGGTAACTAATTGGAATGCGTGACATACAATAATTGTGGTGCAATAACTACACCAGAGGATGATTTCTTCGTTTTTGTGGGGACTTGTAGGACACCAGATGAAATGGGGGATCTTTAAGTTAAGCTTTTTATGTTTAGAAATAACTTTTGATTAAAATGAACAATTCGCGAAGTCAGCGACTCGCATATGAGGCAAGCGCTGGAAAGCCGCTAAAGGTGAGGAACATCCGTTTAACTTTTTCGTACAGTAAAATTCGGTTGTCCAGCATTTTTTAATACTCCCAGTCTCAGACAAGAGCGAGCAGTATTCTGGATAAATCCATAAATCCAGGACTGTGTAAAAGGAGACTGATTCACAAAGGTTATGGATTTGAATGATGGAGAGGCCGGCCCACTTTTCCGGCCTTGGGTCGCGGTGGCTATCACAAAACTTTCATTGGCAATCTCCCCTCAATAAATGATAATGACTCTTTACTCTCTACTGCCTACCCTAGGTCAATGAATAACTGTAGATCATTCTCACCGGACATGCCTTCTTACGATACTGTTTTTTCGTTACATGTGGCTTAATTAGCTAACAGACTTTTGATTTTTCCCTTCACCAATCACATATTTTCCTATACATTATTTCAACCTAGTTTTAGAATTGTTCTTACTACTATCACAAAGCATAATTCATAAGTGACAGTATAGTACCTGATCTAGGTCTACAGATATCGGCGTTAAGGTTGCGGCGAAATTCGTAATTTAATTCGTTTGTCTCTACATAGGGGCATTTCATGAAGCCACTTAGTTTGTCGGAAGCTGTATATTATTACCAGCAAAACAACGAGTTTTGTAATTATCATAATTACCTGCAGATATTTCCTGCCGTGAAATTTGATACAACCTGACTAATTTCATTAAGGAAAAAAAAGGCAATTTTTTTTCTTTTGTCAGAGAGGTCACAATATTCAACTGTCCAAAGCTCTTTCTTACATTCTTCGACATGGTGCATCAAAAGAGGGGCTGCAAATGTCTGAAGGTAAATGTTACTAGAATTGTATTATTACGGCTATAATACATGTTTGAGATTTTTCAGGTAGTATTAACATGTAGGTGATTTTAAGTTTTACCACATACTAAGTAACAATCTTATTGAATGAAGGGGATAAGTTTCTAAAGAAACTTTGATAGTGCATTGGTGGAAAAGTATAACAGGGTAATTTAGTGTTATCAACTGAGTTGATGATGTAAATATTGGCCACCATAGCTTTTAAACTCTTCACTGTTGCCAATTGATGTTATCAATTCAATTGATAATACTGAATTACCCTGTTAAGAATTTTATATGTTCCCTTTTACTGATAAAAAGAGAGGCCTAACGTAACTGCAGGCAGTAAATCTACTTGTGAATAAAGTTCCCCTGTGAATGAAAAGGATCAAAAGCCTGATTGGTCAAGCCATGTTGGTTCACTTTGCTGCTGCAATGTTTATCCTGGTACTGAGTGATCCAAGCCCTAAACAGAACTGGCTAACTTTGTCAAAATCATACACTGATGGCAATCAAGGGAGCCATCCCCACTTACTAGTAAGCAGTTGAGATCCTGCAATTGTGTAAGTCTCAGAGTCATGGCCTGCTCTCCAAGCATTTGATTCATGACAAGCCAACTTGGAAGTACCAATTAAGCCCAGGGTAGATGGATATGGCCTCTGGAACAACATCAAAATCTGAATTCATGCACTCAATTGAAGACCTGCAAGACTTAAATTAATGTAAAAAAGTTCCACATTGAATTTAAAAGAAAATTAATCCCATCAAGTAGTATTAACACTTTCACTCCCAAGATTCAAAATATCATATATATCGTATCACCATCTGTCACACACATCTTGTATCTGAGAATTTGATGTCGTAAGTCTAGCAGTTCATTATATGTAAACAGTAATTTTCCTTTTCTTCCATCACCCATCTGTTTTAAAATGTATTGAGATTCTTGAGAGAAATTAATTATTATTTTTTTTTTGGTCAGGCAAAGAATGGTTTACTCAACGATTATAGAATATATTTGTTAGTATTAATTTGATATTTATGCCCACAGGATTTGTTTTTGTTGATGAGCTGTTAAAATTACGACAGTTTAAAAGATATTCTGAGAATGAAATCAGAAAAGTTGTTGATGAGAATGACAAGAAGAGGTTTGCCCTGAGACTTGATCCAGTGACAAACAGGCTGCAAATCAGAGCAAATCAAGGACACACCATCGAGGTTAGCATTTCTGCATTGAAAGAGATTAGGAATGTTGACTTTCAGAAAAGAAATCTCTTTAGACAATCATGATGCAAGATTTCAGTTTTATGTTATATTATTAGGGCTTACAATATGACAATTCAATATCAAACAGCCAAGTAATGAGAATAGCTATAAATGTTTACTAATAATTTAAAATTTATGATAATAACTTGTGAATGAATAATTGTTCAGCCCAATATACATATGAAAAAATATGATCTAAACATTCGATGACTAATGAAGTGGGCCTTGGATCCAGCATGCACAACTTTTTCACTGACTTCTGGATTAAAGTGCATATGGACAAAACAACTCCAGCCTTTACTCAAATTGGCCAATGAAACTAAGGGATTATTATTTTATCCAACACTAAATTCTCAGAAAAAGATTAATGAGAAATGTGTTATGAGATGTATCTTCATTAAGATATCAGGAGTGAAAGAGTTAATTGTTGGTTGATTTTTTTTTTTTTTTGGCATTTTAGGTTGATGACCTTGAACTTAATCCCATCACAGATCCCTCCGATGCACCAGTTGTTTTGCATGGCACCTATCGTGAGTGTTGGGAGCTAATAAAAGCTCAGGTGGGTGTTTTTACTTTTTTCACTGATTTTTTTTTGCTTTCCTTTTTCATCAACCTCATCTAGCTCAGTTGGTACTTGCAAAAAACACATTTTTTTGTCTTATCAGGGTTTGTCAAGAATGAGCAGAAATCACATCCATTTTGCACCAGGAGAACCAGGGGAAGAAGGAGTCATCAGTGGTTAGTAAATTAAAGTTTATAAATACTGTAAATGCTGTGCCTCTCTAGGTTAAAGATTTATTTTGCTACTGACTCTGTGCAATACATTTCTGTATTTAAAGAATGGAATACATACCTGTATTCTGAGGAAGGGCCAGTGCTTGAAATGTCAGCTTTTAAACTCTTTACAGTGGCCAATTTATGTAATCAACTCAGTTGGTAACACTAAATTACCCTGTTATATTCTCCCACCAATGCGGCACCATGGTTTCTTCCGAAACTTACCCCTCTTCATTCATTCATTTTTTTTTTTTTTTTTTTTTTTTTTTCAAAGAAGGGTAATTTAGTGTAAACATTTGAGTTGATAACCTAAATTAGCCTCTGTGAAGAGTTAATAAACTCAGGTCTTGAGCATTAGCCCTTAATAGGAAGGGCTAATGTCAGAAACGTCAGCTCACAAACTCTTTACTGTGGCTAATTTACCATATCAACTCAGTTGATAACACTTAATTACCCTGTTATACCCTTGCACCAACGCAGCACCACAATTTCTTTCAAAACTTACCCTCTCTAAGTATGTATTTGAAATACTTAACAAATGTTACTAATAAAATCATCAATGATGGCTCCATTGTAAGGTTCAAAGACAACCCTTTCAACAACTTACATTAACACTGTGCCTTTTGGTTTACATGTATTGTGCACTTCTGGTTGAGAAGGTTGATTAAGAGTCCACAACTCCTGTTTAAATCAATTTTTTTACATAATCTCTATTTTTTGGAAGAAGTAATGACACTTTTGAAGCCAGTCAGTCTCCTCAGTAAAAGTGGCTTTACAAAGAGCTAATCAGGAGTGTAACATCATAAGCTTAGGGAAAATTACTTAGAGTACAAGTGGAGAAAAAAAAACACCAACAACAACAATAACAACAACAAATAACCAATCAAAGCAAACAAAGCAGAAAAAGGGAGAGATGGGTGACTGTCCCCATAATTTTTTGGCATAACATGTGAATAAACTGACCATTTCTAATCTTAACATGTGTCTGTGAGTCAGTCAGTTATTGTCATTGTTTTCTTTTACTAAATTTAATTTGTTATCCTTTAGGAATGCGTTCAAGTTGTGAGATCCTGGTGTTTATTGACCTCAGAAAGGCACTGAGTGGTACAGTGACTGATAATAAGTTTGGATCAATATCAGTATCTGGGCAACGGCCCACCTACCCCTCCCCTAACCCAACAACAGTCAATTGATAACAAGTTAGGGGGAATGTTGGGTTAGGGGAGGGGTAGGTGGGCCGTTGCCCAGATACTGATATTGATCCATAAGTTTTATAATATGTGGTTGACTTGTGATTTATTTGTCCCAGTTTTGTTTAATATTGTAGTTTTCCTGTTTTTGTTTTGCTTTTGGATTCTTTTTATTTTATTTTACTGATCAAAGTGTTATTACTTGAATCCTTCACACTGGTCCCATATTATTATACACTCTAGTTAAGGCCTAGCTCACCATAGAGTCTTTATGGCTCAGTGGTAGAGTGTTGGAGCACAGAATTCAAAGGTCCGAGGTTTGATTCCTCATAGAAACTCAGAATCTTTTCTGCTTCCAACTGGACACAAAAAAATATTTCTCTACATAAAGCAATGTTGGTAAAAACTTAAACAATTAGGCAACAAAGTATAGTGTTCTTGAATTACAGTTTTTTTAGCCACTGAAGTATTAATTAGTACATTTTTTTTCATTCAGATGGCTTCAAATTTTACCGATCAGCAAACAATGTGATTCTGTGTCCCGGGAATGAACAAGGATTTCTTCCACCTCAATACTTTGAAAAAGTTATGCAGACTAAACCCAGTAAGTATTTCATTTTAATTTCTTTCACAATAGAACAGTCTACATCTTAGTAGAAAAGAAGCCATCTAACAGAGCACTCAAACTCTGCTGGTTGGTGAGGATTTAATGCTTTTTAATGTGGCATTGTTTTTTTTTTGTTTTCAGAAAGACAACTACTTCTCTCTGCCAACTGAACATAAAATTTACAATACCTACCAGTATATGCAAATACATGTTGTGATTAAAATCTTTCCTTGGTTTGAAACTTTTCAAAACCACAGAAAATGTAAATTCAAACCACAAAGTATATTGTACACAACTTGTATAAGGGGGGTGAATAAGGGGTAAGACCAGTCATAACTTTGTAATTCTGTAATTTTATTTATCAATCATGTAATGATGAGAAGATTGAGAAATCAGTGAATGATCAGTTACACCAAATACATGTCAGAAAAAAAATGAAACTAAACCAAAATTAATTTTCATTAAATAATTAGTTGTACCAATAAATATGGTTAAACATGAAACTCCTCATCCAGTTCCTAAGGCAGTAGTTGGTATCCCTGTGTCTGCAAAGTTTTGTTTCCAAATAAACTCAGTTTGATATGAACTTCCATCACCACAGCTCTGAGCACAAGTGTACACAACTAATGTTCCCCAGTCAACACTTTCTTCGAGACTGTCCACCTGCAAGTGGTTGAGCAACTGAGGCATAATCTGAAAAGGAAATTAAGAAGCAATCTTTAGTAAGATCAATTAAAAAATTTTAAAAAATCATGACAAAGATTAATTTAAGAGAAGAAACTCAAACAGAGTATAAAAAAAGCCATAACAGGTGCTATGAAGACTTTGTAGCCATGATATGGATTCTCTACTTCAGTCATTAGATTCACACCTGTTACCACAACAATATTTTTGTTGAGTGAGATGTGTGAAGGAGAAAGTGCAATGGACACTTTCCTGCAAATGGCAACCTTGTCTGTCTTGGTTTGGGTTCATCCCCAGTAAATGGAAACAAATAATGAGAATTTTAAAAATGCCCTCATTTTGCCTTGATAGTGTTACTATGGAAATATTGTAGTTCCCATTCCTTTTTGCAAGTGTGCATACAAGCATGCACACTCACTTTGCCACTGTGTCTATTGCCCTGATAATTTTCTTATCTGAGGACTGAAATATTTGCCATTAGGAATAACAAAGAGAGGTTATTTTAATCCCTTAGTTCCCTGAGGTGATAAGCAAGTACAGGTATATTTTCCTCACAATATTGTTGCATTTCTCAGCCAACATAATGGGAAGAAACAACTTTATCAGCTCCAAGTTGTTACCCGGATACATATTTGTACAACTTACACTGAATTTACATCTTAGGAATTATGATGTATTATTTTAAAGTACAAAAATGATCCTTAGAGATGAGCTGCAATGAAAGAAATTGCACAAAAAAGAGGCCTGAAAAAGTCAGGTTTTGATAGGATTGGGATGCGTGCCTCACAGATACTGGTTGAGCTGTGTAAAGCCACATGTTGGAAGACAGGCAAATTTTAGTGGGCTCTTCATTTGTGTAAAGGAATATTCAGTATTCAATTTTGCAACAAAAAAGAGAATTTTCTGTTCAAAACATTGAATGCAACAAAACACACCACACATGGAGAAAGTTCCATTATCACGGCTTTCAAAAGCCTTAAGTGCTACCATCATCATTACCTGAAATTCAAACACCCTTTCAGAACCACAATCACATCTTGGAATGTCGTCTTCGCTAGGCTTGCCTTCATCAGAGACCCAGAGAGGTTCACCATTTTGGTGATAGCGCAAAACCTGAAGGACAAAACAGGACATCTATCACAAAAAGTTCTCGTGTTTTACTAAGCTTGCAAAAAATTCCCTGTAGAAAGGGTTGTATTCCAAGAACTTGCACATACGCTCTAACAGACTAATAATAACATTACATCGTCTTCAAAAGAAGACTGTAATGGAGAGGGCAAAGGTCTTTACAAAAGTGCTAGCATTAATTTTTTTTTGTCAGCCCAGTTCATCCAAATGGACCTAGAACTAGAACTCTGATAAATCTGAGTGGACAAAAAAGGAGGTTCCATAATTTACAGTACAGACTGAGAAAAATTAGGTTAATGAGATATTTATAAATATATCTCTGGGGTCGAATAGAGGAGAAAGATTTCATTTCAAACAAACTTCTGAATTCAGCAGACTGTCCAGTGAAATACAGCCCACTAAATTGACCAATCATGGTGCATGAGTTAGATATGTAATGAAACAATTATCTCTAATACCCAACACCCAATTAACAGACTTTAACAAGCACAATAAGCATTTAGTGCCAAATGAAGGGGGGGGGGAGAACATTTTACAATTCTTTCTTACTCTCTCTTTAACAGACCTGTTTAGGTTCTCTGGTAATTCTCTTTTTGAATTTCCTAAACTGTTTATCAGCAAGTAAAGCTTCCTTTCCAAGAGAAGCTAAGGATTCTAGTTCTTTGTCACTTTCTGTATCAGTGAACAGCTCATTTGCTCTCACAAACTGTTTGTATTCATCTAATCTGTCCTTTTCACTTTTCTCATTTTCATCAGTTAAAACTGGTTCTGTTTCAATAAGTAACTCATATTCTGGAAAGAGAATTCTTCTGTTCCTACACTTGTTGCCTGGAAACAAAAATGAATGAATAAACAAATAAATAAAAGAAAATACAAACAAACTGAAAAAATGCGTAAAAAACAAACTAAAATTTGATAAACTCTTAGGGATATGTTATGATTTTAGATAAATGAAATTCATATATTTGCACTATGGCGAGGAAACAAAATTATATATTGCAAATATATGAATTCATATATCTAAAATCATCATTCATCACTTGGATGGTTTATTTGGACCCAACACATTGACCAGCTCCCAGTTGGCTTGTTAGCTCAGTTGGTAGAGTGCTGCACCAGTCTTACAGAGGTCATGGGTTCAAATCCCATACAGGCCTGAATTTAGTTCTTAGGGATATGTTGGAGGTATTAAAATAGTTTGATAATTTTCAACTTTAATGGTTTTACTGTTATATGTTCCAATAACTTCTACAGTTTGATGATTATTAGTGCTGAAATATGTTCTGACTAGTTTGTCTAATTTTTTTTACATAAAAGCCCTACACAGCTTGCTATGAAATTCAACCATTCAGCACTTTGAGACTTGAAATGCATCCTGTTAAATGTGATCATCAATATCATTATTTTAATTGTAATAAATCAATTAGGCAAAGTCCTCACACAATGCAAGATCTCTGCACAACTACATGCTTCGTTATGCACACAATTCTTGGATATGGAAAATAATTTTGGAAATGATATAATTATTGTCTCAGGCTATGGCTTGGTTTTAAAATAATATGGGGTTTAACTATAAACATTCCTGCATCCAATTTAGTACAACTGTACATTTAATGAATGTTCTGTAAAAGATAAAGTGATGAAGAAGTAAATAGGACAAATCACACAAACAAATGATAGAAGGCTATTGAAGAATTCTTTACACCTTCTTTACACCATTCTACTAAATGGGCCTCCAGTACACCTCTTTCCTAAGATCATGGAGTAAAACGCAAAATGACTCTATTAGGATCAACATGTCCCCTTTCCTTCTTAATACCCATATACTATCCAGCATAACTAATTTACAAGAAAATGTACAGCATCTAGAACTGACAATCAGATCTTGGGAGTTAAAAGTTTAAAATCACCTTGTAACAGTTGCTCTTTACTATCCTGTGCGCACAGTTTCGGACACAAGTTCTTATGACCTGATTTCCAATCCACCGTCTGATGTTCACGGCCACAGTACTGTGCCACGTGACATTTAGAACATTTCTTATCCCCTTTACACCCGCACACATCGCATAAACTGATCCATGTTTTGGGTTTGAACTCTTCAGCTACATATTCCATAGACAGCTCGTTAATTTCGTCCAATTCTGGCGGCGGATTATAGCTGTAAAACTTGTTATCGCGTTTTAACTGATTTCTTAGTACAAGGAAACAATCGGTGTAGTTTTTAGAGTGACAATTGCCATCTTTACAACAAAATACGAAGATCGTTCGATGGAAACTTTGGTCATGTGGCATGGGAGCATACACTTGTAAGAGAAATGCCATCGGTTTGAGGCAGATTTTGCACACCATACAGCTTGAATTGGGCAACTCTAGCAAGTTCAACCATGCTGGGGTTCCACCGATTTTGCTCGGAAAGAAGGCGCTTGTCATCTGCAGTTTACGAACAGCATCGTCACCAATTTCTTCTGCAAATCCTAATTCCACTTCTTTGGCCGCCATGTTGATTCACAAAGTTGACCGCTGACGAGGAAAGGTACGGGCTCTATCCCAGAGGGTAGTTTGAGGAGGGAGTGGGTAGGGATTTAAAAAAAAAAAAAAAAAAAAGTTAAAATGTTAGACATTGGTTAAGAGTTAGACTCTGACCCGATTTGTACTTCAGATGCTTTACCTCTGAGCTATAGGAGTCTGATAGCAGGCTAGAGTATTTCACTAGGTCTATGGTGACAAACTTCCTGCTTACAGGTAGGGTAGGAAATGTGTCGATATGTGATGCTTATGCCCAGTGACATGGAAATGAAGATGGCCAAATGAAGATGATCAAATGTAGAGGATCAAACAGTAGATTACATACAAGATACCCCTATTTAGAAAGCTCTTTGATGCTGTCTTGAATATTTGAATCGATCACAACAAATTTGCACAAGTCAATATAATTGATAGTTATATGTATGATAATTTTACATAATAATAATAAATAATAATCAACAATGACTGAATAAGCTTGGAGAAAATGTTGGGATTAAATAGCATCATACCACTTCTGCATGCCAATTCAAGCTACATGCATTCATTCAAATAAAAACAAATGTGTGACTTAAAAAAAAACAGTCTGTATCTGAGAGGGTAACTTTAATTTTTCATAGATTAACTATAGTACACTATAGTTATAATAAAGTATCTATTAAATAACTAAACAAAAAATACACCCCTACTCACCATTAAATTCTATTTGTATTTATTGTGAAGTTATGAAGTATCAACATCCTACAAATATGTGTTCTGATATGTAATTTAATTTTAATACATTGATTTTTCCACATACTTACGAAAAGTTATGTACTCAGTTTAAATACTGTCACTCAAACTTCTGGCCAGGGAGGAAATGCATTTACAATAATTACAGTGAGACATAATTTTACTGCTATATGTAACAATATCAACAGAATGAATTTGTTGTGAAGCTGAATGGGATACATGACTGTATAAATTCATTATTTTTTATGTCTTGGTAAGGTTATCACAGCTTTCAAAAATACCTCACATTAAAGCTCAATCTAAATATGTAGGAAAAAGTGAACTTAGAATAATTTACTGACACAATAACTTAAATGAAGCCTGAGAAAGCAGAAACAATTTTTGCTCCATAAAAAGACCTCACAGTCTTCATATACTGAGCTGTTCTGAAAGTCTACCTCATGCTTTCAAATGCTTTCGGTAGAAACAGAAGCATATGACCTAGGTTATAAGCTCAGTTCTGGTTGTACCATATGGCTTATTGGCAAATATTACCAGTACATGTCATGTGTAGTAAGCAAGTCATCTTTCATTCAAGGCTGATTCCTTGGCTAATTTCAAGCTTTTTCTCTCAGGGTTTTCATTAAGTTTCAAAGCAAACAGCAAAAACTGCAAGGTAGATGGCTAACAAAAGTGCAATTTTCACTCCAATGTTCTTAGTTTCAGAAAATTTTGCAGGAAATATTATTAGAAATATATACAGTGAATTTTGCTCTTAATTGGCTCTTAATATAGAAATCCCAGTATCTACTTGCAGCTTTTTTGCTGTCTCTACATTCCTCTAAAACACTGTTCCCTCCTTTAATCAAATCCTCCTCCATCATCAAAACCTCCGCCATCAAATCCACCACCATCATCAAACCCCCCACCTCCATCAAACCCACCATTGTCACCATAATGTTCATGATACTCAGGGCCTCCATAGTGATGATGCTCATGAAAGTGATCCCCACCACTATGGAAGTGGTCATGATCATGGATATGGATATGTGACCCGTGCCCATAGTAATGAGGTCCATGCAGAGCATTTGCCATTACTGCTCCAGCTGCCATTCCAACCAAGAGGTCTCCACCTCTGTCTCTATCCTGGACCACAACTGTCTGAGGTTGCTGAATGACCCCAGGGGTTCCATATCCAACGGGCTGACCAGGATAACGTTGGTTGTAGTAAGCTGGTGGTGGTCCACGTTGTTGTGGATAGACTGCTTGTCGTGGGTAAGATGATGGATATTGCACTGGAAATGGGAAATTTATCAGAAACTGTTATGAGGGAGACATTGTTTGATAAATATCTCAATGTTTCTGATGATGGACTGAGGTGAGATTTCAGAAAAACAAAGTTAACTGTTAATTCCACAGTCAGATACCATTTATTAAGTTATTTGTTACATAGTACAACAGAGGCATTATGTGACAAAATGTTGGGGAAAAAAATGGAAAATTTTCTGCTAAGTTGCAGGTAAGCTGGCGTACAAGTTAAAACACCACTTTACTTAATATTTCATGCCATCTTCAATCATGCTCTCTTCACACACAACAACCATCAGTGGTCAGCATTTGCCAGTAACAGCGCACTGTTACCCTCTGATTCCAGCTAATTTTACAATCTCGCCCACGAGCTGAGACTTTTCACAAGAAAGAGTCTCGTATCTACCCTTCGGCAGAAAGCTTCCCAACAATAATATTAACATACACACAGTGGCGATACTAACCTACTGTTTGAGTTCCACTGTATTGTGGTGTTACCACAGTCGATTGCTGAGTTGTTATCTAATAGTAAACAAACCAGAAATAATAATACGGTTTACGTTACAGAAGTTACTAATCCTACATTATATCTTTTCACTATAGTTGTGAGAATTCAAACGACAAGTATGTCTTTTCCAGATCAATGGCTTCCATTTCAAGCTAAAGCATCGTTAGGGAGCAAAGTATACAGTTTTCAAAACTCCACAAGGTTATAATAAGGGAAAATTTAAGGAATAACTTGGGAGGAGGAAGAAACAATTCACTTGAATAATTCTATTATAGGCATTGGTGTTCAACAAAATTGGTGTCGATGTCTTGACGTTAAGTATACGCTTGTCTTCATTACTTCCTGATTAATTAAACGGTGCCAACTTCAGCTTAACACGTCGAGTCTAGCATTCTGCGAGATAATACTCGACTGGATGTTCTAAAAATCAGCCTCAAAAGAGAAATTAAAACAAATCTAGTCACCTGCGTGACAACAATTTAAGGGAAAACAGTAAATCGAACGATTGCAACTCAGAGAAGAGATGATTTCCCTCTGGTTTGAACTCTTACCACAGCACCCGACGAAGAACTCCCGCAACCCATGAAGAAACAATTATAAACGAAAAAGCATCATGGTGAAAAATCGTCTACATTTGCACAACATTTATCACGAGTATCGAAGATTGAACGAAGAAAATCGATTACTAGCAACTAATTCTAGTCAGAGCGCCTGCGTATGACGTGCGGGTTCCATGGTAACGATAGCAGCAAAAACAGCTGGGACATTTAAAGTGAAAAACATGACGTAGTATTTTGGAGAAATTTTGTATATACTTCCCTTGGCCTGTGGAAAAAATTCTTCCACGCATCATTCGAGATTCTCGCATCAGACGCTGATCCTGGCATCAGAGAGGTGTTTTTCCAGGTTATTCAAAAGAGCATTCCAGAAATCGTACTGTCTCAGGTTGAGAATCTTCACGGAAAATTATGATTTTTTTCGCTTTACTTCTCGTATTCGTGAATAATAAAAAATAATTTTCCTTCTTCGACTGCCGGCTCGATTAATTCGGCTGAGCCCGAAATTCACAAACAATTTCAATCTTAAAACAAAAATTCCTTTCTTCGACATAGTGATATAATGTGGCGGAAACCGAAGGTCGATTTTAGATATTAGTCTTCTTGTTGTTGTTGTTGTTTTTGTTCTTATATTTCAGTTTGTCATATTTTAGTTGTTTGGTTCCCTGTCTATCTTCTTTATTTTCATCTTTTTTTCCTCGCCGGTAACACTGATGGGGTGTATCTGATTACGTGTTAAGGATGTCAAAACTGGTGGAAATTTTACACTTACTTTTTAAGTTTGTTCTTACAAGTAATTGCTCAAGATTATCCGAATCTAAACTACCAACCGCAACAATAAAGTTTATAATGTCAAATACGACTTAAATCTGCGGTAATGTTATAGAGTCAACGAAAGTTTTCAATACTTTTCAAATGCGAGGCCGTTACCACTTGGGCAATGTAACGTTAAGCTACACCATAACACTTCAGTTTTCCCAATGTATAATATCCTTTTTCGTGCGAGCCATTTAAGTCTCCGAGTCTAATTTGTGTTACAGGCAGAACCGCCTTGTCCGTCAACAGACCGCCATCCTCTCTCCAGCCACTGAAACTGCCTCTACAATTACACATGTAACCGCTGGAACAAGAATTTGTTACTCCGCATGCGCACTTATTGTCATGTCCTGTAGCTCCTCCCCAATAGTTTATCCGCGTTCCACTGCGTGACACCCACCAAGCATAACCACCCTCCAAAAACCCTACACCTGCTGTACACTCAAAGTTGAGGAACTGTTCACAATTTTGTGAGACTCGAGTTAGTGCTGCAAGCTGAGCAATGCTGACTCCGGTGTATTGCACATCTTTTCTGTAACATCCACGACCACCACATCCCCCCGATTTGTAATCAACAAAGGTTCTTTTCTCAGCGTTATGACTTATGACCGTCACGCCAACTCCACCTTTGTCACTCATGTCACAGTACACATTGAAGGGTGTCACGCCTCCTCTGCCATCAGCATAAATCATATAAGTACCTGAAGATGTTCCACCATTGTGTGTTTTTATGTCACTACAAGAGGTTGGTTTTCGAAATTCAAGCACAGTAGTTGCAGTAACAAAGCGATGAAAATTTCGTGCGATGCAAGTGTAGGATCCAGCATCGTGGCGAGCAACATTTTTTAAAAGTAGAGAGCCATTTGAATAAAGGATATGACCTGAGGGCAGACCTTGGCCCGTCCGCTGCCACACGACTTCTCTTGCTCCTTGTGCTTCGCAAGTCAGTAACACATTTTCTGAAGGTGAGGCTAAACGTTTATGGGGAGGGAGTAATGTAAACTTGAGTTGTTCAAACACCATGACTTGTGTGTGGGCCGAGTCCTCGTTAAGAATGTTCTTTGCCGAACATATGTAGTCTCCACCGTCTGTTTTAGTCACATTGGTTATTTCCAATCTGCCATTAAGAACTCTTGATCTTTCGTTGGACATGTGACCGACTGCTTTTTGCCACGTGACTGTTGGTGTTGGCTGACCAGTAGCTTGGCAATTCAGACTCACTTTGTGTCCTTCTTCAACGATAACAGATGAGGGTTTTTGAATGATTGATGCGCCAACTGAATAAAAAACAGAGAGGTAAAAAAAAGGTGAGTAAACTTTCCAAGTGACCCTCGAGGTGATAATCGTAATCATAATTTTTTCCATGGGGTTAATTTTAAATCCTGGCCTCGTTCCATAGAAGCGCAAAGATATGATTTACACTCAAAAATATGATTTACGCTCTACATCAATTTACATCAGAACGGTCCATAAAATGATAGATTTTTGTTAGTTTAGTGTTTAACAACTGAATGTTTTATTTCTTACCTTGAACAGTCAACCTAGCCAATGACGTCATAACCCCAAGAATATTCCTCGCTTCACAAGTATAGGTTCCATTATCTTTTAACGTGACACCATTGATGACCAGGCCACCAGCAGTTGGCACGACTCGTTTGTCCGCGAGAAGACTGGAGTTATCTCTCAGCCATGTGACTTTAGGCTGTGGATTTCCTTCAACCTCACATTGAAACGACGCTGTACCAGTTTCGTTTACTACTATCGGCATTGGAGGTGTAACAATAGAGGGAGCTGTAATTGATTGACCAGGCTCGCCCTTAGCTCCAGGGGGGCCCAAAGGTCCGGGAGGTCCCTGAATGCCCTGGGGGCCCTGATTTCCTTTAGGTCCCTTTACTCCCAGTGGCCCAGGTGGTCCATGTTTACCTGGAGGGCCTCTTTGACCAGGTCTGCCTCGTCTTCCCCTGATGCTGTTGGGGCAATGGACACTGCAAGCCTGGCTCTTGATAGCGAGTCGTACTTCTTTTCTGATCGATTCACGATCGATGGTTACGCTGGCGTTTGATCTCCCGTCTGTATTTTTCACTTGCCTTTTTTGACGAGTTTGAAGTTCTGCAAGAGACATCACAGTAAAAGTGCGGCTACGTTCCACTTATCTTATTAGGACACTTCTAAGATGCATAATATCTCTGCTTTAAAACGCGGGAAACTTCGGAACCTCTTGTAGATAAAATAATATTAAGCCTCGAAAATGGCCTATCTAGAAGCCTCGATTTCCAGCAGCTGCTTCAAAAATCAGTGAACTCGACATAGGGATAGAACGTGAGCCGAAACTAGAGATTATTTTCGTTAAAGTAGCAATTTCTCGATCGCGAAACTCGACCAACGATTTGTCGTGTGTATATTTAATTTTTAATCGTACCTTCAAGTGAACAATAACTTAAACGCTTCTTTCCAATACACATTTACCTGCGTGATTCAGTCGCAAAGTCATAACTTCTGGTGTATGAACTCTCCCATAAAGCCTTCCTAAGTTTATATTTTAGTCTTGGTGTGGCCCACGGATTCCGTTAAGAATTTGGGTAGTTCCTCTACAAAAGTACCCATCATTGCAAAAGGAGAGGAAGGAATTTCTCTTCTTTAAGACTGCTTGTGCATAGTTTTGTAGTATTTGAAATAGAGCTAGAACTTTTTTTAATTGAAACGACACGAAAGAAAGCCGAACATGTTGCCAATGGAGTAGAAAAGTAGCTGAATTTATTTAAAATTGACTGAAGCATAGAGGAATGAAGAATATTTAAAGTGACAAAAACCTTCATTATATTTCTTCCTATTTTTGAAATTGAACGAGCTTTCCCGGAAAGCTAAAGGAAAGAAAATATTTTGTTCCCAGCGAAACTGATTTTTTTTTCCTGTCGTTATTGCTGAAAGGCTCGGCTTCCGTCCTGTCGGAGTGTCATCCTGTTTTGCTCACAGGAACTTACTTCCTCGTTTGATTGAAGTAACGCTTTTGATCCGAATGAAACCATTATTTTTATCGTAAAAAAAAATGTGAAGTAAATTAACATTACTTGCTGACCTCATGATTTGTCAACTTTATTCCTTTGAAATGATATGCACCTATAAAAAGATGGCAAAAGCGATGCTTCTTATCATCACGAACTTTGCGTGACCCCTTGGGTTTCGTCAGTGGACCTTCTTTGTCTTGAGAAATTCTAAAGTCATGAGAATTTTCTCCCTTTAGAAGCTAAGAAGCTCACAATAACAATAACAATAACAGTTTTCTTGGGTTGAGAGCCACTTGATTGAAGATTCAGAGATATTCACAAAAGAAAGATAAGACGAAAATACAGACTAAATTTCAAATGAAAACCTTCAAAATTGCAGACAAACTTTTCAACTTTCATAACGTTACTCAGCATCTGCATTGAGTGATTCTAAATTAAAGGTATATTTTACGATGAACTGTGATAAGCCGTTCTACTGCTTCTTGAGATTTTTTGAGTTTAAACCCACCTTCATTTGGGTAACGACATAAAATATTCATCTCAGTCGGCTTTTCGTCATTTGCTAGGTTCTTCAGCTCGAGTTTCTCTTCTTTTGGTTGATTCAAGACTTGAAGCATTTGTCGATGAGCGTGGAGCTCGATCTCGACGTGAATCAGTGCCACGAAGCAAACAACAGAGAGAAATAACGAGGAAAACACCAGAGAGTTAGAAACTGGCTTTGCCTTTGATTTCTCCATAACACGGAACGGAAGGCGAAACTGTGGTAAAATCTGTCTAGCATGAAAATAGCTTCTTCAAACTGCAACGCATGTATTTATAATCACAGCGAGACATTACGCGTGGGTATGGAGTTCTTGCCCTCGAGTGACCTTTTCGTTTTGTTATCAGCTTGCACTGGTCACGTTTCATAAATTTTTTTTAATCAAAGCTTTATCAGTTCCCACAAGAACTACCCCGGTCAGTTTAGGATTTGCAATTGCAATTGTGACAATATCACAGTCGTTTGGTGCAACCGTGTTCTGAATATCTTTCTTGCGAAAAGTTATTGGCCGATGCGACGTGGAATTGACGTTGATTTTCCTGTTCAGAGGGTGTCAATGAGGAGATAGCTTTTACGGCTAACGGTTAAAGTTTTGGCCAATTTACGGCTAACAGTTAACATCTTTTCATTGTTTCCACCAGACATATTTTTAACAGTTAACTTTTTTTACAACGAACGGTTAAAACCTGTCAATTTTTTCGCCTAACGGCTAAAGCTTAAAGCCGTTTGATGGCTATCGGTTAACCACATTGAGGACCTCTGTTCAAGGAGTCACGGCGTGCTTACCAGAAAAGGAGTAATGATTCAGGATTTTTAGAGCCTTAGACTTCGGATTAGTCCACTACTTTATTTGACTTTTCAAATATTTATCTTTCAATGGATGCTGACAAAGAGTCAGGAACTGCTTCTTTTCCCGTACCCAAGCCTCTCTCATGGCTTATATGTTGATCGTGACAGATAACAGATTGGAAGCCTTCCTTCCTTCCATCCTTAGTCTAGTCCAAGGCTAAAATAGGGTCATACAAACAACGAAAAATGCTGTTTTTGATGGTATTGGAATCTACTCTGTTTAGATGATTATTTCTAGTATTCCAAATGCTATGCTTAACATTTATAGGGTAATTAGAAAGTTACCTCCAATTTCTAGAGCTTTGGGAACGCCATGCTACGGATGACACTGGCAGGAAAGACATAACGAATGGCATTAGAGAACTTGTTCCACACCGATTTAAATACTTTCACTAATAAAAAGACTAAAGAATAGTCATCTTTCAGAAAATGCAACAGACCTTCCTTGGCTGGCTGCCTTGTTTATTGAAGTTATGTAGGGGTTGGAAAACCAATGGGTTTCTTCGCAAAAGAAAGTCAAGCTAAAGAAATAAAAAAGTTAGCTTTTTAAAATCTCTTTAATCAAGTCCTTACTTAAAATTAATGCAACTGAATTTCAGAAAGATTGATATTTTTCCAAGTTCAGTCACACTTGCTGCACTGTATATATTAAAATGTAAGCCACGCCATAACACTTGAGTTTTCCTAATGTATGATATCCTTCTTCTTGTGAATCATCCAAGTCTCCGAGTCTGATCTGGGTCACGGGGAGGACAGACTTGTCTGTCAACAGACCGCTGTCTTCTCTCCAGCCACTGTCACTGCGACCGTTGTAACAATTACACTTTTTGCCATTGGAACAAGAATTTGTTATTCCACATGCGCACATCTTATCAGAGCCTGTTGCTCCTCCCCAGTAATTTCTCTTTGTTCCATCACGTGACACCCACCAAGCGTTATTTTCCTGGATAAAAGCTACGTCATTGTTGCACTCAAACTTAATAAACTGTTCACAGTTCTGTGAGATTCATGTGAGTGCTGCCAGCTGAGCGGTGCTAACTTCAGTGTATCGCACATCTTTACTGTAACATCCGCAACCACTACATACAAGATTGTTGCCAACTGAGTTCTTCTCTCACTGTCATGACTGATGACCGTCACGCCAATTCCACCGATGTCACCCATGTCACAGTACACATTGAAGGGTGTCACGCCACCTTTGCCATCAGGATCAATCATATAAGTAGTTGAAGATTTTCCTCCACTGTGTGTCTTTATGCCACTACAAGAGGTTGGTTTTCGAAATTCAAGCACAATAGTTGCAGTAACAAAGCGATGAATATTTCGTGCGATGCAAGTGTAGGATCCAGCATCGTGGCGAGCAACATCTTTAAAAAGTAGAGAGCCATTTGAATAAAGGATATGACCTGAGGGCAGACCTTGGCTGTTCCGCTGCCGTACGACTTCTCTTGCTCCTTGTGCTTTGCAAGTCAATAACACATTTTCTGAAGGTGAGACTAAACGTTTATGGGGAGGGAGTAATGTGAACTTGGGTTGTTCAAACGCGGTGACTTGTGTATGGGCCGAGTCCTCGTTAAGAATGTTCTTTGCCGAACATATGCATGTAGTTTCCACCGTCTGTTTTAGTCACATTGGTTATTTCCAATCTGCCATTAAAAACTCTTAATCTTTTGGTTTACATGTGATCGACTGCTTTTCGCTACGTGACCGTTGGTGTCGGCTGACCGGTAGCTTGGCAAACCAGACTCACCTTGTGTCCTTCTTCAACGATAACTAATGAGGGTTTTTGAATGATTGATGCACCAACTGAATGAAAAACCGAGAGGTAAAAAAGGTTAGCAAACTTTCGTGTCCCCCCGAGGTAATGATCATGATCATATTTTTTTTTCCTCGGAGTTGATTTTAAAACCGTGAGGAAAAAAACTTGAGAATTAAACATTTTCTTTCTTCCTCATGAAGTCGCCTTGTTCCTTATATCAAAGAGCAAAAGTATGATTTACGCTCTAGCTACATCAATTTATATCAGAACAATCCAAAAAATATAGTTCGTAATATATTTTTGTGGGTCAAGTGAATAACAACTGAATGTTTTATTTCTTACCTTGAACAGTCAACCTAACCAATGACGTCATAACCCCAAGAATATTCCTCGCTTCGCAAGTATAGGTTCCATCATCTGTTAACGTGACGTCATTGATAACCAGGCCACCAGCAGTTGACACGACTCGTTTATTCGCGAGAAGACTGGAGTTATCTCTCAGCCATGTGACTTTAGGCTGTGGGTTTCCTTCAACCTCACATTGAAACGACGCTGTACCAGTTTCGTTTACAACTATAGACATGGGAGGTGTCACAATAGAGGGAGCTGAGATTGATATACTAGGCTCGCCCTTAGCCCTAGGAGGGCCATAGCTCCGGGAGGTCCTTGAATGCCCTGAGGGCCCTGATTTCTTTTGGGTCCCTTTACTCCCAGTGGCTCGGGTGGTCCATGTTTACCTGGGAAGCCTCTTTGACCAGGACCGCCTCGTCTTCCCCTAATACTCTTGAGGCAATGAACATTGCAGACAGCGTGTCTCTTAAGGTTTTATCTATCTTCTCATGTGAAAGTTATTCTAAAAAACGTTTCTCTCCTGAGTATTTTTAGTTTTTCAAAGCTGTAATCTCAAGCGAATTAAAGCTCCTCTTAAGCCTTCCTTTAGTGTGCTCTAGTTGTGAATTCCCTTAAGAATTAGTTTTTCCGACCGCTTTAGTAGTTCATCAATAAAAGTAACATTAAGGGGTAAAAGATTTATTCTTTGGCACATGAAATGTTATATTTTTAAATCAAAATGAAACGACACGAAACAGAGCCAAAATGATCATTATTTGAGTAGAGCAGCACGTGACTCTTTGACTGTTAACTGATGTACTGAGGTTGATCTAAAGAACTTTTACAGCGAAAAAAAAACCCTTCGTTTTAAGTCTTGATCCGACTCGTCTTGAAAGCTAAGAGAAATAAAATGTGGGCACCAGAGGAGTTTTTTTTCCTGTTGTTGACGCTAAAAGGCTCAGTATCAATCTTAACAGAGTGTCATTCTGTTTGTTTAAGATTAAAAAACATCCTTTTTTATAGTTACGCTTTTGATTTGAAATAAAAGGTTAAATAAAAAAAAGAGACAGAAAGTGCTTCTTTTCTCGTACCCAAGCCTCTCTCATGGCTTATATGTTGATCATGACAGATAATAGATTGGCAGTCTTCCTTCCTTCCTTATTCTGGTTCAAGGCCACAATATGGTCATACAAGTGAGAAAAAATTCTGTTTTGATGTTATTGAAACCTCTTCAGTGTAGCTGATCATTTTTTGTATTCCAAGTGCTATGCTTAACATTTGTAGAGTAACTAGAAAGTTAGCTCTAATTTCTAGAGCTTTGGGAACGCCATGCTAACGATGCCACTGGTAGGAAAGACATAACCAATCTCATTGGAGAACTTGCTTTGCACCAATTTGAATTCTTTCTTTAATAAAAGACTGATGAATAGTCATCTTTTAGAAAATGTCCGACCTTCCTCGGCCACACCTTGTTTACTGACGTAATGTGAGGGTTGGAAAACCAATGGAGTTTCTTCGCAAAAAAAAAAACTTGATCACCCAATCAAGCTAAAGAACTAAAAAAGTTAGATTCTTAAGATCTCTTGACTCAACTCCTTCCTTACAACCAGTGCAACTAAAATTCAGAAATATCTTTTTTGTGTTTTCAAGTTCAATCACACTTGCTGCACTGTACAAAGCTGCTGTACTGTATATATTAAAATGTGGCCTTATGCCACACCATAACACTTGAGTTTCCCTAATGTATGATATCCTTCCTCCCTAATATGATCCAAGTCTCCGAGTATGATTTGTGTAACTGGTAGAGCAGACTTGTCTGTCAACAGACCGCTGTCTTCTCTCCAGCCACTGCCACTGTTGTGACAATTACACTTTTTGCCATTTGAACAAGAATTTGTTACTCCGCATGCTCACATGTTATCCGATTATTACCATGGACTTAGCCTTGTTTTGAAAGCAAGGTCATTTTGAACACGACTTGAAGTTGGCTCGATGCCGGCAGCTGTAGGGGAAATGAGTGAACTCGACAAAACGACAGAAAGTAAGCCGAATCCAGAGATTAGTGCGATAATGGCGATGATTCGATTTATGGGTTGTAATACTTGACTTTTTTTCCGTTTGTCTCTTAAAGGTTTTAAGTATCTTCTCATGTGAAAATTATTTTATAAAACGATTTTGTTCAAAGTATTTTTCACTGTTTCAAAGCTGTAATCTCCAGCGAATTAATTCTCCCATAAAGCCTTCCTTTATTTTACTCTCGTTGTGAGTTCCATCAAGAATTAGCTTTCCCGGCCGCTCGAGCAAAAAATAAATGAAATTTTGGGTTGTTTTTCAATAAAAGTACCCATGAACGACAAAAGATAACTTTAATTTCGATGAATTCGTAAAACAGTATTTGCACATCGAGTGTCATGTTTTGAAATCAAACTGAAACGACACCAAACGGAGCCAAACAAATCGTCATTTGAGTCGAACAGCACGTGACTCTTTGATTGTTGATTGATATTTTGAGGCTGACCTCGAGAATCTTAACACCGTCAAAAAAAAAAAAAAAATCAAAATTGCTTGGATCGATAGCCCTTTGCAATAAAGGTATTCTCAAAACAACGAAGAGACGAACGTTTAAACGAATTTCAAATGAAAACTTTCTAAATTACAAATAGACTTCTCAACTTTTTAATCAATACTCAGGATCTGCATCAACTAATCCTAGTTTAAGGTCGTTCTAAGTGTTTTGCGCATAGACCCACCTTTATGTGAGTAAGGGAATAACCTGATCATCTCATTCGTTTTTTTGTCGTTTGCTGTGTTCTTCAGCTCGACTTTCTCTTCTTTTAGTTGACTCAAGCCTTGAAGCATTTGTCGATGAGCGTAAAGCTCGATCTCGACGTGAATCAGTCCCGCGAAGCAAATAACGAAGAGAAATAACGAAGAAAACACCAGCTTGTTATGAACTGGGGTCATCTTTGATCTCTCCATAACACTGTCAGGCTTGGCGAGGTTGCGAGGAAGTAAAGTATTTGTGTTATGAAAACCATATAAGCCTGGGCCAATGTAATCACAAAGGAGGCATAAAAAATACGCGATGCGTTTTGGTCATCTAATCCGTCAGTCTGATCCTTTGTTGTTTCCTCTGCTTTTATTGCATTGATTCAACTGCATGTGACTGGTTTCAATTTTCATGTCAACGAGTTTGTAGATTGTCGATGAAGAGTTAAAGGTCAGTTGAGGAATTAATTTTAGAAACAACCTTGTTTTGATTTTGACGCGGCTGGTTCTGAGAAAGACTCTATTCAGAAAAAGAAAGAAAAAATCTGCGTTGAATGGCCCCAACCTGCCTACAGAACTTCGTTATTTCTCTTGTTACCTCCAGACTTTTCAACCAGACGGGGAAGAATATGCTTTGGCAAAAGCGTCCCAAACAGAGAAGTAAGACCTTGAACATTCCAATTTCTTTGCTATTCATAAGAGCGCTGGGCTTGTGAACCAAGCGTGAAAAATCGGGGATATTGCATTTTCAAAAGCCTTCCATGACAGGAAATTCGACTTTTTTTTAACTTTTCTTGATATTAGACCGCCACGTTCATCAGCGTGCTAATGAAATTTTTCAGTCAAAACAGCTAAATCTTTAACTACGAGGTTTTTGTTATATGGATGAAGTCTTTTTCATGTTATTGTACGTTAATATTACGTTATGGAGACGCCATGTGAACAGTGTTAAAACCCACTAAAAACGCAAAAGTATATAGCAATGTTTCTTTCTTAGTCAGCTCTGTTTTTTTCCCAGACCATATCAATTACTCGCCAACCACATCGGTTAATTTTTTTTTTGAGGAGACAGTATGTAAACAGTGTGACCCAGAAAAACACAAATTTAAGTATGTTGCAACATTTCTTTATTACTCAGCTCTGGTGTTTCCTCAGACCATATGAATTATCCGCGAATCATATCTGTCCACTTTTTTTACCCTTCCAATCTCTATCGTTTTCGCCGACCGAAACTTGTTGAGCAGAATATCAATGCAAGCGTGCCTCCAATTTCGTGATAGCATTCTTCTGCATCATTAAATTAAGAAGCGCTCTGAGGGGACTTAGAGAAGTCATTAATCACATCTGGATGCTTCCTTGGCTTCTGGCTTAACTGAACAAAGAAATTTAAATAGAACTGAAGAATAAGAAAGGTTCTTTGTACACAAAAATTCTTAATAAAGCTGGAAAGTTACGAAATTGATAGGTTCCTAACAGTTCCTACATAGCTACATATGATAAAACTTAACAATTACATTTTTACTATTGAAATTCGAGCTCGTCATTCCGCAAGCGCACATCTTGTCAGAGCCTGTAGCCTTTTTGTAGTTGTTGTTTGTATGTCTGTCTGTCTGTCCTTTTTTTTTAAACCTTTTTTTCCTTGTTGGTAACACTGATGGGGTGTATATAATTACGTGTTAGAGATGTCAAAATTAGTGGAAATTTTGAACTTAGCTTTTCAGCTTGTTTTAATAATTGCTCAAAATTATCCGAATCAAAACTACCAACTGCGGCAATCAAGTGCACAATTTAAAATGCGACTTAACCCTTGAAACCCTTAGAGTGACCAACATGTGATTTCTCCTTACAGTAACACTGCTGAATCATTCATTAAGATCATGAGAAGAAAGGAAATGATCGCCAACCCGAAAAGCTATGATTGTTAAACAAATTCTCCTTGTCAGTACCGAAGGAAATGTACAGAGAAGAGTATAGAGAATATGGATGCTGGTATGAGGATGTAAAGGTTTAAATCTGCGGTAACGTTATGGAGTCAACGGACATTTGGTTTTCGAGGCCCGGTAACTCCTGCGTAGTTTAACGTTAAGCCACACCATAACACTTCAGTTTTCCCAACGTATACCCTTTTTCGTGCGGGTCATTCAAGTCTCCGAGTCTAATTTGTGTCACAGGCAGAACAGCTTTGTCTGTTAACAGACCGCCATGTTCTCTCCAGCCACCGAAAGGGCCTCTACAATTATACATTAAACCGCTAGAACAAGAATTTGTTACTCTTCATGCGCACTTATTGTCATGTCCTGTAGCTCCTCCGCAATAGTTCATCCGCGTTCCACTGTTCACACGTTCTTTGATTTTTCCATAACACGGAACGAAAGGCGAAACTGTAGTAAGATCTGTCAAGCATGAAAATAGCTTCTTCAAACTGCAACACAAGTATTTATAATCAAGCGAGATATTACGCGTGGGTATGGAGTTCTTACCCTCGAGTGACCTTGTGCTTTCTGGTATCAGTTTATACTGGTCAAGTTTTATTTATCTTTTTAATTAAAGCTTCACCACTTCCTATAAGAACTTTCCCGGTCAGCTTAGGATTTGCAATTGCAATTGTGACAATGTCACAATCGGTTGGATGCAACCGTGTTCTGGATATCTTTATTAAGAAGAATTATTCGCCGATGTAACATAGAATTGACGTTGCTTTCCTTGTTCGAGGAGTCACGGCGTGCTTACTAGAAAAGGAATAACGATTCAGGATTTCTAGAGCCTTAAACTTCGGATTGGTCCACTTCTTCTTTTGTGTTTTCAGATATTTATCTTTCAGTGGGTGCTGACAAAGAGATAGGAAGTGCTTCTTTTCTCGTACCCAAGCCTCTCTCATGGCTATTTTGTTGATCCTGAGGGATAATAGATTGGCAGTCTTCCTTCCTCCAGCTCCATGACTTGCACAATAGCAAAGTCCTTGCCTAATAAGTTCTTTACAGAACATGATATGTAGTCTCCACCGTCTGTTTTAGTAGCATGGGATATTTCAATCTGCTATTAAGAACTCTTGATCTTTCTTTTGACATGTGACCGACTACCACGTGGCAGCTTGGCAAAAAAAATCATGATCACCCTATCAAGTTAAAGAACTAAAAAAGTTAGGTTTTCAAAATCTCCTAACTTACAACTAATGTAACTAAAATTTAGAAAGATTGATATTTTTTTCTTTCCAAGTTCAGTCAACATTGTTGCACTGTAATAAGCTGCTGTTCTGTATATATCAAAATGTGGCCTAAAATAGGGTCATACAAAAATAACGAAAAATGCTGTTTTGATGGTATTGAAATCTCTTCTGTGAAGATGATCATTTCTAGGATTCCAAATGCTATGCTTAACATTTATGAGGTAACTAGAAAAGTAACTCCAATTTCCAGAGCTTTGGTAGCGCCATGCTAACGATGTCACTGGCAGGAAAGACATAAAGAATGGCATTAGAGAACATGCTCCACACCGATTTGAATACTTTCACTTATAAAAAGACTAAGGAATAGTCATCTTTCAGAAAATGCAACGGACCTTCCTTGGCCGGCTGCCCTGTTTATTGACGTATTGGGTCGGAAAACTAATGGAGTTTCTTCGCTAAAAAAAAGTCAAGATCACCCTATCAAGCTAAAGAAATAAAAAGCTAGGTTTTTAAAATTTCTTGGTAACTCCTGTCCTTATTTAAAACTAATGCAGCTAAAATTCGGAAAGATTGATATTTTTCGAAGTTCAGTCACTCTTGCTGCACTGAAGTAAGCTACTGTACTGTAAATATTAAAATGTGGTCTTATGCCACACTATAACACTTGAGTTTTCCTAATATATGATATCCTTCTTCATTAGAATCATTTAAGTCTCCGAGTCTGATCTGGGTGACGGGGAGAACAGACTTGTCTGTCAACAGACCGCTGTCTTCTTTCCAGCCACTGTCACTGCGACCGTTGTAACAATTACACTTTTTGCCATTAGAACAAGAATTTGTTGCTCCACATGCGCACATCTTATCAGAGCCTGTTGCTCCTCCCCAGTACTTCATCTGTGCTCCATCACGTGACACCCACCAAGCGTAATTGTCCTGGATAAAACCTACGTCATTGTTGCACTCAAACTTGATAAACTGTTCACAGTTCTGTGAGATTCGAGTGAGTGCTGCCACCTGAACGGTGCTGACTCCAGTGTATCGCGCATCTTTTCTGTAACATCCCCCATAATAACATCCAGGAATATTCCCAACATGAGTCCTTTTCTCACTGTCATGACTGATGACCGTCACGCCAACTCCGCCTTCGTCACTCATGTCACAGTACACATTGAAGGGTGTTACGCCTCCTTTGCCATCAGGGTCAATCATATAGGTACCTGAGGATGTTCCTCCATTATGTCTTTTTATTTCACTACAAGAGGTTGGTTTTCGAAATTCAAGAACAGTAGTTGCAGTAACAGAGCGATGAAAGTTTCTCGCGATGCAAGTGTAGGATCCAGAATCGTGGCGAACAACATTTTTTAAAAGTAGAGAGCCATTTGAATAAAGGATATGACCTGAGGGCAGACCTTGGCCTGTCCGCTGCCACACGACTTCTCTTGCTCCTTGCGCTCTGCAAGTGAGTAACACATCTTCGAAAGATATGGCTGAACGTTTGTGGGGAGGGAGTAATGTAAACTTGAGTCGTTCAAACACCATGACTAGTGTACGGGCCGAGTCCTCGTTAATAATGTTCTTTGCCGAACATATGTAGTCTCCACCGTCTGTTTTAGTCACATTGGCTATTTCCAATCTGCCATTAAGAACTCTTGGTCTTTCGTTGGACATGTGACCGACTGCTTTTCGCCACGTGACTGTTGGTGTCGGCTGACCAGTAGCTTGGCAGACTAGACTTACTTTGTGTCCTTCTTCAACGACGACAGATGAGGGTTTTTGAATGATTGATGCACCAACTGAATAAAAATCCGAGAGGTAAAAAAAGGTGAGCAAACTTCCTAAGTGTCCCCTCGGTATAATGATATAATCAGAATTTTTTTCCTCGGGGTTGATTTAAATCCGAAAGGGAAAACTTGAGAATTAAATATTTTGTTTCTTCCCCTTAAAGTCGCCTTGTTCCATCAAAGCGCAAAAATATGATTTATGTTCTATATCAATTTATATCGGAACAGTACAAAAAAATATACTTCGTGATGGATTTTTGTGAGTCGGGTATGAATGTTTTATTTCTTACCTTGAACAGTCAAACTAGCCAATGACGTCATAACTCCAAGAATATTCCGCGCTTCACAGGTGTAGGTTCCATCATCTTTTAACGTGACGTCATTGATGACCAGGCCACAATTGAGGTGTCACAATTGAGGGAGCTGAGATTGATTTACCAGGCTCGCCCTTAGCTCCGGGAGGACCCATAGGTCCGGGAGGTCCTTGGATGCCCTGAGGGCCCTGATTTCCTTGAAGTCCCTTTACGCCCTGTGGCCCAGGTGGTCCATGTTTACCTGGGGGGCCTCTTTGACCAGCAGGTCTGCCTCGTGTTCCCCTGATGCTCTTTAGGCAATGAACACTACAGGCTTGGCTCTTGATACCAAGTCGTACTTCTTTTCTGATCGCTTCACGATCGATGGTCATACTGCCGTTAAATCTCCTTTCTGTATTTTTCACGCGCCGTTTGTAACGAAATTTTTGTTCTGCAAGAAACTTCACAGAATAAGTTCGGCGATGTTCAGCTCAGCTTATTAGGACACTTCCAAAATACCCAGAGTCTCTTTTAAAAAGAGGCCAAGTGCGGAGCCTCTCTTACGGAAATGGATATTTAATACCATGAACATAGCTTCATTTTGAAAGCGAGGCCATTTCGAACTCGAAGATGACTTTTTCAAGCTTGCTCGATTTCCAGCAGCTGTCTGGAAAATAAGTGAACTAGACAAAACGACAGAAATTGGGTCGAAACCAGAGATTAGTTGCAATAACGGCGATAATTCGATTTGAGTTGTGATGCTCGACTCTTTTCCCTGTCTCTTACGGTTTAATCTATCTTCTCACTTAAAATTGTTTTAAAAAACGTTTTGTCCAAAGTATTTTTAACTGCTTCAAAGCTGTAATCGCCAGCGAATGAATTCTACCCTGAAGCCTTCCTTTATTGTATTCTCGTTTTGAATTACGTCAAGAATTAGTTTTCCCGGCCGCTCGAGCGAAATCTATTACAATTTTTTGGTAGTTCTTCAATAAAAGTACCCATTAAAGGGTAAATGACAGCTTTTATTCGTAAAACAGCTTTTGCACACGAAATGTTATGTTTGAAATCGAACTGAAACGACAGGAAATAGAGCCAAACAAATCGTCATTTGAGTAGAAAGGCACGTGATTCTTTGACAATTGATTGATGTGTTGAGGTTGACCTAAAGAATTTTTACACTGTAAAAGAAGCCCCTCCATTTTAAGTATTGATCTGATTCGCTATGACAGCTGAAAGGAAACAAAATGTGAACACTAGAGAATTTTTTTTCCTGTCGTTAATGCTAAAAGTCTCAGTTTCTATCTTAACAGAGTGTCATTCTGTTTTGCTTGCAGTGCTAAAACATCCTCGTTTACAGTTACGCTTTGGATTTGAAATGAAGGTTAAAAAAACAAAACAAAAACTGCTCGGGTCGACAGCCATTTGCTTTAAGATATAAAGGTATTCACGAAAAAACGAAGAGACGAACGTTTAAACAAATTTTAAATGAAAACTTTCTAAATTAAAGATAGACTTTTCAACTTTTTAACGTTACTCAGGATCTGCATAAACTAATTCTAGTTTAAGGTCGTCCTACCGTTCTAAGTGTTTTGCGCATAAACTAACCTTTATGCGAGTAAGGGAATAACATGATCATCTCATTCGTTTTTTCGTCGTTTGCTGTGTTCTTCAGCTCGACTTTCTCTTCTTTTGGTTGACTCAAGCCTTGAAGCATTTGTCGATGAGCGTAAAGCTCGATCTCGACGTGAATCAGTCCCGCGAAGCAAATAACGAAGAGAAATAACGATGAAAACACCAGCTTGTTATGAACTGGGGTCATCTCTGATTTCTCCATAACACTGTTCGCCTCGGCGAGGTTGCGAGGAAGTAAAGTCTTTGTTTTATGAAAACTATATAAACCTGGGCCTATGTAATCAAAAGGGATTCATAAAAAATACGCAATGCGTTTTGGTCATCTATTCCTTCGGCCTGATCCTTTGTTGTTTCCTCAGCTTTTATAGCATTGATTCAACTGCATGTGACCGGTTTCAGTTTTCATGTCAACAAGTTTTTAGATTGTTGATGAAGAGTTAGAGGTCAGGTAAGGAATTTATTTTAGAAACAATCTTGTTTTGATTTTGACGCGGCTAATTCTGAGAGAGACTCTATTGAGAAAAAGAAAGAAAAATCTGCATTGAATGGCCCCAACCTACTTCTGGAACTTCTTTATTTCTCTAGTTACCTCCAGACTTTTCAATCACACGGGAAGAGTATATCATGCTTTGGCGACGAAGGGAATAAGACCTTGAAAAATTCAATTTCTTTACTTTTCACAAGAGTGCTGGGCTTTTCCATTAAGCGTGAAATATCAGGGATATTGCATTTGCAAAAGCCACCCATAAAACGAAATTAAACTTTGAACTTTGAAATAAGACCACCACGTCCATCAATAGGTGATTGCTCATGTTATTGTTGAGCAACATGCTAATGAAAGTTTTCAGTCAAAACAGCAACATCTGAAACAACAAGGGTTTTGTTTTACTGGTGAAACCTTTTTCATTTTATTACACGTTAACATTACCTTATGGAGACGCCACGTCAACAGTATTACCCAGAAAAACACAAAAGTATAAAGCAATCTTTCTTTCTTAGTCAGCTCTGGTGTTTCCCTAGGCCATATGAATTATTCGCCAATCACGCCTGTCCATTTTTTTCTCATCCAATCCCTTCCGCTCTCGCTAACCTAAACTTGTCGAGCAGAATATCTACGCAAGCGTATTTCCGGATTCCGTGACAGCATTCTTTTGCACCACTAAATTAAGAAGCGTTTTGAGGGGATTTAACAGAAGTTATTCAACTCACCTGTAAACTTCCTTGGCCTATTACTTAAATCAGTAAAAGAAGATATGTAAATAAAAAGAATAAGAAAGATTCTTTGCAAGCGAACATTTTTCAATAATGTGGGGTTACAAAATTGATTGGTTCCTAACAGTTCCAACACAGCTATATATGATGAAAATTAACAATTCCATTTTTCCCGCTGGAATACAAGCGCAGCACTCCGCATGAGCACATCTAGTCCATCACGTGACACTCACCAGGCATAACGCCATTGGAGGAATGCAACATCATTATTGCGCTTAAACTTGATCAACTGTTTACAATTTTGCGAGACTCGAGTAAGTGCTGCCAGCTTAGCGGTGATGACTCTAGATGAACTATCTACGCATCTTGGCTTTTACCAACATAGATTCTGCTCTCACTGTGGTGACTGATGGTGGTCACGCCAGCTTTGCTCTTGTTAGTCATGTCACAGAACACACTTAAGGGTGGCCTTCTTTGCCATCAGGGTCAATGACGTAGGTATCTGAAGGTGTTCCTCTATTGCGTGTACTTATTTTACTACAAGAACTAAAGGTTGATTTTCTAACTTCAAGCAGAGTACTTGCTCTTCTGGAGCGATGAAAATTTCTCGCGATACAAGAGTAGGATCAAGCGACAGATAATAGATGAGGGTTTTTGGATGATCAGCGCAACATCTAAATAAAAAACCAAGAGATAGAAAAAGGTGAGAAACTGGCTTATTGAACACAGCAGTCAAACGTCTGTGCACGAGCGAACGTTGTAATGCCCTTCAGGCATTCATGAGCGCGCAGTCACAACGAATTTCAGTTACAGTAGTTGCAAAATACCACCTAATTTAACTAATTACGGTTTTTTATAACTGCATAAAGTTTTTGGTAAAGCTCAAGAAAAAACGATAAATCAATAGGACACCCATATCCTATTGCAATCAATAATCATCGCATAACTAAATATTTCTCTAGAGTATTGTGGCTCGACGCTTTAACTATGCTATAAATATGGGCATTTGAATTTGCGCTCAAACCCTTTCAGTCCGGGCGTGAACTCCATTGAAAATCGACGCTCCCAGGTAGACGAGCTGGATGCCATTTTTCTTTTTTAGTTTTCTTCAGTAAGAGTATCCATTAAAGAGATTTGGTCAAACCTACTTTCATCTGAGTCAGTGCGAAGAATTTTGTGTCTTTCGTCCTCTGTTGTGTTTTGCAGTTCGAGTTTTTCTTCTTTTGGTTGACTCAAGTCTTGAGGCATTTGTCGATGAGTGTGAAGCTCGATCTCGACGTGAATCAGTCCCGTGAAGCAAAGAAAGAAAGAAACAACGATGAGAACACCAGCTTGGTATGAACTGGGTTCATCTTTAATTTCTCCATAACTGATTTGCGAGGTCACGAGATCTCGGAAAAAGAAGTCTTCTTTGGAAGGACAATCTTCTAAGTTGTGTATTTGCAATCAATATGAAGACACGGAAAAAAACGAAAAAGCGGAAGGCACTGTCATCACCATTAACTTGACATAATAGTGGTTTCCTGTTGGGCAGCTTTTCTACCCTCAAAATCTATATATATATCTAGTTATTCACCAAAGAAAATCGTTCTTTCGTCATTGGAATGGAATGGAGCGGGCATGAAATAATCAAACGTGACTCTGTAAACAACAATGTCGTATCCAATCAGGTATTAGGGGATGAGCAGCATGATTGTTTGACGGATTGTTATACAACGTGAGCAAGTCTTGATTCCCACACAGAATTAACACATCCAGATGCGAACGTCCTTCGCTAACAAATGCAGCTTTTTTTTGTCACCTTAAGTTAAGTAGATCATAAAACGGAACGTGTAACGTTGAATTATAAAGAATAAAGTCAGAATTGAGCAAAAGGATACGCTATTGAACCAGCTTGAGCTGAACATCTCTCTCACAGTCCTAACACAAGAGAGGAAATTCTGCGAAATATCCTTAGCGTTTACAGGATAAGATTCCACTACTACTTAGTTTCGCCTGATTTCAGTCTTTATGACAGTGCGTTTTTAGGTTCCTCAAGACTAGTCAAAGGTCAGGTAAGTAATTAATTATAGAAAAAATAAATTTAATTCGATCTCGACGCGACTATCAAACTTTGAGAAAAACCCATTTGGGAACTGATTGCGAAAAATTAGCAATGAGTGACCTGAACCAGCCTCTTAAGCTTTCTCCCGCTATTTACACAATAGTACTAGAATTTCAACGGGAGGGACGAATATGTACTATTGTTTCGATAAAAGCCTCTTACGAAAAAAAGAGTCGCTTTTGAAAACTCTGCTTGCCGGCTGAAAGCGTTGCGCTATGATATGCCATTGAGCGAGATCAAATCTCCTTGCCGATGACATTTTTATTTAGGTCAATGCAATACAGAGCAGAATCTACAAGGTTTTCCTGCAGTTAAGCGGTTGACGTGGTTTTACGTGAGAGTTTCTTTAAACATGAATTCCCTTCAACATATTACACCTTAATTGAGCATAGCTGAAATGGTCGACGCTCTTAGCTTCACTCACGGTTGCTCTAGTATTGGCCTCATATGTATCCTTCAAACAGAGCGTTTCGCCCCAATTTTGATTGGTTTGTGATTGGGCTGACCACACATAAAAAAAAGATTTACAGCCAAGAAGGTTTTATAATGCTGATGTACTGGAACGCTGAAGCCATATCTAAAGCATAACTGAAGCAATTTTGTGACTGAGATCTTAAGCCCTTCGTTGTTCCTCGTTATCCTGTCATTTTAAGACATAAAATTCATAAAATTTCTAAAAATCATGGGATAGGATAGAACAGAACCCACATTGTAATAAAATTGATTGCCTTTGACAGGAAAAAGGATCCTCAAAAACTGTTCTTTAAAAGTGCAAGCGGTGATCATCACTCTGATGACGAAGCTGCTTTTAGCGCAACCTGATCAGTCTTGTCGATTCTGTTGTAATGATAGAAAGCCCATGTTTCTTCTAATGAACCATCACTCTGATGAAGCTGCCTTTGGCGCATCCTGATCAGTCTTGTTAATTCTGTTGTAATGATAGAAAGCCCACGTTTTCTTCTAAACTAGAACTGTGTAACTGTTACGGAAAAGCGGCTCAAGTTTCCCGCTTTCGTCTGCGACTCAAAACTCATTTTTCCGTTTCAATCGACCACAAAAATCTACACGATGTTAAATTACTCCAGAGTCAGAAAATTTAGCAAAGACCCAAGCCCTGAAGATCATCTTCATCAAGCTTGTAATTCTTACACGTTAAATTTCATTGTTACTAAAAAGCTAAGGTTGTAGGTTGGCAGATAATCCTGATCAGTCATTCCTGTGATGTAGCATGGCACTGCAATGATTATTTACTTAAAAGCAGATTCAAGATCAAGAATGAATTTATTTATTGTACCAGTTTATTGGTTTTTTTTTAAAAGCAAAGCGCCTTGCCAAACTCCCATCAGCCTTCCCTTGTGTTCCATACACTACATCGTAATTTCCAATGTCTTCCTCACATGTTAAGATAAACTGGAAAAATGATGAGAGACTGGGGTGAAAAACTCTTCTTTGCTGAAGTTTTCGAAATAACATTCCTGGACAAAGATATGCTAATTGTCTATAAGGTAACCTGTAAACACCATTCTATGTGTTGATAACCACGAGGTACTTTGCAAAAGAACGAATTTCTCACGGGAAATTCAGAAAAGGCGGGACTTAGCTAGGCAGTCAAAAGATTTAGTGGGATAGCTTGAATGGTGGTACAAGGAAATAATCAGATTGGTTGCTCATTTTGATGAGCAAAATACATGACTCAGTTTTGAAGAAAAACATATGTATTTCCTCACGAAAACAAATTCCCAAACAGATTGTTTTCCATACGGCCTCATCAGGGTGTTTTCAATTAAACTTGATTTTGACGTTAGAATGTATTGAAGCTGAGTTAAGATAAGGACTATTATTTTCTGGAATATTTAAGACTTCAACCATGCAGTCTAATCAAAGCA